ATCAATATATCTATCTATTACTGTGTAGCATGTAACTATATGTAATCTAATGATAACAATGAAAAATAGATAATTATAGGTTAGGAATTGAATTGTTGAAGATATACACAGGGTTGACAAAAATGATAATTAGAAAAATCAATTTCATTTGAAAAATTCATGAAAATTTTAGAGGGCAAATGTATCTGGGATCAGAGAGTAAAATTATGTAATGCATGTTAAGCAATCAATTAAATTATCTTATGTACAAGCCATGTTCTCTCATTCAGCTACATCCAAAACACAAAGACACAGCCTACTTTTCCACTCGTAATCTATGATTGTTTACCTGCTATGAAAATAAATACAAATATATCATGCTAGTTTGTCTTCTATCTATGCTAAGTATTCTGCTAAGTTTTCTGCTACAAGTAAAAATTGCACCATATCGATATACATCATCCCACACTGTTGAGAGCATGCAGCACTTTGAAAGCTTTAAATGTTCTGACTAAACTTGCAGTGCTCATATCATATTATTTCAAACTGCATGGAAAATGTAAAATGTAAACCTATAAACAAATACCATGCAAAAAATAGATATATATCACAACACAATTCATTTGAATAAAATATGGCAACTATAAATTAATTTGGAATCGATGAAGTCTAGAAGAGAGCTATATGAACTGTCCTTGTTTGTATACAGGAGAAAATTAAAGCCAACGACTCATTACTGTGTTCAAAGTTAATGACAGAACAAGTGTTCAACTAATACATGTACCAAACAGATGAGATAGCCTACGTGATACTGTAAACAATTGAATTCTTGCTAACACTACAAAGTAAAAGAATATTTTTATGTAGTTTTTTTCTTTACCAGGAGATTTAAAATTTGTTTACATCGCCATCTATTTAGACTGGTGTACAATATGGTCAGGTTTGGATACTGTTTTAACTGTACTGTATTTATTTATTATGTCACTACAAATGAGCCACTGGAAATATGGTTCCTTAGCATATACATTAGCAAAACAAATCCCAGCAAACCCACAAGGAGGCTACCAATGTCATCCATATTATATATATTTAAACAAGAATGAAATCTACTAATTAGATTTATATGATAATATCAAATGACACATCACATCTAAAAGATCAAATGACTATAACAAGATAAACAGCCACTTATAAACAAAGAAATATCATGTGGAGACAGATCACATTAATATAACACAACATTTTACTGCAAACTTGATATTGGTACTCGTATGCCCCTAGCCATACAGACTGAAGCTAAACAGACAAAAGAATCACACAATCAAATAACAATTGCACAGAGACAAAAAAAAGATCACATGACTATAACTGACTTAAAACGGTAACTTCAATGCCATTAGCCATAGAGTAGAAAGGTTTGATTAGTGTTGACACATACAGAGTCTCAAGAATTATTTCTTCACACTTAAGTTTCCCTATAGCCCCAATAATCTATATCTCAGTACTTATGGTCAAGGTCAAAGGTCAATATTACAGTGTCCCTCTTCTGGTAAGTGAGAAAACATTCTCCCATTATGTAACTTAGCACAAAGCCTAAAATTTCAGCACCTAGCTAAAAATTTTACATTTTTTTTATTTCAATATTTCAGGTCAAGGTTCAAGTTCAAATCAATTTCATAATGATTAATTTTTTAAAACGTGCCCAATATTTACTAAGCCTTAATTTCATAAGATTATATAGCTGTTAACACAAATATGCCCTAGAAAGAAATATTCCTGTACTTTGAAACAGATTCCATTTTGGTACATGAAACAGCAATTCATCATTAAGTACAATATTCCTACACACAAGTCTAAGACAGATGCTAAGATGCTCTTGAGAAACTTTTTCAGCATTTCAGAACTATTTATTGATCAAGGTCAAAGGTCAAGTCATTCTCCTTTTTGTTATGCTTTTAGCACTTTCTCATGAAGTCTTTGTACTTGCATACCATATCTGAAACACATGCCTTTCAGTACCATATACCAAGGTCAAATAAAGATCATGGTAGTTCTACTTTGGTAATTACTAAAGCGACTTGTCCCATAATAATCTTTAAGTAACATTCAATATACACAGGTAGAAAACAAAAACAATATTGGCAAAACTAAAAGAAATGAAAGATTGCAAAGTGAATGAACATTAAAAAAACAAACATCAATTTCCAGGTCATGATTCGTTTGTTTCTGGGTTTATCATCCTTTCAACAGCCAAAGATAATTTGAGTTTGGGTCTCTCATTATGCAGAAGGTATTGGCTATCTCAATAAACTGCATACTGAAGACCTATTGCATTTCTTCTAGATTGATTTGGGTAATGTGACTTGCCCATACCGCATGGGAAAGGAGAATTAAACAACACACCTCAGATCTTCACCTGACATTGAACAACACCCTAACTGACAGCTATTGCAGCCTCCTCCAGGTCAGGGTCGAATCAAATTGGGTAATATAACTGATCAGAGGATTACAGAATACAAATATCATAGAGGTATCCCGGTAATATATAATATTCTGTTTAGGAAGGGTATGTTATCATGTGTAATTAAAGTTAAATATCAAGAAGTGAAATGGAAAATAAATGTTAAAGAAAAACAAAACAATTAAATTATAAACTAAAATAGTCAATGTATATATATAAAAAAATCATGTTGACAAAATGATATGAAATTATAGACATAACATAACAATAAAAATATGTATGTCAAAACAATAAATAATTAAAGGAAAAAAACCCCAGGTTATATAATAATATAAATATAATATGTACGTAAGCTGACTTCTGAATACATGAATTTTATGAAGTAATGCATATATCATATATTATTTACAGGACTATAAAGCAATGTATTATTTCCTGTCACTAAAGTGTCAAGCTGAATTCCACAACTCTACCACATTACACTTTAAACAGATATGATATTCACATTCTAGAGGAACACAAAATTATAAACAGGTGTATAAAATGTAGGTACTTCTACAGATAAACTGCTTATAGACAGGTACCTCAAAGATGTTTTATGTTCATTCATGAAAGCAAATGTGATATCAGAAACATTTTCAAAAATCTATTCAAACATATGAACATGTTTTTTTTTTCATTGTTGTTTCTTTAAAGAATTCAGATATTCTTAAATACATTGTACTTGATTTGAACACAAAAGTGGAAAACACACCCATGTAGCTTTGTGGCCAAGTAGAGGTAGATAAATAATAAAGAGATTAATAACTATGGCTTATTAATCAATTACCCTTGTATTATACCGTCCTTTTACTGGCCTCTATTTTTGTTAATGAAAATGAAAAAGATATTTTCAAGCTTATGTGACATCCTGGATTAATACAGATAGTATTATCATACCCTAAAAACTTGAAAACAAGATTCTGATTACTTTCATTAAAAGGAAGCAAATGTAGGTTTTTGTTTAGTAAGAAACTACAAGCTTATTTTCAGGAAAGGCTGATTTTAGCGGTTCACTTATTTTTGAGTTTTTAGGGTATTCTTTGAAAGTGGAATGAATATGCAGATTTTACATTAGAGCCATTCAAACAGTTTTGATTAGTCAAACAGTATAAACTGAATCAGAACTGACAGTTAACAATCATTCAATCAATAAAACATGAAAATATTTATAAGAAATGATGCCTAATGGAGCCTGGATACACAGCAAACTTTCTACTGTCGTAATGTGTAAATAAACAAACCTGCTGCTCATTCAAATTTACAGATTTATAAGAATTCAGAGTAGAATTCATAGACTCTTTATCCAATTCTGTGACCAAAGGTAGGATCAAATTAGCAGGGTTTAAATTTCACATATTCCAATAGTTCTAACTGACTCTCCATTATAAACATGTCAAGCAAATGTGTCTTGGCTTTTTTTTCTTTGCATAATATTTTCTGGTCCTGATTATAGCAAAAAAAAAAATATATATATAATATTCATAAAATATAAATGTAACTTCTATAATGATAATTAGGGATATCATTTTAGTTTAGAATTACAGTAAAGACTGTGTAAGAGCTATCTAAAATTTGATCCTGATTGGATTTATACAAAAATTTAGGTTGAGGACAGATTCTTGTAGGTGCATGATATTTCTGAGTAGGAAAAAAACCCATAAGGCATAGACTCTGTATTCATAGACAATCTGCACAGTACCAAAAATAGTCAAAACCAAAAATATTGTATATACAGTTACAAAATCTCTGACACATTGAAAAACAACACTTTGATATATTAAAAATAAATGATTTCTAAATTTTCATTTATAGAGTAAAAACTATAATATTCTGTAAAACACCATTCATATGTTTATGACCTAGGAAGTTCTGTTAAAAACAGTATATAACATTACATCTCAAGTCATTATCTGGTGGCTTTTGTCAATGGCCTTGAACCGTATGACCTTTAACAGTCTGGTCATGAACTTATGACCTTTAACAGTCTGCCCATGAACTTATGACCATTAACAGTCTGCCCATGAACTTTCTACATTTATTTGCTCGTTATGAAATGGTGATCTTTGACTGTTAACAAAGTTTTTCACCTTAAGGTCGGTAGAGAAATTGCAAACAAATATGTTTTTCATTTTTGGTCCTTTGTCTCATGTGGTGTAGCATGAGTTCTGAAGTGTTAACAATTGCTGCTATTTAATTCATGGATCTTTCAACTATCAAAAAGAAGCAAATTTGCAAAAAAAAAAAAAAAATCTAAATTTTTGTTGGAATCTTGACAGGTACATTTAATTTGTAGAAAAATAAATAAATCAGGTCACATTCAACTGACTTCAGTTACAACTTTTTTTAAACAAATTGACAAAATTCCTACCTCATGCTACCAGAAAGTGACTTCAGTTGAAATGTTTTTGTTTCCTTAATATACATACAACATTTATATTCTAAATCAAATCAAACCATAAATCCTACAGTGAGGTGTGACTCCTAGCGATCTGGCATCTAAATGTCTTATTCAGTTGAATTACTTCTGGAAATCACCCAATCGTACTTTACGTCGAGTGATATTCCCGTAACTGTCTTCAACTAGCACTGTGACCACTTCTGCCCCAGCGGGAAGGTTCCGAACTGCAGACAGCTTGAGGACAAAATTTGTGGGTGGAGTCTCCCGAAGGAATTCCCAGTGGAAAAATACAATGCCCTCAGGGTCACTTCGTAACTCCACAAGGCGGATACCTCCAATGGCCATGACCTTTGACCTGTACAACACACACACTTATTATCAACCAGAAATACACAGAAGTATATTAAGTACACAACCAACTATAAAGAGATCTAATATAAAAAGACAAATATATTATTTTGCAAAGAATTAAATAATTTTCACACTGTTTTCTTAATTCTTATTCCTGAAATATCATGCAAGTTTCATGAAAACTCATACAGTGCAAAACATTGACCTTTGACCTTGAAACAAAATTTCTTACATTTCATTTTCAGAAAATATAATATTCCACTGAAATATTAAAACTGAAAATTTTCTTTGGCTGATAAAAAAAAAGATAATCTTATACCCATGCAATTTCAATTTGATCAAATAATAAAAGAGATAATTTCAAAACCTTGTTGCTTCTTATTCATAATACATTGTATGATGGTCATATCCTGAAACATAACTTTAGATTGAAACAGAATCGTCTGAATTCTCACCCTGATATTATTGGCTGCTTTTTAGGATCTTTTGGGTTGGCCTTGTTGAACCATCTACAACCAAGTAGATTTTTATAAAAGAAATTTCAATGTATAATTGACCAGGAGTCAAAATGATTTTCTTATAGATATTCAAACAGAATTTAATTGCTGACAATGATATATTCAATAAAGTAAATTTGTCATGATATTCTGTAGGTGCATCTTTATATTTTGAGTATAGTTGCAAGTCGATTTTTCAAAGCTTTATCTGACAGCACTATATTTACCAAACATTAGAAATTATTTACTGGGTATTGCTTGCAATAATGAGGTCAGCAAATATCGCAAAAGTAACTTGAGGAAATGATTTGTTCTTCATTTATTTGTTCAAGTAAGATGAAACAATTTACCGTTTTGAAAAATTAAGATATGAATTCTGATAGCTCTTACAACAATATAATTTCATTTTTAAATTCAGGTAATCATTTTTCCAAAGTAAGACAATATCTTTCTGTCTTTAAGATCTAGTGACAAACTTCTGAATACTAAGATTGTGTGACCTACTAGCTAAGATCTTGAAACCTACTTGTGGAAAAAGAGAAGCACAGCAGAGGATCGGTACCAGTGGGCACCGCCATCTTTGAAGGTGACTTCTGGGAAGACAAGTGGCTCATCGGGTGAGTTAGGGAGGTTGGATGGAGTTGTTCCAATAGGCGAGTGAAGTGAAGAGGTAGAACTCACAGAAGAACAAGATGATGTACGTTCTGAAATGACAAACATACAGCTGTCTGTATTTGAGACTTGAAGTTAGTGATGCCTTAAAATCAAATCTGGTTAAGTGCTATCTGGGTCATAGTGTCATTACCTGTGTAGTGTCCCTAGGAACAGCTAAATATTAAGCTTATCGTATTTCATAAATTTGATAATACATCTGGTGGTGGACAGAGCCAGCTGAAGACCATCTCTTCCTTGTAAAAGCTAAATATTTTGATCACCTACCTCTGGAGGTGGACTTGGCCAGCAGACGGCCATCTGTCCCTAGTAACATGTCTGTAACTGTCTCTATCCCATCGTCATGGGCAACAACCTTGTGTTGCTGTGTTCCATCATAGTTCTTGACACTAAAAGTCAGTGTGGAGGGAGATTTGACTGGAGTAAAGCCCTTTTCCATTTTTACAACAACCGGTGGGGGTGCTATATAGTTGTTGGTGTGGTTAGTCTGTAAACAATATAAAAAATGTCAATGAAACCTTAGTCTGTTTCCATTGCATTTTCACCTAAATAATCAAAGATATATATACTTTTTGTCAAGGAAATATCATTCTTTTATTACCATGTTTGGGTTTCCAGCAAAGAAATTCACGTGTAAAAGTGACATCTGTGTCCCCAGTGGTTCATGACAAAGCTGCTATTTATTAAGTGTTCATATGATGGTAAATAACATTTGTAATAATTAAAATTTTCCCAAAGGCAAATGACAGCCACTATGTAAAATTCTACATACAAACTAGTCAGTGAAGTAACATACATTTCATAATATGTTTGTATTACAAGTACACTTTCAAGACTGAAAAAGTTCTTTTATAAAATTCAAAAACTTTCTGAAGACATCATGATATACTGACCTTCCTGAGTGGACTTCCAAAACATACATCCTTATTTCTATTTAGTTGAGTTGGTCGTTGATGTATTTGGCTTTGCTGCTGAATTTGACCCTGAGTTAAAGATTTATCTTTCCCTGACCTCTGACCTGACCCTTGACCTTGGTCTGAACTTTCTTCTGCTGATTGGTTACTACTTCCTGTCACGCTCTCCACACTGCTTGTGGAGGATGTTCGGGATATGTTGCTGTCACGACTTCCACTACGGTAGTGGTGTCGTGTCTTGCTACGGTCCCGGTTCCTTGATTTTCGTATCGTGAAGACTTTATAGATGTCATCAAATCCTCGTGCCATTATACCCGTTGGTGTGTGTGCAAGGTCAAAAGTGTGACCAAGTTCGTGGAGAGAAGCGCCAAGCCCTGTTGCATAGTTGGCCCAATAATACTCTCTGTAATGAACAAATGAGTGAAATAAGATAATAGTCAAAATATTTCAAGCCACTTAACAACTGTTCCTCACAAAATTACCTCTAAGATCCTAGTGTAAATGCAACAGGTCTGTGTGGCTTGTAGAAATCATAAATATGGTCTCTGTCACCTAGCTGATGGAACATGATTCTTTCACTAAGTTGGTAGAGCTGTAGATTATCATGCTAAAGACACTGTAGGTTCACCTCCTATCAGTGTGTTCTGCATGAATTGAATCCTTGTTCTGGAATACTTGTAACCAAAACATTGTACAGCTGGGAAAATTCAACTAAAACATCCAGCAAAGTGTCATGTTCAAGAACTAGTGATTACCTCAATGAACAACATAGGGGAGGTCCATTGTATACCATCCAAAGCAATAGTGTCTTGTCCAAAGACACAACTATACATCAGTAATTTCAGCTTTAAATACATAAAAGACCATCAAACTTTTATTCATGTCTGCTTCCTCACCTGTGGTTGTATAGTCCAGTGCTCTATCAAGTGAGCTATCATATCCCCTTCTACAGACAATACAAAATCTCTATAAAACAAGGTTTGTCATAGAAGGCTATGATCCATGAATGGGACAAAATTTTAGTATGAAAAAAGTAAAGGGTAGTAACTCCTAAATTATGCAAAAGAGAGTGATAGTTTTAGTGTAATGCTCCTGACAAAATTTAAGTATGAAAAATAGCACAGGGCAATAAGAACCAAATTATGCAAAAGAGAGTAATGGTTCTTGTGCACTGCACTTCTCCTTGTTGAGTTCTATCTTCCTATGAAGTTTCATGTTGATACCTCTAATAGTTGTTGTGTTATGCTCTCGACAAAATTATGACAGATGGACAAAGCGCTGACTATATACTCCACCTTCACAGAGCTTAAAAATCTGTCTAATCTGACAAAATGTGCACATGTAGCAAATACAGATCAGAATACATTGGCATTGCATAGCTGTTCTCATCAGAAACTAAATTTTAGAAGAAATAGGAAAAGAAAATATGACCACATGAGTCAAAGTAACAAATTACTTTTTAAGGAGATACCAGCTGTATGCTGAATTAATCATCAGGGTTCAAAATTGCAAAAGAATGTCTTACCTCCACAATTTAACTAAAAAACTTCACAGACTGCAAAATAACGTGTAGCAGTTGCATCAAAAATTCTATACATGCTTTTACCTGTTCAAACAACTTGCCTATAGAATCCATCAACTATTTATATGATCAACTGATTGTTCCTACACTCATACACCTGTAACCTTTTTACCTGTAAGCACTGTCATCCATGAGTTCCCTACGATCAATCTTCTTGTTGTTTGTGAAGTAGGCATACATCTGATCTAACGAGGGAGCCCAGGTGTGGAGATTACCTGTTCCAAAAAGGGCAAGACCACCACCTCCTAAAAAGAATGAATGAGTAAGACAATTGAAATGTATATATTTGTATACAACATACATATAAATGTGCACAGATAAAACAAATAATAACAAATAAACAGGCCTGTACATTTTTTTCACTATATGTATATTTTCAATCCCTAACCAAGGTGAAGTAGCACAACAGACAGAAACATCAAATATTCAATTCTACAAATTCTAATATAAATCTATGCCGCATTTCAAACTGGACTTGAAAAAAGTTAATCTTCTTTATCAGTAATTTTTTAAAGGTAAGAATGACATGTCAATATTTCTATCACCCAAAAGAAAACAATCTGTATTTTACTATTTTCATAGATCTGTTATTTTCCTTTATATGTTCAGCTTTTTTCATTTATAACCAAAAAAGATCTTGTCTTGTTTAGAACTGTATAATGAGCTTACTGCAACAAAATCTATATAAAATCCCTTTCAGCTTACCTAATGCTGTATGGCCACGTGTATTGCTCAAAACCTCGCCGTGAGTTTTTGGCATTTTGCCTTCTGGTGGAAAATACCTTGTGAAAGACATAAAACAAAACCATTTGCATGTTTCTTTCTTACTCAAGTCTGAGGTCACAAGTTCTTTTGCAAAGTACGTCCACAGTTCATTTCCTGTTTTACTGTGAGCTTCCTCTAACGTTAGTTTACTCTGAAAAATGTGACAGATAGGTTCCCCACACTCATCCAGTTCCAACTGAAAGTTCTGTCTCCCAAACCCATGTTCTCTCATCTTTTCTGCTGTGAATGTCTGAATCAACATGGCTGCCAGTTTAATTCTTTCCTGAGCACTGTTTGGAGAACAGTCCTCATCTGCTGGGGCCTGAAAATAGCCATCGTTGTCTGAACATACAATGTACACTGGACGGACAAAATGGACAAAATGTGGCATCTCGCGGATGAGATGTATCGTTGATAATTCATTTTCAAATTTCAAATGTATGACATTTTCTCCAATTCCCAGTCTAACAAGAGCTTTGAATGTTCTGTCTATAACTGGCCACTGCAATTTTGTATACTGGGGCCATGAAGCATTCCAAACTTCCACATGAGCCTGACTGAGAGGTGTTGCCGACTCAATCTCTCCAATGATAAGAGGCAGGTGCAGTGACACGACCTCCTGGTGACTAACATTCTGTACATTGATTCTCATCGTCGTCCCATGTTCCTCACTTACAGGGTTATTTCTAAAACCACATTCACAATTTTCTGAAAATTATTTTTGCTTCATTACAAAGGCATCCTTTGCTTTTCAAATAACTGCAAATTTATCTGAAATTTGATCTTTTCATCTTTGTGACTGCCTAAATCATTTCTCCACTCCAGAGCTGGCGTTGTCCGGTATACTTCCAAATTGCGCTGTCGTCTAAACATGAAATGAAAATAACTTGTTTTTTATTTATCAAATTTCGTTTACATCAATAAAATTCAATTAAAAATCTCATTTGAGATGAAAATACTTGCATATTGTATAAAAAAGTCACCAGTGTTATCGCATTAATTGGAAACAAATGCTTTAAACTATCAAAATTTCTGTATCAGAATGCCGAGATTTTACTAAAAAGTATACCCTTATGCGAAAATCGTGGCATGATCATGACATCATCAACTTATCGTGTCTCCAGAGCGTCTAGACCCGGCTTGCACTGAGCAACATTCACATGCTCCTTGAACGGAAATTTTAACCTTTAAAATATCATTCGGTCGTGTACTGGATATGCATTTACTCTTGGAGCGTGTTGGCTGGTTATCTTAAGCACAAAAACACGAATCGTACGAATAAAAATGTTAATCAGCAGTCAGTGTGTTTACCGTCGTATCACTTCTTCGCCTCACTTCATAAAAGAGTTCGAACTTTGGGGTGATCTCAAAACATAAGTTTAATTGTGCAATATTTTATATAAGAAACATACAAAATCAGAGAGAACAGTTCTGTAGGTTTGACTAATTTTTAATTACAAATTTATTGATAATATAAACAGGATTATTAATAAAATAAACTTAATTTATCATAAAAGAAAACAATAATATTTTGAAATGTTCTAGATTTAGGCGTTCTCCAATTTGGAGGTAAAAACTTCAATTTCATCAAACGACAACACACTCAGTAGTGAGGATCTAGAAATTGACAGATAAAAATGTCTTCTCAAAGCGACAGGGATGGTCGGGGGATGCGGCGGAGGCCACGCAGGGGAGGTAGAGGAGGTGGACCCGAAAGACAACGGAAGGTTGTTTTCAGTCAAGTGGATCAAACGGTGTTTAAAATCACAGACACCGGTTTTGTAGTCCTTGATTCGATTCTCAGTATCGGTTTAGAGCTTGTTGCGTACTTTCCGTGATATTGCTTTCCCACAGTCACTAAATCGTCACATACTTGCCATTGTTTTCTATGAAGGAGCGAGACTTCATATCTTAGCCCCCAATTTCAGACACATTAAAAGGCTTAATTCTTCATAATTAAAAGAACAATACAAAAAGAAAACTGAAGTGGGTAACAAAAACCTAAAGTTATATGAATTGATTTGACTTCATTAAATACAGTTAAGGCTTGTACACGTAAAAGGAGTGAGCCAATGTCACTTACTCATAGTGATAAAATTGTTATTCTTGCCCCTTACTCAGTTTTTACAGGTACATATAATTACAGTGTATTACGACCTGCGTTTAATTCCTGCTGAGGCACTCAACGTGATTATTTTTTTACCTGTCCTGTTGCATATACATGTAGATGCATTATTGACCATTTATGGCAATCTTGTGCACTCAGAAATTGGTGTATGGTTACCCCAAGGCTGAGGAAAAATGTTCATACCAGCAACTGTTTAGTTGTTCTTCAAAACAATTCAAGCTTAAGGGTGACACCACTGAAAAAGTAATTAAAAGTCAATGACAAATTAGAACAATAACTGATTGAAGTAACTTAGTTATTATTTCTGGATTTTGAAAGACACTAGGCCTAAACACAACATTTTGGTGGTCGGGTGGTGCAGTGGTAACGCACTCGCCTTTCACCTAGCTGACCGGGGTTCGATTCCTGGAAGGACGTGAAAAGGTAAGGGGTCACCTGCCCGACCACGTAGGTTTTCCCCGGGTACTCCAGTTTCCTCCCAAAGTAAGACCCCTCGCGCGCTTACAAACGGGCCAACAAGAGTGACTAGTATAAGTTGACAAAACTTTTTTTTGCAATTGTTGTAAAAGAAATAAAGTTTATAAGTTTAATCACAACATTTGTTTCATTATTTGGCTTAGGAGGAGTATGGAAATGAAACTTCTGAGAAGCCACGCCCCATCATCCTGGCCAAACCATCTCAAGAACAGGTATAATTTGGTATCATATTGATTATGATACACTTTAGTTGCAACATGGTTCTGACTTACATTTAAAGGAAAAGATTTCATATATTGGTTTCCATGGCCAAAGTGATCTAGAATTTTTACCACTCTATACAATTTTATGAGCATGGCACAAGTTTATGGTCCTAATATGGAAACTGAATACAGCATATATAAAATATTTACATTTTATATCATAAAATGAGTTGCAGATTTTGTTTGATGACGAGAATTATTTTTATAAAAGGGCAGCACTTCCACAACAGCTGGAGTGACTCCAAGCGTCAGTGGACCTGCCACACCCTCGGCACTCGGAAGTAAAACTCCAGAGAAGATGGTGATGTTGAGAAATCGTGATGATGTCCCATCAGCTCCGACTGGAAACTTGACTAGCATTCCAGCATCTTTGACCTCAGGTGAAACCCCACCTCCTCAGCCCACTCACACTGTGCAGCGTAACCAACACTTTTCATCTGAAAGTAAGTAGCTAGGCACTTTATTCAAATTTTAATGCAGTGAACATATGAAGGGATACAAAAGTGTTTACAAACACTGTATACAAACAAACAGACTTAAATCAAAATTTAAAATTTTGATATTGCTGACCTGTTTATGGACTGCCATAACTTTTTTTTTATGTTGGGGTAATTAAGTTTCTAGATCATCATAAGGAAAGGGTGGTCATTTTTCTTATAATTTGGATAAAAATGAAATTACTCAAGAGGGAGAGGGGGATTCTGATTGTGAATTTTTCAATCCTTGTTCCGTTTGTATAAAATATTGAAGTATTTCATCAATCTTGGTCTGCAGCTTGAAAAGATATTATTTCATATATTCATTTAAAACTAAGGAAATTGTATGATGTATTAGAATGTATGTCACTCTTCTTTTCATTCATATCCTGAAGGACCTAGGAAATTGTGTTCTTGTGAAATACCATGTATGGAAGTTATTTCCCCTTAACAGGTTCAAGTCAGAACCGTCTGGCTCCGCCTCCAGAGATGACTAGATGTACAAAACTGGTGGATGAATCTCAGATGTGGCAAGAGTCGGCAATGGAGGTGAGACTTCTGGCTATAAGCACAATGAAGTAACATATTACCCCATACTTAGAGTCAGGTGAACAACCCATGATTTTATATTCCGTTTGGAAACTGTATTTTTCTATATGCTACTGAACAGCTGTAGATATCAGTGAATTTTTTATCAGATATGGAATCTTTGCCAGATAGATACAATGTGCGGTAAGATGTTCCCTGTTGATGAATGCTGAATCAATACAGAATCTATCCAGCAAAAAAATTGATGCTTGGTAATACAATCCAAATCTACTACTATTCAGTAAAATTACAAGGAATTGCTATTTAATGGTCCTGTAATAAGCCCATCACCTGAATCTGAGATAGAATAAGCATGTTTGCATCCGGATCTTTTTCCAGGATTCACAGAGTGATAAGAGACTGGACAATATTTCCAGTATCTATGTCGTTAAGGACTTTGAAAAGCAGATTTTGATACTTTTATTTCTGGGGGTACATGTCTCCGTTTTATCCAGAGAAGAAGATTCCATTGTACGTTTATCCGTTGTAGATGTTGGTGGACCAGACAGATTTCCTGGTGGTTGGGGTTATTGGACCTCAAGGCAGTGGGAAGTCTACAGCTCTGTCGCTGCTGGCCGGTAACTCTCCTGAAGACAATCACAGGTAAGTTAAAACACTGATGATGAACAACTCTTGGGGACAAATCTATCAAAGTTTGATCCAAATTCTGTTTATTCTCATAGAAGACAATATATTTCCAAGAAACGTTAATTCTAAAACATGCTTGTCCAATATGCGAATCTCTATTAAGAGTTATCCTGCCATATGCTTACTAAATCTATGAATCTATGATAGGTATCTGCTTATGTGTATCCTCAAATTGTACAATATCTGGTGACTTTTGACAAGATTTATGAGTGTGTCATTGCCCTCAAACTCAGCATTCTTTTCTATATGGCATGTTCACAGAAACTTTTATTGTTGATTTAAAATTCAAAAACATAAAAAGAAAAAAACACTTTTGTAGACAGTTCCTGTTTCCACCCCAGACCCATGACACCATTGAACTGTGTGAGCACCAGACCAGTGGAGTAGACATGTTTGTGTCTGGTGAACGAGTCATCTTTCTTGATACACAGGTTTGTCTGACATTTTGAAATACGTTTCAAGTGTCTGTCATGTGGCGATAGCATTAGTATTGATAAAGTTTTGTGTAACCCTGTGATGAGAGAATTTACAACCACATTTTTGACATTTTGATTGACCATATTGATAGCCAAAGATTTTTGACAAAATATTTTTTATGCATATTATAAATAATTTTATTATATCATTTAATATTGATGAGCTGTATTGAGCAGAGGGCAGTTGAATAATGACCATATATTTAAAAATTTGATGGGCTGTGTTGAGGGTCTTTGAATATTGACTGGTGGGCTATGCTGAGGACCTGTGAATATAGACTGAATGTTTGACAGTCTGTGCATGATTAATACAGGTGTGTTTATGCAGCTTTGAAAGTAAAACCTGAACATTATTTAATTTTTTTTTGACAGCCTGTGATGAGTTCATCGGTATTGGACCGGATGATCCGCCACGATAAGAAAATTGGTTCTGAGTACAGTACAGCAGAAAACTGCATTGAAATACAGGTAGGTGATGTGCAATGCAATTTCCTCTGATACGATTTGTAACTGAATTTTTGAAAAAGATATTAGAAGTTTTTTCCATTTAGAAAATTCATTCCTCTCTTTATCATTTCGAGATTGCATTGCTGAAATGAACCAGTAGAAATAAATAGGAAAATTCCAACGCGTGCTTGTCCAAAATCCAAGATTTAGAGTTTGTGGTGAAGCTGTTCCTATAGCCTATTGAAGTTGAAAAGGATTGTAGACACTTATCTAGAAGACATCCATTCAAAAAATATAAAAGGACCCCATTTTATCCAAAAAGGGGTCATTTGTTAATACCAAGCACAAACCCTGCAAATGAATCTAAGCTCCTCTCTGATGGCAGTTTGATTTTGTAACAAGAACTGAAGTCTACACAATCAGATGTTGATTATCTTGTTTTAAATATTTTCCTGACATTAATCAGATCTCCAATTTTGTTTTAGTCCTTGCAGCAAGCTGCCTTCTTGATGAATGTGTGTCATGTTGTTCTGGTGGTGCAGGATTGGTTTACTGATACAAGCTTCCTTAGGTAACAAAACATATTTAACTTTATATTTATTTTTATAATAAGCCCAGGAAGGGGGAAATATATAATCTCCAACTCAAAGTCAGATTTTGGGATATTACAGAGGGGTAACACATAATCTCAAACTCAAAGTGATGGGTAGGGATATTACAGAGGGGCAACACATAATCTCCAACTCAAAGTAAGATTTTGGGATATTACAGAGAGGCAACACATTACATCCAACTTGAAGTTAGGGTTTGGAATGTTACAGAGGGGCAACACATTATCTCCAACTCAAAGTCAGGGAAATAGGTTTGGGATATTACAGAGGGGCATCAGGTTGTGTCTAACTCAAATTCAGGCCTGAGGGGTGGGGGATATTACAGTGTGGCAACACAATATCTCCAACTAAAAGTCAGGACTGAGGGATTGGGATATCACAGAGGGCATTACATAATTGATAACCAAAAGTCCGGGGAAAAAGAATCAAACAAGGGATCATCACAGCATTGCAAAATCCAAACAAACATGTGAATAGCAGCTATTATGAACAAAGATGGTAATGTTTTACCCATAGAAAACTTGATCGTGACATGATTGTATCAATTAATCATAATCTTTTCATCCAAATCATTTACATAACTATACAGCAACTGGCACACACCTTGGTAGTCTTTGAAAAGAGGTAATTTTTTCAACAATTTTTTTTTCAAAGAGCACTTTTGGGGTTTTCTTCTGAATTCCGCATGTTCTAATATCTTACATGTAATAAATCAACAGATTTCTGCTGACTGCAGAGATGCTGAAGCCATCATCACCATCCAGTAACCACGACAACCCCAGTGAAGACTCATCAGATTATTTTCCAAACTTAGGTAAGGATTGTATAGAGTGATTATTTCTAAACTACTGAGTAATACTATTAGAAGCATAAAGTGTTGCATAACGGTAATATCAGCCAGTCCTGATCTCATGGTAGCATTTTAAGAACCAGTCTAGAAAGAGATCATGATAGATAAAACTTCAAAACCTAGAACCAGGCAGGATTTCAGAGTAGTTTTTTTTTGGACCAGACAAGATCTTTTAGGATAGCTGCTTGTAGGACCTGGTTCAATCTTAGAGCAACTCCCTTTGAATCCAGTCTGATCCCAAATGGTATGTAGCTCTTTTAGAAAGTTGAACTATCTATCAGTCTTGCAATTGGTTTCAATGTCTAGAATTGATGGCATGAGTTCAGTGTCATCACAAGAAAATCCAAAGTATTAAAGTAGGTGAAGTGAACCAAGAGAAAAGTCTTTTGGATTTCAAAATGTTTTTACTGGTTAATAATGTGTTGTGACATTATTAACCACAAAGATTAAAATTTAAAAAGTAAGTGCATGACTCTGATGTCAATATTAGTGTTTATTTCCTAACTGGTAAAAAATTGTCAGGAAATAATGAATCAAAAGATGATTTCAATTGAATGAGAATAACTAGGCAGTAGGATATAGATGACAAGAATCACAAAGTAGAGCCAATCCCCTCACATAACACACAGCTTGTCCATATGTCTGTCTGTAAAAAATCGTAAAGACAGTTCCTGAACTCAAGAACTAGTGAATGCAACTACACAGGAATGTTAGGAACCATGTGTGAACACATGTATTATGCAGGTGGATTTTTCAGCATGAATTTTGGCTATTATGTTAACAGAAACAGGATTTTATGAAATGATCCCACAGCCCATGTCTTTAAATGAATTTTAATTAAAAAAATTGTCAAATAGTAAAACTTATTGAAACCTATACTTTGACACCTTTATAAAAACCTTTAATTTGACACCTAAGGAGTTCCAAAACAATTACTATGGAAACTTAATGGAGGCATCTGATTGGTTGAAATTTCTGTACTGTCCAGTTATGCTAGAAAAAGATATGAAGAATGGTAATTACAATGGCACAGTTTTCCAAACCATGTGACATTTGATGCCATTTGGTTGCAATGATGTGTTAGAAGGATCTTGTCCACAGTTCTACTTCAACATGGGAACCAATCTCATTGAAACTATCAGAAATATCATGGGCCATATGAACATGCAGGTTTGTTTTGGATTGTTCTTTTGTTGTTTTTTTGGGGGGAGGGGTGGGGAGGAAGAGATTTTGGTTGCCATTGTAACCTGGTCATTAAACATATCTATTTGTGAAATGACCCTTTGCTTTTATAAGATATGGTTAGGAAATGAGGCATGTCCAGGGAGTGGTATTATCCATGATTATATGAAAATTCAAGGTCATACATAAAACTTCCAGGTGCCTGGGGCTGAAACTACACAATTTGTGTATAATCACTGTGGATCTACAGTGGATATTAGTTAATCTAAGGTCCGCAGTTCACGCCAGTCTTGCATTACAAAACTATATAATGTCATCAACATGACACAAAATCACCTTGTAAGACTTTCAACTGACCAAAAAGTTTCTTCTTTTTACTAACAAAATTAACTTAATAACTAAAAAGACCACATTTGATTTTCTGTATCATTTTTATTAACATTCTTCAACTTCTACAAGAAATACAAAGTCAACAACAAACATTTTCTTATTATCGCTGTCTGAAGCTGGCAAGATATGTTACCAGCATCACTCTCAGAAGCTGACAGGTTGTGTTCAGCATTCCCTGTCTGGGGCTGGCAGGATCTGACCAGCATACTACTACTAGCATTACAGTATTCACATTCACAGTATATGTACAGTGTTACAATCTTCAACATACAATGTTATCTTAAACTGTCTCTAACTGTAAATTACAAGCACGCAACTTTTATATAGTGAACTGGTGTGATTGGCAATTTACTAGTGAGAAAATTAAAGATAAAAGTTTGACCTATTGGTTGCAGTGGAATAGCATAAAAATGAAACATTGATAAAAGACAACACATGTATTCAGAATATGATTTGGACAAAGATTTTTTTAATGGTGGAAAGAAACTTGGGATTATCTTGTAATTCAGATATTGACAGAAAACAAATGTCTTAAAATAGTAAAGTTTTTTTCCCAAAAAGCTTGACAAAAAACAAAAAGGAAAAAAAAGGAAAGAAAACCCCAAAAAAAACCAACAAAATGAAAAAAGACGGTTTTGAATACAAAATGATTCTAACATGTTATGTAAAAAAAATTGAAAGTTTAATTTTCGTAAACTTGAAAATCTTGATTATTTAATTCTAAATTATTGCTTGTATTAAGCCTACAAAAATATTCTCATTGGAAGTTCTAGTCCTATAAATGGCTCCCATAAACAGAAATACAAGTATCTGTGTTTGCTCCTGTAAGAGGTTTGTAGCATATACAATCAAACTGTCCTTGCTGTAAACAATTTGAAAATAATGTAAATACACATTACATTGATAACAAATATAAATATGAAAATACTGATGTCCTAGCCTGTATTACAATTTAAAAGGATGTAAGTTTTTATATCTTACAAAAGTTTTTTTGACTTCTCATGGTATATTTTGTTGCTAAATCTGACAAAAGGTGATCATCTGACTATCACAAGACCAAACAATGAGATAGTCTTTGTTATTCACAGCATGACTGAATTTACTGATTTTTTGGAAAGCCCATTTTAAATCCAAACACAAGCTTTCAGATTCATCATTTTTCAAGTCTCTCGATCAACTGATCAGAAACTTGTCAAATAAAAGCAGTGTAAAAAATTTAGTAAGTTCAGAGTGCTTGCTCAATCTTTACACTGTAACATTTTACTTAGTTATTTGTTATATAAAGTATTTAGACGTTATAAGTGCCATATATAAAAAACAGTCCAATACTGTTGTACGCAATGCAAAAAATGTATATTTTTATCATCTTTGTTTGAAAACAAGACAGATGGCAATGATAATAGATGTCTATGAAACAACACATTGTAGATGATGTGATGGTCCTTAATATGACCTCCTAACCTTTTGCCCTATGCAAATGAATACATCTGGCCACACTTCATTAATGAAAAATGTCCTTCCATGTAGAACTTTGATCAACAAAAACATCGCTACTTGAGGGGAACGCAGCAGTACTGCTGTAGTATGTAACCTGATAGCTCCACCTGTAGGAAAGATCACTCTAAACTCATGGATGTACTACACTTTAATGCTGATTCCAATGTTTATTTTATGAGAACTTTTTTTTTTGTGGGAAGTGAAGAATAGTTGAATAATTTGCAAATGTTGTACTTATAATCAGTTTTATACCTTTACCCATGCTCCACTAAGACTTGAGGAAATGCTGTGTATCCTAAAGGTCATTTACAGCATCACATGATTAGGCTATCCTAAAGGTCATTTATAGCATCACATGATTCGGACACCTAAAGGTCATATATAGCATCACATGATTAGGCTATCCTAAAGGTCATTTATAGCATCACATGATTAGGCTATCCTAAAGGTCATTTATAGCATCACATGATTAGGCTATCCTAAAGGGTCATTTATAGCATCACATGATTCAGACACCTAAAGGTCATTCATAGTATCATATGATTATGTTGTCATAAAGTCTTTCATAGCATCACATGATTATGCTGTCCTAAAGGTCATTGTAGCATCGCATGATTATGCTGTCCTAAAGGTCATTGTAGCATCACATAATTATTCAGTGTTCTGATAAACAGATGATCTACAGTACATATCACTCAATAGCACTTTTATTGTCAGTGGTCCACCATTTACAATTTTCTATATTCCTGCATTGAAAAGATCTACAATGTTTTTAACAAAAATCATGTTAACCTGTTGTCCTTGTTTTCATATTACATATGTAGATCTATACAATTATATCTTTACAGTATCATGTGCAATAATAATTTAAGGATTTCAACTATTGTCTGGGGAAATTGCTAAACTGTTGACCAGCATAGGACGTCTGAAAATGCTCAGGCATTTGAACAATTATGATGAAGCATCTTTCCAGTGGTGATTTCTTATAAATATTAATTGCTGCTTTCCTTATCATAATGTCTTCTATACATTCATACGTGCAAGTGAATTTCTCAGCATGAATGGCCTTTATCTGATTAATTTTGACAACTCTTATTTCAAACCCTTGATATAAGTCAATTGTCAAACCTATTTCCACCACATTGTCAGACCAGTTATCCCTGACTAAGGGAAGCAATGCAGAGAAAAGTGATGTTGATGATCCAAAAAGGCTTGCTAAATGCATAGGTACTGGCCATACTCAAAAACATTAGTACCTGAAATACCTGTCCTGCTTATTTTTAAACATGTAATGTATAAAACCAAAAAAACCAGAAAAAAAAAATCTAATCCATTATTATCGAAAAGATTTTGAGGTTAAAATTTATTCATCAAAATCACTTTTGACACATCATGAACATAACGCATTGTAGAAATGTTTTAAACAAAATGATGATTGAAACTTAAAATAGTACTTGATCTAGTAACAATTTTTCATTTAACACCAAGCAACAAAAGCAGCAAGAGCAGACAATTCTACCTCTTGACCTTGTTTAGACCCATTTTTGAATGAAACATTTTACCGAGTTCACAATGTTGCATCAAGTAAATACACTTTAACATGTACCACACTGGCTTTGTCACTGCATTACATTAATGTATATATTTTATGTGACAAATAATAAAGGAAAAAAAAAAAAAAACAGAGAGAGAAAAAAAAGATCCCAGGCATAAGCACTCTGATGCGAGATGTAATTTGCTGGATTGCATGTGGATCATGTGATGGAATAATGAAGACATTATTAAAAAAAATAAAAGTAAAAAAAAAGTGATTTAAGAATCAATTTTTGAAAGAAACAGAAAGTGGCTTCCCCTTGTAATACTTGTAGCCATTTAAACAGTTAACAGCCATCTGAGCTGCATTATAGTTTGCCATGGTGACAAAACCATAGTTTTTTGTCAGTCCCTTTTGGTGGTCATAGATAACATTTACTTTCTGTACGACACCATAGCGCGAGAAAAGAGCCCATAGATTCTTTTCGTTGGTCTCCGGCCCTATGTTATACGCAAATAGAACATATCCTTCATGAGGCTCCATTCCATTACCTGGACTTCCGTAGCCACCTCCAGTCATTGGATTGTAACGCGAACGATTTTGCATGTTGCGCATTGGGCCACCTGGGAAGCCCCTTGGGCCAGCTGGATACATTGGTTGAACTGGTGGGCGAACTTTCTGAGCATTGTCCTCTGCATATTTGATCATTAAAGGCAAGTCCCCCTCACGAAGTGGAACACCATTTTTTTCTGCTAATGCTGTATCTGCTGAAGCTTTTTGACTAAACAGTATGAAACCTACACCTTTAGAATTGCCAGTATCTTGATCAGTTAGAACACGACATTGGATAATTTCACCATAACATTTGAAAATACTCTCAAGATCCCCGGCAGTAAAATCTCGTGGAATGTTCCTGACATACAAGTTAGCTCCCTTGATGCTGTCACCTCCGGGTCTTGCTAATGCTACCTTGATGTATTTATTTTGGAGCTGAAGGCCATTCAGGGACTGTATGGCACGCTGAGCATCCTCGGGCGACTGGTAATCGACAAAACCAAAACCATAGCTGTAGTTAGTAGCCTTGTCACGGACAATCTTGCATGATTTTATATTACCAATGGAGGCAAACATAGAGTGGAATTCGGCATCAGTCAGGGTTTGGGGCAGGTAGTTGATAATCAAATTGGTCTGGTTTTCCGACATGTTGGTCTTGACTGGACACCAAGTTCATCATTGTGAGCAGCGAGGAGAAAAAAAAATATGTAAAAAAAATTAAAACCAATCCTTTCGCTCAGGCTGAGGAAAATGAAAAGAGACAACAAATGAATTACAATTGAGAAAATTATCAGATATAACAAAATGGTAGCCTACTTTCTAACAAGATTTATCCTGCAACTGGTACTGCCATTGTTAGAAAACAACTGCCACATATAATTTAGCTGTATTCGGCAGTGACAAAAAAACAGCTGTATTTTAGCATGGGCGGAAATTTGAAAGAATAAAATTATGATTAGAAATATACATTGTTGGAATAAGCATTTTAATATGTTGTAATGAACAAGTTAATGAACATTTATAAGATCACTTTCTGTGCAGAGCAATTCTTTTGGTGTTCATCATCAGGCAAAATTCAGTGTAATGTCAACATCAGGTTTCCACAGATTGAACAACAAAAAGAGTTTTCATCAATGTTGCAGGATAAATAGAATACATAGTCAGTGTCTGAAAATGTAAGCGGTATTTTGGCTGGGGACAGAAAGACAAAAATGGCTCATCAGAGGCTAGCAACTTTTGTCTTTCTTCACCGACACCAAAATACAGCATATATTTTAAGACACCGGCCGTGTGCTTTTTTTTTACCTCTTGACCAAACATATATTTTTGCTTTAACTTTTAATCCCAAATCCCGATCCTTATCAAACCTATTCCCACTGTAATGGTTTGGACATAACTTACTGCATGTCAATGCATTCCTCATTTATTTTATATAAAGAAATCGTATGAAACAACCCCTCCCCCTCCTTCGCGTTATTGAGAATAGTCTTAAAACAAATTAATGCAGAGTGTGCTTATACTTCTAGTTCTAAATAATCGAGTACAGCATTCCGAAATACTATAATGTGATAATATCAGCACAGAATTGGAAATAATTCACATGCATTGCATTCAATTCATCATTGTCGACGAACCGGCGTCCCGATATTTTACACAAAGGGAATGCTGACACGCGGTACAACCAGAAAGTAATGGAGTTAAAACACGAATTTATAACATGTGATATTACCTAGATGTCACACAATATTCGTTCTTGAAGAAAAAAATACAAAACACGTGGTATTTTTACCTCGGGTAACGGACCAGCGGAGGAAATATGGCGACTGGAAAAAATGACGTCAGATTATAATTAGGCAAGGGGACGTTACTCACACTTTAGGAAGCGCACCACAAAATGTCAATCCTATCATTTACACTGCAATCATCCATTATTTAACCACTTAGGCGAAGCTTTTCAGAAGGTTCCAACCGGTAAAGTCAGGAAAATATAAAATATTCAATACTTTTTGATATTTTATATTTAGACATGAAAAAAATATTGTATTAAAAATAGTCAAAAGCATTGATGTTTACCATGAAGTTTGTGCCATATAGTGAAATAAATTAGAAATAAAATAAAAATAGATTGAAATAGGATTTAAATTAATAGGATTTGCTTTGAAGCATGGATATTAGTCAGTGTAATTTGAACGTATCAAATAAAACTGTGATATATTTTCCAAATGCAAAAATGAGTTAAATTCCCATTCTTCAACAGGATACATTTTCAATAACCTACTACACATAGCAGATTTTGATTTGAACATATTTATTGCCTTAAGGATTTCCAAGGAACCAGACAAAAGGTATACTTTTAAACCGCTAAGGACATTAGTAGGGCATGTTTGTGTAGTTGATGTATGTCATAGTTTTGTTATCGCAGACATGTAGAATGGTGAAAAAAAACAACATGTTACATCAATATTAACTTTGTAACATATCCTTTTACAGCATTATGCCTTGTAATAAGCCCTCCAAGCCATATCTGTAACGGTTCTGTAGAGTTACAAACAGCTAATGTGTTTGAACATTGTCCTTCAATAATTCCAAAACACTTCATTTAGGTATCTGCAGTATAAGCATATTCATTAGAAGAAAAAAAGGGATGTTTGGTCTGATCAATTGCAAAGAGATATCAATCCTCCAACATGATCTATGTTGTACCTGCTTTTTGATGCTCATTATAAGCTTACATCGACATAATCGCTAAATTGACTTGTCACTAGTTATGTTAACTTGAAGAATCTATCATCTGTTAATTTTTAATTTATAATGTGACTATAAAGCATTATTTACCCAGTATGTCAATGCATCGACTAGGATTCGAACATTGGACCTCTGGCTTATACTTGTCTTATGTCAACTGATCAAGTGAAAGAAAAGAAGTTCCCTTTAGCCAATTGGTATACACATGTAGATTTAAGAATACCTGGAGTATGGCATCCATCGGCTATCAGCAATTGAGTGTAATTTTTTCCCTTCAAACATCTTCTTCTCAATAACCATATGTATTGTGATATTTGGATATTAGGTTCCTTGGCTAATGCCTGACAACATTTGTGAAATGATTCATATTCAAGTTCACAGAGGTAAAATTTGTTAAAACCTTCAGACAATTTACTTCTTCTTAATATTCAAAATCCCTTGAATCATGATATGATATCTGACTTGAAAGTTCCCTTTATGAAGCCCAACAATGTTTGTGAAAAGAAATGACTGTGGTCCTAATCTGAGTTTTACAGTGGTTGAGTTTGATCATCCTTCAGACATCTTCTTTTCAAGTTTCATATATGCTAGAATCATAATATATGATATTTGAGTGGAAAGTTCCTGATATCAAGCCTGAAAAATTTTTGTAAAATTAAATGACCTTGACCCATATTCAAGGTCAATGGAATAAAATATATTAAACTTTAAGATGACTTTTCTCAATATTCAAAAGTTTTATATAGGAAATTTGACTGGAAAGCTCCCAGTATGAAGCTTAACAATGTTTATGGAAAAAAATGGCATTGACCCTTATTCAGTTAAGGTCATGGGTAAATTGTAAAAAGCTTCAAATGACATCTTTTCAATGTCCAAAAGGCTAGAATCATGATGTTTTGCAGAAATGTTCCTTGGATAAAACCAAACAGATTTTGTGAAAAGAAATTACCTTTAGACATATAGTAGGTCAAAGTATCAAATCCTATTATTCTGCTGGTGCATATGTAGTTTCTTGAATGAAGCCTGATAAAGATTTAAAAAAAGAAATAGCCTTGACTCATACTGAAGGTCATGGCAGTCAATTTCTTCTATTCATTTATCCAGACTTTGAATGTCGATGATGTAAATTATTTTTTTAAAATTCGAATACATAAAAGGTGATCGATGCAGGTCCATTGGACCACATGCTCCTCTTCCACCATGAAAGAATTTTATACTAGATATGAGTCCAAAGTGGGAAATGGTTTCTTTACCTGTACAATAATGTCACTAGATTCACCAGATATATGTGTACTTTATTTTCAGTGTTTATACAGAACAAGGCAGTGTGGGATCACTTCAGTGTAGAAACATTCAACTCTATGCAGCAGACACTGATGAAAGTCTTTGAAACTTCCAAGCTGAAATATAGAGGTGATCTAGCAAATACTGAAAAATTTCCAAGCATTTCATATCAGTTTTTTTTTTTCTCTATGCAGAAATCTGTAGACTCTATTGATCAGTTTTAAAGGTTTCTATTTAAACAGAAAATCCATAGATATATCAGTATACCTTCTGTTAATTTGCATATACATAAAAGACTTCTTATTTGGGTATATTTTATCAACCTCTGTTCAAATTGCCCTTCCTTCCTGCACCACCAATCAGTCCATAAATAATAGTTGTTATCACTATTTCTTGAAGTTCTAAGTTCGAAAGGAAATCATTTTCAAATCTAAAGTGATAAATTCCAATTTGTTCCTTGAAGGTCGATCAGAAATACTGGATTTTGAGAGATATATTGTCTTATCACTATTTCTTAGCAAGTACAGGATGGATGATTCTGAAATTATGAATATAAGACAAATACACATTGGTCCATAGTAGGCCTCATTAGTTAAGGTGTTTTAGCTTGAAGGTGACCATCTTGGATTTTGACAGATATAGTTTATTGCTGTTGAGAAGTACTTGATGTAATTTCTACTTTGTTCCTGGATGTACATGGAAGAGATATGATCCAACTGATTAAGAACTAATAGAGATTATATGAGGGTGGGCTCGAAGCTCCTTCTTGGTTCTCTCGCCAATATCTCGTAGTGGGTTGTACTGTTTATATTCATTTGCTGCTAATCTCATTGAAAAACACATTGTCACTTTTACTTATGTCTCTGTGCCACATACAAGAATTAAAGAGTTCAGTATTCCCAATGAGAAATTATGTAACTGGAGTATTTGACCCAGTAAGCGTCCATGCTCCTATAAGTGACCCTCATCCATTAATATGCTCCTGACAAAATATTCTGGTAAGTTTTGGTATCACCATTATACAAAATGAAAATAGTTTTCAAGTTTATTAAAGCAAATCTGGTCCTAAGCAACAGAGGAATATTAATTCATCATTTATAAATACAACTTTACAAGAAAGATTTTACTGCCACCCTTATTGATAAAATGTAACGTATCTGTCGTGAATTATTTTGAATTTGTCAAAAGTAGTCCTATTATGTTTGAATCTTTAGGTTCAGTGACTGTGGCTGATGGGAAAATGCTACCAGGTCTTAACCGGAGAACTGTGAAGTCAGATATCAATCTGTATCCTCTTCCTTGTATTGACTCAGCTGGGAAATCAAATCAGGGTAAAGTAGTGTTTTCTATTACAAAGTCAACCAAGGTCACGAGGTCTTTTCAGGATCAAGGAGTAACTGATGGTACAGTTCATGTATAAATATTGGGCAATAAGATGAAATATGAAATGTATCCACCTTACCTTAATTATTACAATCTTATTTATTAAATGAAATAGATTTACTAGTTTTTGATATGCCATAGAAAAAATTGATATTTGTGCCTTTAATAGTTTGTTAGACATTTATTTGTAAAATCTAAATAACTCTTCCAGAATTTTGGTTTTTATTTTTAAAAAAGTCTCAGTTTCATAATTTATTTCATTTGTTATAATAATGTATTTGTGAATTTACTTTCACTGTAGAAGCCATCCTGACCCTGTTGCCTGAGTATAGAGGTTATCCAAGCTTTACTACACTCATCAATGGACTTCGCCAGCAGATCTATGCTTTACCACGAGAACAGCTTACCCACACGACACTCTCGGAAAAAAACTGGTATGTATATTATCAACTTGAGCAGAGTAAAAACCAATAGGATGATTTTACAAAAAAAGACACTCAAGTGAAAAGCACTTTTCAATACAAATTTAGAACTAGGTACAGTAGAGAAAAGTAGGAAATAAAACAAACTGAAGGTTTCTTCTTGTCAGTGATGTCAAAGGCCGAAATTTTGAAACCTAGGAGGTGATGGAGGCAAATCAGAATACATATTTTATTGCCAAAGATATTGATTATACATTGGAAAATGGTTAGATTATTGTTATGTTATCAGTAGACAAAAGTTATGTTATACAACTTTACATCATGATGAAATATTTATCCTGCAGTAAGCCATTTCTTGATGACATGAAAATGCTGTAACGTATTTGTTTTTTTTCATTGGCTTTTTCAATCCAGTACAAAATCTTTAAATCTTCATGGCGATTCCTTTCAAGTCTAATATTAATTATCTTCATAGCTACATTATTAAAGAAATTATTTCTAATTTCTGACAAATTTGGAATTTTTTGGGATCAAAAGTGCTCAAGATTTCATCAAAGCTGTAAAAATACTTCTGTCATATACTACTTGAACATGCAAAAGTTTTTGAAAAATATTGATTTCAACATTTCGTTTTATAAATGATTAGACTTTAAATCTTTTAAGCATGCTTTTAAATCTTTTATAAATTAAGATAGATTTTATTAAAAGATAAATATTTCTGTAAAGATCTGGCATATACATGTACAAAAAAAGAATCATAAAAAATGCTAAATATCTCAGTTAAAATGAGAGATTATTGTTTAAAAATATTCTAAAATGCTGATTCATGACAAAATGTCATGTGTTTCCAGGTTTCACTATGCTGCCAGGACATGGGATGCTGTTAAAAAATCTCAGTTGATGGCAGAGTACAATCGTCTTTTACACTGAGGAATGATGGGATAGCATCCAGAGATCCATTGTAAGGTTACATAGAACTTGAACTTTAACCTTTCCTGAAGCTGACTATTGATGTTCAGGTTGTCCACTGATGTAAAACTTGACCATTGAGAAAAAGGTTGATTGCTGATGGAATGTTTTACCACCAGTGCAAGGCTGGACTGCTGATCAAAAGCTAGACTGTTGGTGAAAAGCTTAACCACCAATTGGAGTCTGAATTGTTGGTACAGGACACGAGCACAGTTGGATGGCAAAGATATTGCAAGACCATCAGACTACAAATGAGACTCAACCTCATAACTTGGCCCTGATAAAAGGATGACTCCATATGTGGAGACATGACCACTAATAAAAGGATGGGTCCAGATGTGGAAAATGACCACTGATAATTAGATTGGTCCAGATGTGGAAAATGACAACTGATGATTAGATTGGTCCAGATGTGGAGAATGACCACTGATGATTAGATTGGTCCAGATGTGGAGAATGACCACTGATAAAAAGATGGGTACAGATGTGGAGAATGACCACACTGATTATTAGATTGGTCCAGATGTGGAGATTGAATACTGATAAAAAGATGGGTACAGATGTGGAGAATGACCACTGATAAAAAGATGGGTACAGATGTGGAGAATGACCAATGGTTATTAGATTGGTCCAGATGTGGAGATTGAATACTGACAGAAGTCAATACAACTTATGCTGGAACAATATTATGCTATTTATAGCTGGTTGACCAGATATGAACTCCAGGAAATATACAATTGTTTATTTTATGTTAAACAACTACATAAACAATGAACAGCTGGACCAGGCTATATTGAAACATCAGAAATATAGGTCCATTTGATATGCATGATACTATCAAAAGTTTTAAACACTATTAAAACACATTTTCTGTATTTATTTGTGTCTTTATATTTTATTACAATTTTTTTGGTCTTATAAGTAGTAAGGAATTGTGTTTTTTAACTTTTTTGATATCTTTTGTAGCTCACATTTTCTGAGGTATAGTTTGATTTCTTGATGGAACTTTTTGCTCTGTGGTGTAAAATCAAGCAACAGTACAGGATTCTTTTGTGACCTATATTTCCCACGTAGACGAGGGATCAAACTACACTCCTAAGATCTTCACCAGAGGATATCTAGTACATGAATATGGCTCTATTTTTTTGTTAAAAATCTGTTCTCTGTCAATAAGCAGCTGGGCCCAGGATAGCGACATTTGGAAAGTTTGATTCCTTTGATGGAATGCTACAAAATATCAATGACCCTGACCTATTTTCAAAGTCATATCAGGTTCAAATATTCTTAAAATATATTTCAATCTTCTTGTGTTTTAAATGATCCAAAGTCCTGAAATTAGGCCAGCAGGTACCAAGGATAGAGTGCAAGAAAGTTTTCTCATATAAATAACCTTAACCTATATTCAATGTCACTGGAGTCATATCATTATCTTTATCTAAGTCCAGGTTGAATGAAAATTATATTCTGAAGTTCAAGAAGACCAAGCTGATATTTAGCTAGAAGGTACCTGGGGTGAATTTCATGAAGTTTCCTCCAGTGAAAGTCCTTGTCAGGTGGCAAGGGTCTAAAGATCATTAAAACGTTTATGAATCTTTTCAAGTTCTAGAAGACCTAGAGCCCATTTGGTACCTGGGATGGAATGAAAAGCGTCCTTCCTTAAATGAACTTTTTAAGGTCACAGGGTTCAGTGTATAAAAACATACCTTCTCAAGTTCCAGAATGCAAAAAATCTGTTCTTGTTTTGGTTAGGAGGTACCTTGTACCTGAGATAGATTGCTTTCTGATATAAATGACAATGATCTTTTTTCAAGGTCACAGGGGTCAAAATATTGAAAATTCATTTAAGAATCTTCTCCAGATAACCAAGAGTTTTGATATTTTGCAAACAAATACCTGGGATGGAGTGCTACAAAGTTTCCATCAAAATGTTCATCAGGTCTTTCACGGTTAGAAGGGTCAAATATGTTCAAAATTGTATACAATCTTATCAAATTTCAAATTACAACAGGCGAAGGCTACAGGCCCATGACATGCCATCCAGAGCAATTAAGATGATGTGTCAAAGGACACAACCACCTCAGCACAGACTTGCCTGTTTCAATTTTCTGAAAAATGTAAACCATCATATATTCAAATTAGAGTACTAATGATCTTGACCTATTTTCCAGGTCACAAGGGTCAAATAAATTTTCACTAGAATTTCCAGGAAACCTCATTTTTGACCAGTAGGTACTTAGAGTCCTATTAAATGTTTCCTGCTATGAAAGACGTTGAGCTATTTAAAGGCCAGAGGGGGTCATACATCATTAACTTAAAAACTTTTGAGAATCTTTTAAAGTTTCGCAAGGCCAAGGGTACTGCGTTTTGGCCAAAAGGTTCCTACTATGGAGTGTTGGTAAGTGTTCTCATGGAAATGATCTTGACCTATTTTGAAGATCACATGGATCAAATATGTCAAAAACTTCAGATTCTTCTAAAGTTAAAGAGTACTTTAGGTCCTAATGATTTGCAAGTAGGTAGAGAGGATAGAGTGCTGTAGAATTTCTTAAAAGACCTTTATGTTCACAAAAGCCAGATCTGTTTTAAGTCAAAAATCTCTTTCAGAAAACCAGGGCAATCTTTCTTGTTATAAATATCATGAATGCTAGCACTACTCCTTTCATGTCCCTGTGAGCAAATTACTGGAATGGACTGGTCACCATCTTACTGCATTTAATCATTTAGTGGAACAGTTGATTATCTTTGATGCTTTCCTTGAGTTTGATCCAATGATTTAAGGCAGAAAAACACCAAAAAATGTTAACGGAAACAAGAGGCCCATGGGCCTGAAAAGTCACCTGAGGTCTTCAGGAGTTTTAGAAACTGACCATCAGTCCAAGCATTTGGGCAGACAGAACAGAACCGATATATGCATACTTACAAAGTTTTTATTGTTACTATGTTTAAAGGTTTAATTTTCAAACATAAGTGATGACACTCTCTGTTGATGTAGTTTAGCATATTTGAGATCAAGGCCATTCATTTGAACAAACATGATATCCCCTTATCGTCAGCAGAATATCAGCAGCAATATCAGCATCCTGGGCCATTTGCTTATGGAGAAGAAGTTGTTTGATATATTTTATACAAATGACCTTGAAAGTGGGTCAAGGTCAATAATATAGACAACCTAGGTAGCACTTCATCCAAGCATGCTACAGACTCAATATTAGCACTCTGGGCCTTTTGATTATTGAGAAGTTTTTTCAAAGATTTCAACACATTTGACTCCTGTAACCTTGAAAGTTGGTCAAGGTCATTCATTTGAACAAACTTGGTAGACCTTCATCCTAGCATGCTAAAAGTCCAATATCAGCTCTCTGGGCTTTTTGGTTAGTAAAAAGTTAAAAAATGTCAATTGTTTACAACAGACGCCTGACAAAAGGCTATCGCAATCGGTCACCTGAGATGAAATTACAATCTTCAATGATGTAAGTAAAATCTTAATTTAATTTTCTTCATCAATAAAAGTAAAATACATTCATCAGTTACATACACATACCAAGTACAACTAACTGTTTTACAGCCTCAAAAACTTCAGGGATTTCTCAGATAGGCCAAAGTGTGTCAGCGTCACTACAAAATGTACTTGATGCTTTTACCCGTGGTAAGACACGTTAAAAAGTGTCGGAGTCACTACACAACACATTTGATGCTATTGCCCATGGTAAGACATATTGAAGTGTGTTGGAGTCACTACACAACACAATTGATGCTATTGCCAATGGTAGGGTCACTAGTCTGGGAGTTCAACTTTGATGAATCCTGCTTCAGAGCTGATGCCAAGTGTCACAAAATCATGTTTATACAGACCAGAATCAACCACAGAATCTTCACAATCTGAGAACTTATCTTTTCTAAACCTGTCTATTTCTGACTTTATTTCCTTGCTGAGATCGCCATCGTTATACTGAATTACATATTCCGGTGTCTTTTGATCACAGTTGGGTTTTTCACACAGATTATCAGTAATTGTTGTGGAGCATTCCATTTCTCTCATTACCTCAGCTCCAGGGAAAACAACATTCTGATACAATCCTACAGCAGAGGTAGCAGCTTCTTGTAGATATTCATGTTCAACAGTTTCCCGTTCTATCACAACTCTAGGAATATCAGGGGCAGATAATCCATCTTCCAGTTCCATGGGTTCATTTTTTATCATAATTTGACTGCTTTGAAGCTCAGGAGGAGAAACCTGATGAACAGAAAAACCCTTCATGTCTAAATCCTCTTCAGGCTCAGAAGAACTAGAGCTAGCTACACATGGATTCTGATGTTTCAAAGCTGATTTTTCTGAGCTGTGATGAGTCTTGGAAGTCATTTTGTATTTTCTTTTTTTTTTGGTCTTTGGTAAAAGTAATTTTCTCTTCCGTTTTCCCAGTATTGTTTTTTCTGCAGTTCTTAATTTTTCCAAGCGTGGCAAGTTAAAATCACTTTGTTCTGAAGTTTGGTCACACTGAATATCAGATTCACTTCTACTTTTCAGAAATATATTGTCTGAAACTATGTTTTCCTGCAAATCAGATGCCTCAGATGATTCAGACGAATTACAACTGTTTAAACTTTTTAGAAACATAAGCACGAGTCTTTCTCTCACTGCTTTACCTTTTCCCATTGTGTCTTGGTCTTCTGTGTCTTGGATTGGATACTCACTTGAAACAATGTTGGCTTCAACATTTGAACCAAAACCCATGTCCCTTATAGAGATATAACTTGGATCTGTTGCCGGGTCTGTTGCGGAGTCATCTAATGAATGTAGTGTACAAGTAAAATTTTCCTGTATATTGTTTGAGACAATACATTTTATTAATTTCTTATTAAGATATTCCTTGGGTAACTTTTCCATACAACATACACATCGTAATATGTTCATATCAATCCACTCTGTGTTTTCAAAGAGGCTTTTGTTACGTTTGAAATGTTTCTCTACAACTGCTGGCGGCTTCTGAGGAAAAGAATTGAGACGTTGCAACTTGTATTCAATACAGTGTATTGAAATCACACGTTTCAATTGTAACTGCAGAAGACTTACAAAACAAACATCATTTACTTTGTAAGCTGTAAAGGCTGAGTGACTAATTCTAACATATCCAACTTTTATGGTTTCTTTACCTTCCTTACGAGTTGTTTTGGAGCTGGCACTATGTTCTTTGTCCTTCAAGAACTCTGATAATGGTTCAGACTCGCATTCCTGATCTTTTTTAACACTAACTAACTCAATGTCAGTGTATACATTAATAGTTCTCTCCTGTATCACATGACCCTGACACGACATACACCACATGTGACCACTTATCTTGACATAGAAATTCTCACTTGAGAAATTTTCATCATGTAGAGCCTCTGACCAGAAATTGGAATGATGTACACCGGGAACTCCACACTGACACATTTTATTCAGAAATTTCTTCAGATAGTGAACACTTATCATGAATTCTGTTTGTAGAAGGAAGGTTGTGTCATTCAGAAAAAGCCGTAATTCCTTTGCTAGATATCGTTGTTCAGAATCATGTTCTTTCAGAAATTCTTTGAGACATTTTATACCTATGGTTCTGAGGAGTTTTTGCTGGATTTCAGCAACACTAATATACAACAAACCCTGTTGTATTATACCAATCATCTCCTTATCCTGAATCAGCAACATCCGAATGTTTGGAAAGTGCACCACTTCCAGGCCCCTCCCTTCCTTCATAAAAACCTGGTCAGCCATTACATGCCTCTGATTTTCTGAATGACATTCACATTGCCGTGGAATGTGGTTCTTTAAATTTTCAATGCGTTTGCTGAAAGAAGTTTTCCTCAGAATAACTGTATTGTTTTCTCCAACATTTGAAAGCTTCAACTCAGTCTTTCCATTCACTTCACATACCGAAGAAATTGGTTCAGAAATATTTGACACAGGAGTTGTTTTCTCATCAATATGATTTCCATTACATACTTTTGGTTTTAGCTGGATGCTAGAATCCTTTCCTGATTCTGTTGGTCTGCTGGCTGGCAAATCTGATATATGATTTTCTGCAACACTAATACTAGTTTTTTCCTGCTTCCCTGGAGTCCTTGAATTTGAACTCCTGTCTTTGTTCAAACCATTCCTTGTCCTCTTACTTGGACACTCTTTAGAGTGCATAGATTCAATATCTTTTGCCTGACTCCTTGTGACCATATGTTTTCCATGCCGACTCCCATTCTTTTGAGTTTCCAAGCTGTCACTTGTGCACATGCTTCTATCTTTTTCCGATGGGTTGTTTGTGATATCACTTGCAATTGCTGTGATTGAAGAGTTCATTGAGGTAAACGCTGATTTTGGCAAGATTCTTGAAACTACACCTGTCAGAGGCTTAGATTCATTAAGATTTGATGAATACGTAGATTTTTCGCACAGTGTATTACAAGGATTTGATTCTACCGTCTGTGGTGTAAGTGTTGAAACTGAACTAATGCATGGTGACTCTGATTTTAATAAGCTAATTTCATGACACTTAGATTGTGACAAGTCAGAATTTTGTGGCTTTGCTGACTTTGAGTCAAATTGTGGGATTGCCTGTGTATATGTCTTGGACAGTGACGAGTCAAATGGTGATAGGATCTTTTCATGAAAATTGGATGGCGTCTGGCCTAAATAGTGTAAATGAGTAGAGGAAGAGGTTGGATGTTTTGATGGTGATGAGCTGTACGATGATCCTGAGTCTACTTGTAGGATTGATGGCGACACACCAGAGACCTGTAATTTTGATGATGAATCAAGAAGTGTCGAGTTCAATGACTTAGAAGGCAACAAATCACTGTGGTGGGCATTTTTTTCTGAAAGTCCTACAGTAGATGTATGCTCCTTCAGTTTTAGTACTTCGGCGTTTGTCTTGTCCATGACATTATCTTTAGTTTTCTCTACAGCATGTTTTGGTTCCTGGATATTAACATTATACACTGGGGCCTCCTGTTAAGAGAAATTAAATGATAAATATAACAGTTAATTTCCCAAAGAATTGTAATTAATAAAGTTTTACCATAAGCTTAAAGCAAAATGGGACATATTTTTTCCATGGAAGTATATAAAACATGATATAAATAACTCAAACACATCAGCTCTGTTTATCAATAAATATTACATAAAGTCTAAAATGAGCATAGCCAATTAAATTTTAAATATCAATAACAGCATAATAAATGGGAATGTTGACATTAAGATATCCTCTCAGAGACAGAAATTTTTGGTCTACTTTCTGGTCCAGTATGGAGGGAAGTTACAACCAACAATTATTTAAATTTTACAAATGCTGACAAATATTTTGTAATCCATCTAACCAAAGTATTACTACAGGTGTTGCATGCATGTACATTCTATTGCAGTTTCCCAATTTGACCTAAACTGTGGCCATTAATTACTAACATCAAAAATCCTGGGAGCTGAAAGCAAAAGATCATTTTCATCAAATTTTAGTCAGTATAGGAATTAAATGGGGCCATTCCATGTAAAATTGGAAGAAAATGGAAATATGGACTGGAAAGTCTCTAGGGTTATACCAGGTACTAGTACCTGTAGCATTACCTGATGTCCGGTTAATCTTTGAGCCCCTTCTGATAGCTTTACTGCATTCAGACTAGCCTTCACCAAAGCATCTGTGTTCAACTGGACAGGAGAATTTAGCAATATCATTCGACTCTTTGATGGAATTTTGATGGATTGGGATGCTAGCCTGATTGTCCTCGCTACACTCGGAGTAACTTGTTCCAACAGGTTTTCTGGTATACCAGTGATTGTCCTTGAAACTGGTGCTGTACTGTTATCAGCTTTGACATAACTGTGGGGATGCACTAGCGTTGCTTGTTCCAATCGAGTAACATTTTGAGAATCATTGACTTTCTTAAAATTATTTTCAATCGGAGAAACATTGATTTGACTAGCTTTTGTAAACTCTTGAGTACCACTGACAGGGCTAACTTTAATCTTATCTTCAGTACATTCAACTTTGTCAGTTTTATAATCAGTTTGAGTTTTTGGAGCCAAGCCAGCTTTACATGCATTTTCAGTTGCATTGACTTTACCAGCTTTAGTCACACTTTGAGGAATGACAGGGACAAGCATAACTTTAAAATTAGTCACATTTTTGGTACCAGGAATTTCCCCAGTTTGAGCTCCAGGGACCATGTTTACTCTAGTCTTGTTTTGTGTATCACTGACTTCACCAATTTTAGTCACATTTTTAGTTTCAGAGACCTGACTTTTTTCAGTCTTACTTTTGGTGCCATTGACTTTTCCAGTTTGAGTCACAGCTTGAGTTCCAGCAACCAGACAAACTTTAGCCTTATTTTCAGAATCATTGACTTTGCTAATTTTAGTCATTATTTGAGTTTGAGGAACCAGAAAAACTTTAGCCTTACTTTTGGAATCTTTGACTTCGCTAGTTTTAGTCACAGCTTGAGTTCCTGGGACTCGCCTCATTAGAGTAACAGTTCTGCTACTGTTGACTTTGCTTGTTGCTGGTGTAGTACATTCCACTTTCTGCATCGGTTTCACAGTCCCGTTACACTTGACTGACAATTTCCTTAATATTTCATCTCTGGTACATTTTGCTTGCAATGCTCGATTGATAATTTCTGAACATTTAACTTGCCTTGTTGGTGTTACAGTTTGATTTCTACACTTTTTCTCAATAAGCTTGGCTGGCATCAACTTCAAGGCATGAGTGACCTTTCTGGAACATTTCATTTGCTTTGCTGGAGTACATTTCACCTGTCCCAGTAAAGTCTTATTTTTAGTACAATAGGTTTTCTCTAATACAGTCACATTTTCATAACACCTGGTATGTTCTGACTGTGTCTTATTTTGTGAGTGAGAGTCTTTGCCATGAAGATAGGGCTGGTCTCTGGACCATGATTCTTGTCCTCCTTCCATCACATTTGTCACTTATTTTCAGATCTATTGAGCCCTCATTTTGGGTTTTAATTTCTTGATATTCTTACTGTAACAGTTCCAGAATAAGCATCAACTGTTTCATAGGGGAACAGTTTCTAATGTTAGTATATTTGCTGGACACCTTACTTTTCCTGATGCCTGGTTTTACCAAAGCATATAAAAGGGAAGCTGTGGTTGGATGGCCAATCACTTATCAGGGAAGCAATGGCCAATCAAAATGTAGGATTTGTAGTATGAAAGGAAAGCTGTGGTTGGATGGCAAATCACTATTAGGGAAGCCTGACTAATCAATATGAAGGATTCATAGCTGGGATGAAATGACCATTTAGTCTGTTCTCCATCTCCCTGTTGTTATCTGAAATAAGTAATATGTAGTGAAACCATAGAGGCTATCACAGTTGCTCCATAAATAAAACATGGTTATGTTGTATGCATGACCCTGTTTACCTCTACTTCAACACCAGACTTTTGACATTTTGATAGGGTCAGAAAAAACTGAAAGAAATTTTTGTCCACTTTAAGGTCATTAAATCATTCAATTTTATCTGAAATTACTCTATAAACCACTACACTAGAAATTAACAGAAATCAAAAGGTTGTGAGGAAATAAGTACATATATAGGTAACCCAGGTAAACAGTTAGCCACAATATACCATTTGGATATAGAGATCCTTTCTTTAGCTTGATCAGTTGAACAAAAGACTGGTAAAGCCAAGGGGTCCTCGGTTTGAATCCTTATAGACAATGACATTAATAATGATCTCTTTGAAACATATGCAGATACAGGTTAAGTGTATTATCTAATTGTTTTTATGACATATGAAAGTCAATGCTATAAAAACCAAAACAAAATACAGGAATATTGTATAACAAGACAAATGACCACACAGAGATCTTGATGCCCCCATTTATTGTTTTTTTTAGTTATCTGCAAGACTGGCCCGTTCTCTCATTTTTTTCTCATTTTCCCCTCTATCATTTGATTCATGGGAATCCTACATATGAAATCTAACAAAAGACCTTAAAAGAATTTTCTGAGAAATTGTGACAACAAACTTCAACTTTCAAAATCCAAGATGGTCTCTAGTCAGCTTTTTTATTAGCATACACAGAAGTGAATATGCACAACTTGGGAACAAAAGTGAAAATACACATCAAGCACTTATAAAAAAATTGCAATAACAAACTTCAACTTCAACTTTCAAAATCCAAAATGGCTGCCTGTTGGCAATTTTTTTAACTGACCAGTCCTAAAATTACATGGACACAAATAGTGAACCAACAATTAAGGCTCAAAAAATCAAAACTTTGAAGAATTCTTTCATAAAATCTTATATAAAATGAAAACTCATTTAAAATCCCATATGTCTCATAGTATCATAGTCCTATGATGCATAATGAACTATGTTTACACGAGAATTACACAGATTCATCATAGTTCATATTATTAAATATTTTTTCCCCATTTTTAGTATTTCCCAAATGTTGGAACTGTCAAAGTTCAGTGCTTGCAAATATTCAAAATCTTAGGATTCTTGGGTAAACAGAATAAAACATCCATTCATGGAATACCTTTAACTAATTTAACATCTAACATATTTTACTTTAAAATGCACTTTAAAAATTTAACATTTCATATTTATGGGTCTTTTCTTCCAATGTAGGAGCATTTCTCTTCAGTACTTATTTAGATTTTAAGACGTTATGTTGAGGGTAAAAATAATTTGTTTTAGGAAATTCAAAGTTTGCCTGAAAATAGGAGACATCTTCAGAGTGAAAATCCTAATCACATGATCTTATTATGTATCACCATTTTCAAAAAGGTGTTTTCAGTAACTTTAGAAAAGCACAGCTTAAACATATTAACAAAAGATAATGCAGAGTTAGATTCTATATAAATATTTCATTTTCATATCTTTTAACTTTGCATTTTATTGTGAATTCAATTATATGCATAAAAGAATTGAGATACATTACTTGTTAAAATTGCGAAGTTTTGCCATTTCAGAATATGCATTAGCTATATCTTTAATGAATAGACACTGTCCATAAAATTTACCTTTTCAGGCTTTAATGATTTGTCTGCGATGTTTCATCTCTACTTAAATTTTTCTGCAGCCCTTCCAGGTGGCGCTTATAAATGTACGACAAACATAATAGGTGTCGCTGCAATTGTGACTTTGATAAGCGGAACGAAACGTAAGATAATTAAATGTCAGCTTAATTTTTATCATTAATTTGCATCGATACAACAACAGGTAATTTAATATATCTTTAGACTTTATTTATGCATAATTCACTAGATAAATTCAAGCACTTTTTAACGTAAACTACTTTATAGGATTTTCATTTTCTTGATGATTTCGTATTTTAGACCCAACTCATCAAGTATTTTGCGGTGCGCTTCAATGTTAGTGCTAGGCAGTCCGTGATGTCTGCCCAACCCGTTTACCGCATCAGCTTTCTCCGTTTTGGAATGATCTCCGACTTACGTCTCAAAATCTGAACAGGGACTACAGCCACTAATGTAATATAGCTCGGTATATCATTCAATACAGTGAATAGACCTACTCAGTTTGTTGCTTTCGATTCTGCCCGACTCGACTATCATCACTTTGACAGTGAGCTGCGAGATTCAATGAACTTTGTACATGCGTATATAAACAACTGGCGATAATTTTGCGGTTGAAAGTCTTATCTAAATCTGGTCAATGCATTTATACAAACCTTTCACTTTCTATTTTGTCTGAATTATACCATCTTATTTTATCATTGATTGTCGTGACTAGGCTACATGTGGAAGCTTTGGGGATAGTAGGTCTAATATAATCTTGATCCCTGAAGCTAGATCAAATTTTATCTTGCTTAAGTTGCAGAAGATCAACCATATTTCAAATGCAAGTATGTGTCCATGTTGTTTGTAATATTTCATCTTTTCAAAGTAAATCCAAAACATTCAATCTGTTGTATTGTGATCTCATCTTCTGATAAGTCTTCTTACTTTGTAGTGCATTGTGGGGTGTACTGGTAAAGGTGAAGTGTCTACCTAAAATCTTAACCTTTGCTTGTACTCCGACCGTGTGCATCTTTCACCAGAACTATTTATTTACCCATTGAAATTGTCTCCCTTTAATAGGTGTAAATAAAACAAGGAAAATTTTCTTGTTTGGTAAAATGTGTAATGACATCAGAATACATGCAGCACAAGTGTTTTGACTTGTTTCTATCATTGTGTGGATCATTCATTAAGAAGACTTAAAGAATTTTATATATGTGACACATACACACTATAGTGGTTGTACGACTCGGGACCAATGGATGCTGAGCTCAATCCTGTAATACCACCATCGTCAACGCAAACGTCCAATCACATATCTGACAGGTTGGACTTTGGCTATGATAATGGTGGGAAAGTGACGTCAGAGGTGTGGGATGGAGATCTGGAGGAAGGGGAGATAGAATCAGAAGTGGATAGTGTTAAGGGTGCTGTAACTGCATTAGAACCAAATCTAGAAAAGTTAACAGAGACAGAAAAAACATCTGAACCAAGTAACGGCCCAGGAGAGGACATTGAATCAGATGGTGAAATAGCAAGTAACGGTCAAGATGAGGATTTTGAGTCGGATGGTGAAATTGTGTCAGAGGCAGAGTTAAATGAGACGGATGACAGTGCTTCAGGTAATGTAAAGAATGGAACAATGGTTTCATCCGTAGTAATAGTGACTGCTTGAATCAACCTCCATAGAGCAATTCTGTGCTGGAATTTTTAAAAATCTGGTATTTTAATTCTACTTTGTAAACTGTTGCTGAAGGCTGACTGGGAACACAATTGAAATTATATATGTTAATTTTAAAGAGGCTAAACTGTGTCTGTATTGACTGGGAAAATAAAACAAGTATTTATTGATTAAGATTTCAGTATAAGAAAATATCGCCTTTGCTCTGAAAGATCAAATCATTCATCACCTTATTAATTTATTATTTACTGAAAAAGGATTTGATATTTTAGGCTAGATATGTACTTCAGTAGGTAATACAATACAGAAATGGACAAAATTCTAGACAGCCATTGTTTAAGTATATCCTCTTGATTAAAAAAATCTGTATCCTCGTTCGGCTAGTGTACACTTCTGTACTTCTATTTTACTCCAAAATCCTATGTAAGAGCTGAATTAAGTATGATTTGACAGAGTGTGATTTTAACAGTGCTTGAGGACAAAGAAATTGACAGGAAGGAAGTTGAAACACGAAAATCTACAAAACGGTCCCATACTGAAGTAGAGGAAAAGGAAGATGAGGAGTCTGAAGAAGAAATGCCAGCCAAGTTCCTTCGTGCTGATAGTGTTGAGAATGTGTCCAAGGAACCTGCAGATGGAACCCAAGAGTTTGAGATTATTGATGACCTGGGGGATGTGGAAGGAGATAACGATGCTGGTGAATATTACAGCGATGATGATCTTGAAGACAGTGAAATTTACGCCTGGCTTGATGAGGGCTTTGAACGACGTACTGCAGCAGACTGTCCTATACAAAAAGAAAAAGTTATCCTGACAGGTAAATTTTTGGAAATCTAAAACGAAAACATACTCTTTTAATTTTTTTTCTCAGTTTTTTAAAACTAAATTGTTTATAATATATGACATGAAATAATATGTAATTGCTAGAGATTTGTTATTAATAGATGCAAAATTGGTTCAAACAAATATAACTGCTGTATCAAACTGGTAACAGTACTAGTCTTGTTGTATTGTGTATAGACTAGATATTCTATACTTGTTGTGCTCTTATATACAGAAAAATATATCTGTTCAATGTTTCAATTTCTGAAGTTTGGTATAAAAGACGTAGTAACTGTATGTGAAGTTGGTGTAATTATGATTTAAGTATAAGTACATGACAGGTTCAGTAATGTTTTACTCTTTCCAGAAAGGGGAAATAACCCATTTGAGTGGTTGCCTGAGGGCTGGGTAGTGATCACCCACAACAGCGGCATGCCTGTATACCTCCACAAAACATCTCGAGTGTGCACACTAGCTCGTCCCTATTTTCTCGGACCAGGCAGTGTCAGGGTAACGTACAATGGATTGAGGTCAAACTAACTTTATTACTGGAGTTGAGATATTACTTTGTCTTATGAATAAGCATTTCTTTAACAATATTGTAGATATTTAGATATTGACAGTTTGGAACAATAGGTATTTATGTAAGGTAAGTTATTAAACAAACTTTGTTTTTGAACCTTTTTCCAGTTTGATGAAAACATGCTACATCAGGTTGACTTCAGACTTCAAAAATAATGATATATTCTTTAAAAGTTTGCCTGGATTTTCTGGTCACATAAGGTCTTGCTCTCTTCGGTTTTGCTGTTTAAGATAACAAGGGCATATGAAATATTCTTTCCCATTAGTTTACATGTACATTTACCTGTATTTGGCTTATAAACATCATGTCCCTTATAAACATTCTGAAATTTTGCTAAAAACAAATGGTTATCTTATTTTCTAATTTTCTGTATCTGCTTAAAGCCTAAGTTTCCCATTTGATCATTGAAAGTTTCACCTCGTATCTTTTATTTGTCATTGCTTTATTTTCACGCTGCTTTCATCTTACGGGATGGGATATGTAGTCATCCTAGATCTATGTTTTCATCTCTATATTGACTAGTGACTCTATTTCAGAAGGGATTTAGGTAAAACTTTACATAAATTTGTAGGTAAGTGTAGACAATACTTTGGATGTAGTTGTGTTTTAGGATTTCAATGATATCGTAACTTTTTATAGAGATTTATCATCAAATAGTATAAATTAGGGTGGGTCATCCGTGTCTTACAAACATTTTCTAGGTTAAGGTCATATGTTTACTGTTACCAACTTCTTACTGACAGAGAATAATATGTGGACAAGCTGTCACATACACATGTCAATTATCTTAATAAATTACTTCTTAGAATGACTGTAACATGCAGAAATTGTTTCTGCTGGAAATATGTCATTCATATACAGAGTTATGACCCTTTGTCATTTTGTAGTTTGTTCTTAGTCTAATTCTGCTATTTGTTGAGAGTTTTTAATTCTCTTTGGTTTCATGAGATGTGTATAAATTTGTTGAGGCTTCTTCATATTAAGGTTTAAATCTTGATCTTTTTTCAGAAACATGACATTCCGGTAAGTGCTGTTCCTTGTCTGCAGTACAGAAAAGAGCTAGAGAAGGAGAAGAATTCCAATACTCAGCAATTCCAGAAACAGAAGGACAAAACTGTCTTTAATGGTGAGAATTCAGATAAACCCACAGAATCAGTGGAAGCAGAGCTACCACCACTACCTCCACCAGAACCTCCACAGTCAGAACTACCACCACAACCAGAGTCACCGCAACCAGAACAGCCTCCTCAATCAGAGTCACTACAACCAGGACAGCCACCTCAACTAGTGTCACTGCAACCGGAACGGCCACTACAAACAGGACCACCACAAACAGAGCTAATACCTAATGGTGAAACAAATGGTACAGGTATTACTGTGTGTAGTTTACACCTCAGTAATTTTCATTCTCTCTATTATTTCACTTGTACCACTATAATCTGTCCAGAAGATACAAAGAAAGTGCCTGACTGATTCTATGTCCTTAACTGCTTTATTATGTTCTAATCGAAAATATGTAGAAAATAATTCTTCAAGCACACTTTTATTTTCAAAATGTCAAGACAAAGAAAAAAATGTCACGTTGTGTTATGAGGACTAAAGACTTATCACAAACAGCTAATTGTTTTTACTAGAACAATTTAAAAAGTGACATTAACCATTAGCTTATGCATTTCTCTTCGAACATCAGGTTCAGCATCAACTGGAGAACAAGAGGCACCATTAGTAACAACTGTAGATGGGGCAGTGATAGCCCCACCTATCAGGATAGAGTACGCAGAAGACAGAAAGAAACAGAATACTGTAGGTAAGGTACACAGTGATAGCCCCACCTATCAGGATAGAGTACACAGAAGACAGAAAGAAACAGAATACTGTAGGTAAGGTAGACAGTGATAGCCCCACCTTTCAAGATAGAGTACACAGAAGACAGAAAGAAACAGAAAACTGTAGGTAAGGTACACAGTGAGAGCCATGGAAGACAGAAAGAAACAGAATATTGTTGGTAAGGTGCACAGTGATAGCCCCACCTATCAAGATAGAGTACTCAGAAGACAGAAAGAAACAGAATACTGTAGGTAAGGTACACATCAATAGCCCAACCTTTCAAGATAGAGTACGCAGAAGACAGAAAGAAACAGAATACTGTAGGTAAGGTACACAGTGATAGCCCCACCTATCAGGATAGAGTACACAGAAGACAGAAACAGAATACTGTAGGTAAGGTAGACAGTGATAGCCCCACCTTTCAAAATAGAGTACGCAGAAGACAGAAAGAAACAGAATACTGTAGGTAAGGTACACAGTGATAGCCCCACCTTTCAAGATAGAGTACGCAGAAGACAGAAAGAAACAGAATACTGTAGGTTAGGAACACACAGTTTATATATCAAAGAGGGCTGCAAAAAACCTTAAAATAGCTTTATCAAAGATTTTTTGTCTCATCAACAAAAGTTTTTGTTCCTGAGCTCTTATACAAACGATGGTACAAGAAAAGCTCTTGAGCTGTTAAATGTAAAGTTTGGATAATTTTGAAATGACTGATGAGATGAAGAAAGATCCAGTGCCAGCATATTTTTTTAAACTGAAGTGTGACATATACATAGTTTCAAATATTTCTATGTATAGCTGATTTAAAAGTCAAATGAATCAAAATCATATTTCAAATTCTGTTCATCAATTACTTGTACTACAATGTTAAATTAATGATAATAATTACAATGTAGATTGAAATAACGAAATATTAGTAATGTGTTTCTTTATTGTTATACTTCAGATCCAAATGAATTGCGAGAATATTGTGAAAAATTATTTGAATTCAGGACCATTACAGTAAAAAGATTCAAGTAAGTGTACATATAATGATATTCAATACAGACGAAGAATATCAGTCTGGTCGCAATAAAATCAAGCCAATGACACACAAATATTGGTTCCTGTCCACAAATTTTGCTACTTATCAAGACTGTTTTGATGCGTTTTCAAGCTGTATTAGATAAATAGCTTAAGCAGCTGGGAGTGAAACAAAGTGATGGGGCCTATTTTCTTTTTCCTTTTGATATCATTACGTCCTTACAAGTGATATGTCAGAATTTGGCTTTAGCTCAAATATTCCATTTATTAATCATCAAACTGCCTGTCTATGCAATGCCTTCACTGATTATTTACTAATTTTGTAGAACCTGGAAAGACCGAAGGCGACACTTAAATGCAATTAGGTCACAGTCTCGTCCAGCCTTGGTAAGTACAGTAATAGAGACACCTGATAATCCAATTCATATTGAGGCTCAGTTGAGGTTTAAATGTCTGTCTGGTCATATTTCTTTACTCTATCATTTCTTTGTTACCAGAAGTTTTCATACTAAATATCTTGATTCCATTTCAACACATAATTTCTAAATTTGACCAGGTGATGTTGCATAAAGTCATTTGTATTTTAGGGTTTATTTCATCTTCTCATTTCTTATTTAGGGTTATATTTATCCTTTTATATTTGTACATACTCATTTTTGACAATTAAATGAATACTGAGAAAAATACTTCACAATTTTTTCACATCTTAGTCTCTCACTAACCTATTCCTCTTTTTGACAGCCTCCTAATACCAAACTAATTACTTGTAAAATTCCGCAAGTGAAAGGAGATGATAAGCCAAAACTAAAAGGTAAGCACCTTTATCTGCTAGTTACCCTTTAAACAATTGTTCTTTTCAAGTCTTTGTGTTACCTGATATATGTGTATAATGATTATTCTCCTTGTTGCTATTTAATTATGTCACCTACTTAATGAGATACTCAAACCACGGCTAGTGGGAATCATCAGACCACACAACTGGTAAAGTTTACAGGTGTCTGGTGCGATGATCCTGGCTCATAAAGAACCTTCCTTTGCAGTGTCTTTTGGCAATACACTTTACCCTAATCGCTTTTTATGACTTGTGATGGATCTCATATGTTGTTCAAAAAGGTGATCTACAAGCTAGATCCTGCCTCAAAATGAATCTGATGGTTGTTGATAGGATGTGAGCTTGTGAGCTAGACAGGAATGGCCACTACTTGATGATTTATTGATTGTGAAGCAATTCTAGATAGAAAGTTTTATAAACCAAGTAACTTTCAAATTTACATCATATGTTAGGATAGGTCACTGTGACTTAATTATCAGGCTTTAACTAATTACATAATAGCTGCTTTAAATTTTTATTTTCAATGGTTAAAGCAAGAAGTATCAAAAGTTTGTGTATTGTGTGAATTAAATCTTAATGAGTAAGCTTAAAGTTTTGTAGTATGAAGTGTCATTTTATGTCCCTTGATCGTAAGATCGCGAGCATATTTTAATCTGCTGTTTGTTTGTCTGTTGTAAACTTTGCCCGTAACTTCTGCACCATAAAAGGTAGTGCTTTCATATTTGGCATGTATGTTTCTTGTGACAAGACCTTTCCGGTGGTACAAAAAATTTTGACCATGTGACCTTGACCATGAACTTTGACTTACATTTAAAAAAAATCACATTGGCCATAAATTTTTCACAAAGTGTGCATGCAATAAGCACATGCCTTACACAGTAGTTTTAATGTCCCACTTTTGTTGCAACTGTGGGCATGGTGTTTCATAAACACATCTTGTTTTTTATTTTTTTAGACGTCTTGAATCATTTTTTGGAAGAATTAGAACTGAATGTAAACCAATCATAGATCCTTTTGTGGTTTTAATGCATTGTTGTGTCATAAAAACATGAAATTATGACATCCAAAAAAATGTTCATGATGATATTAGGTATTGATAATTTATTTCTTCATTTTTTTTAAATTTCAGAATTTGTTTTGAACCCACTGGGGAAATCCTATGTGTGTATTCTGCACGAGTATGCACAGCACACACTGAGAATCCAGCCCAGATATGTCTTCAAAGAACTTGGTAAGTGTTTGCAGTAGTCACTCTAGACAATTACAAGGGATACTGTAGGGAAAATTTGGTACTGTATAAGATATCAAGCTCTTCATCTCCGCAGCTGTTTTCAAAGAAGTTAGAAACAAGATCAATTATTGATGATGTTGAATGCCAGTTGACAAACCATTCTATTTTGTGAAGATTCAGCACATCAAATTTTACGTTAGTGGTTCATTATCCCTTCCTACCGTCATGTGACATTATATTTGTTATGTAAGGACATCAAAACCTGACTGATCCATATCGGTCTGAATATTTCTAACATTCCACATGCTGATATGCTCTATAGAGATATTATGATACTTGCTTTATTTTTCACATTTTTTCTGTTGTCACTGTGGATGACATGGATGGAAAATAACAAAATTCACACTACATAATGTGATATTGCGTCACTATGGATGTGTTGCATGACTTTGTGTTTCAAGGCACAAGTTCCGCATCACTATCAATAGGAAACCAACTCATTCACAGATATCATCCAGGCAACTTCATTTCTTCAGAAATTTTGATGAAATTATCTCTTCAAGGAGCCTAATTTCAAATTGAAACCATTTCTCAGGTTCATCAAGTATTGTATAAGTGTCAGGAATGGTAGTAGCTAGTCATGACCAATACTTATTGTAACTGTATTTATATAACATGTGTCTTTACCCATTATTTTGCTTTTTTCCCCACAGAAAATGCCCAGAATCCTTACAGTGCTACAGTTGTGATTGGTGATATTGAATATGGTACCGGTTATTCTAGCAGTAAAAAGTCAGCCAAGATGGCAGCAGGTAGGTTTGATTAATGAAATCACATGAAAACTACCCACCTTAGAGTTTGCTTTTGTTTTTTTTTCTATTGGCCATGAGATTTAATATTGAATCCAGTATGGTAACAGTGTGACATATATGGGGCTAAATGATTTGGTTAATTATGATGTTATATACTACCAACAGAACCCAACAGAAATGTACCATTTAACAGTACCAGAATTTAATAACTTGTTAGATAAAAACAGAAAAAGGCTTCAGTAAGTATTACAATACTTTTATAAATCTAAACTTTTATCAGAAAATGTGACACCTGTAAATGTGGTATCTTTTGTTCCTTTCAGCCAAAGAAACCCTTAATATACTAATCCCAGAGATGAGCAAAGTTACTGATGAGATCACCTTGGATGAGGATCTGTCTGTGAGTTGATTGATAAATTTCTCGTTAAAATTGTCACAAAATATGTAAAGCTCACCAAGACAGGAATCTTTTGGTATCTGTGATTTGTTCCAATTCACTGTGTGAATTATCCTTAAATGGTTAAATACGAATAACAAGGATTGCTTTGTCATGGTGTCATGGGAACCATTTGATTTATTTTGTTAATTTACCCTCAATATATGCTAGCACTAGCACAACATAAAACAGTCACATTTAAAGAGTCATATATGAATTGATGATTTGTTTGATGTGTTCTTTTACATTGAATATAGATAAATAAAAAGATAAAAATAATGGACTTTCACAGGGTAAAGTAAGAGATAAAATTAATGGACTTCCACAGTGTTAAGTAAGAAATAAAATTAATGGACTTCCACAGTGTTAAGTAAGAGATGAAATTAATGGACTTCCGCAGTGTTAAGTAAGAGATGAAATTAATGGACTTCCACAGTGTTAAGTAAGAAATAGAATTAATGGACTTCCACAGTGTTAAGTAAGAGATGAAATTAATGGACTTCCACAGTGTTAAGTCAGAGATAAAATTAATGGACTTCCACAGTGTTAAGTAAGAAATAAAATTAATGGATTTCCACAGTGTTAAGTAAGAGATAAAATTAATGGACTTCCGCAGTGTTAAGTAAGAGATAAAATTAATGGACTTCCACAGTGTTAAGTAAGAGATAAAATTAATGGACTTCCACAATGTTAAGTAAGAGATAAAATTAATGACTTCCATTGTTAAGTAAGAGATAAAATTAATGGACTTCCACAGTGTAAAGTTAAAGATATACAATTAATGGCCTAACCAAAGGGTTTTGATAGCTTGAAATGAGATATGTTAATAAAGTAATGTACCATTTGATAAATTGCCCACTACATTTTTGCACATTTCAAAAATGGTAATATATTTTCAAGCCAAAATACACTGTCATTTGGCTTGTCATCAGAGCTTTTGGTGAAAACCAGGTTGAATTTACAAACTGCTTGCAATTCTGTTTCAGTTTTTTGATGAGATCAAAATTGAGGATCCTCGTGTTTATGAGTTGTGTAATAAAGTAGGACAGCCCAGTCCCTATCAGATCCTGCAGGAATGTCTCCGGAGGTAATGCACATGACTATTGTTCAAACCCAACAGTGTTGCATTGATGTAGAGAGCCTAGTTTTTGGCTTTATCTGTGAAGTCTGTTTTACAATAATAGTTTCTGATTATTTTGTTTTGTACTTAAATGGTTATAATCCATCAATTTCAACTGTTTCAAATTGACCATCAGCAATAATACAGCAGTTTGAATGTTAAGGACCTGTAATTGAAAGCAATATTATTTTGCTTCTTTAGATTACATTAAATGACCATATTGGATTGTAAATACTTCTAGTCATGTGTTTTTTTGAGCCGGTGTCATTTTGTGTCACATGTTTTGCAGAAATTATGGAATGGGTGACACAAATTGTAAGATTGATGTGAAGCCTCTGAAACACCAGAAGAGTGAATACTCTTTGACAGTCGGCAAGCGGAGTGTCACAGTAAGTTTTCTTATTTAAAAAACACATAATGATTAAAGCTGGCCTTGGATTAATATCCAGTATTAAACTAATACAGGGGTTTTCGTGGTCATGGATAAAAAAAACTTAGAATCTTCATAAAAAACAAATACATTGGTCATATGAAGAATTGCAAATTTTGTAACAATTTCACGCATAATGATGATCACCAGGTCAAAAGATATGAAAGCTCACATTACTTCTTATGTTCTAAACTGTTTTAAGTTATGACACTTGACTAATTGCTTTTCCTGTGAATTATTGTAATCTTAAACAACAATATTGATATTCATTTAAGTTTGCCTTAGTTAACAATATAAATTTACTTTTGGTGGTTAGTACTCTATTATCTGTTTAAACTTGATCAGTCAGTTTTTGAAATATTATATTTAGTCACATTTGTAATTGTGCTAAGTTGGATTAAAAAGGATTGCAAACACTTAATACTTGATGAGTGATACGGGTCCATTTGGCCACTTTAGGTCGCCTGAGCCGAAGGCTCATGGTGACCTATTGCCATCATGATTTGTCTGTTGTGTGTCGTTAACTTTTCACATATTCGACTTCTTCTCAAGAACCACTGAATAGATTTTGACCAAACTTAGCACAGAGCATCCCCATAGGAAGCCGCTTCAAGTTTGCAAAGAAAAAGGGCATGGCCCCAATAGGGGCCCCAGGAGGGGGGAAAAGGGTGTAAAATTAGGTAAATCTTTAAAAATCTTCTTCTCATGAACCAACAATCAAATTAAATTCATATTTGATATTTAGGGTCCTTATGGCATGGTCTACAAAGTTTGCGAATGAAAAAAAATTGAGTCAAAAACGGCCCCACTACCTCTACACAAGGTCCTGGCAAGTGTTTTAACTTTTTGGGGCGCTTGAAAATCCGAAATGGCCACCCTGGCCTCTGTTTGGCTAAGACATTATGGACTTCCTCTCAAGAACCATTGGGTGGGTCATGTTCAAACTTGGTACAGATGTTTTAATCATGGCTCTGCACAAGTGTTGTTACATTTTTGCAACATTTTAAAATCCCCAGATTATTGACATATATTCCTCAGGTGACTGTTAAGGCCCCTTGGGCCTCTTGTTTTTATAATATGATATAACACTTATATACTTGAACATTACTGATGCTTCACAGGTGGTATGTAAAAACAAGAGAGAAGGGAAACAGAGAGCAGCACAGGCCATACTACAGGTCAGCAGGAACATGAGACTCTAATTTCCTTGTTAAATAATTAAAATATATCAACTTTGGAGAAATCAACAGAATCAAGCTCATATATGTTAACTTAGCACAGCCATTTATTTTCTTGATTTCAACCCCAGAGAAATGTCTGGGGGAGAATAAAAATTTAATTGGTTTAAACAATGTTGCAAATATTTGAGTATATTAAAGAAGGTGCACATTTACAGCTGTTGAGATTAGAATTTTCTTACGTGTCTGGTAAATCACCAATAAGTGTAAAATTTCCCTGGTGTAAATAATATGGAAAGTATATTTAATGGTACATATAACATTGTACACCTTTACTTTATCTGTCTGGGGTTTGGAGTCATCATCACATATTTGTATCATTGTGAACACATAGAAATCTCACATTGACAGGAGCTGCATCCTCACATAACAAACCTAGGCTCCTTACTACGATTGTATGGACGCTCCTCATGGAAAAGTCTTAAGGAGAAGAAGGTAAGCTATCTACCTCTTGTGGTCTAAAACAACAACAAAACAGGAGGGAGGGTGGAGGACATGAACATGTGACACTGCTGTCTTTGCATCAGTATATGTGGTTATTTTCTTTTCATGGCCATGTTTTACTAGGTTTTGTAATATTTAAACTTGAAAAATCATAGAATTATGTCTCTGATATACCTTGTAGTACATAGATGACATTTGCTGTAGCGATAATATCCTTTAGTGTAATGATATAGTGGTCATTAGTCACTGAATATAGAAGTCAATGTTAATTGGTCAGAAGTGGTGTGAATGGAGCAGAGGTCAATGTTACTATGTCAAAGGTCAATGTTAATAGGTTAGAAGTGATTGTTTGGCTGTGCCGCGAGTTCAATATTGATTGATGAGATGTCAATGTAACAGGGTTAGAGGACAATGTTACTGGGTCAGAGATCAATATTGATAGGTTAGAGATCAATTTTAATAGGTTAGATGTCAGTTACTGGGTCAGATGTACAAAAATATCTTTTGCTTGTACTTTAATGATTTAGTTTACATTAAATGAATTAGTTTACACTTAAATGATTTAGTTTACACTTAAATGATTTAGTTTACACTTTAATGATTTAGTTTTACACTTTAATGATTTAGTTTTACACTTTAATGATTTAGTTTTACACTTTAATGATTTAGTTTATACTTTAATGATTTAGTTTTACCCTTAAATGATTTAGTTTATACTTTAATGATTTAGTTTATACTTTAATGATTTAGTTTTATACTTTAATGATTTAGTTTTACACTTAAATGATTTAGTTTACACTTAAATGATTTAGTTTTACCCTTAAATGATTTAGTTTACACTTAAATGATTTAGTTTTACACTTAAATGATTTAGTTTTACACTTTAATGATTTAGTTTACACTTAAATGATTTAGTTTTACACTTAAATGATTTAGTTTTACACTTTAATGATTTAGTTTTATACTTTAATGATTTAGTTTATACTTTAATGATTTAGTTTTATACTTTAATGATTTAGTTTACACTTAAATGATTTAGTTTTACACTTTAATGATTTTGATTATACTTTAATGATTTTCTTTCTACGTTGATGCTTTGTTTTTTTTAGAGAGAGGAACATTCCATTACGGAACTCCAGTCACAAACCTGCTCAAAAAAACCTAATACTGCGGTACTAGAGAAACTTAAGGAGGAAATGGAGAAATTATACAAACAAAAGGTAAGTATTACACAAAAAATATATAAAAATCTTCAATCAAAATCTACAATGACTGTTAAAAGTTAAAATGTATAACAACTGCCTTTAACCATTCCATAGGTTTTATAAAGAAGATTGCTCTATATTCTATATCTTGTCCAGATCAATGCCAGAATATTCATTTATGAATAGAAGTTTTTATTATTGTGAAATGATGTTTTAAAAGTAAGTACTCGTCTGTGTAAGTTTAAATACTGAGCAATACACTGCAGTTAGATTCTGAGGCGAATGAATTCAAGGTATCTTAGCTTCTAATTAGGTAATATGTGGGGAAATGATATTGTTTTCAGACAAAATCTTAATTAAAATCTGTATGAAAAAAATTAACAGAAAGTCAAAAAGGTCATCAGTTTGAACCAGAATATTTGAAAGGCAAGGTGTGTTAAAATTGTTTCATAATCTGGAGCTAATCACTTTGTTATAAATTTGCAGGAAGCAATCAAAAGTAAGGGAAAGCTGAGAGTGGAGAGTTCAGCATTACCAGGCACTGTAACAAGCCTAGACTTATGACATAGACGATCAGCATAGGGACCACCATTACACACAGAGAGAAAGCTCATACAGGCAGATGACTAAACGTCATAGCATAATTCCCATTGAACAAGACAAGCCTGTTCATTGAAGGCAGGAGAGCTTCAATCCTATTAGGCTCTCAGTTGAATTTTGATATTGAAAATTTTTAGTTTTTTTTTTTTTTTTTTTTTTTTTGTTACTATTTATATTTTTTGCAATTTATTTGTGGTAGATTTTGCTAATTACTGGGTGCTTTATTGTATAGACATTCCTGTATACTCCAACATACCTACAAGTCAACAGATGTTTCCATTATATAGCTTGGTCTAATGCTGGAGACTGTGATGTCGTTGTAATTCTAATTAGAAATATGTATAAACATTTATTAGAATAATACTGGTTATGAAAATAGTTTAAAATTTAATTTAGAAATCACATATGAAGTAGAAACAAATTTGTGATTTCAAGCATTGGTTTTGACATTTAATAAATACAGAAGAATTAATCAGTTAAATGCAGGCATTTGATTACAATTTAAGTTGTTTTGTGATATATACAATTTAATGTATATGGTGATCATAGTACAAATTGTCTGGTAATTCCTATACTTCCTATCAAAAATTGCACATGTTATGAAACTTGAAATTATTTTTGTCAAAGAAAGTGTTCTTTCAAATATGATCTTGACATTAAATGAGAAATGATATCAATCTATTCATACTTCATTGCTACTGTTGCATCATGTGGATTGAGTGTAGTTGTTCAATTTTATAGGATCAACTGTGAGCCATTTTCCAATTTGTCTTCCCAAGGCCTGCTCTCCGTCCATTGTTAATTATGTAGTTTATGGATATTAAAACACTCTATCTGGTGTCATATGTCACTTAAAGGGGATTCTGGACATTTTTAGCAACATGAGACCTTTTAAAAGATCAAAAGTGTTACACTGAACCATCATCACCCTTTTTTGTTCTTTGTGTAAGTATGCAGCTCACCCAATTTAAAGTATAAATATCATAAAGCTTAAAGGTGTGACAGTGGATAAACATACAGATGTTACATGAAAAAGCGAGGTAAAAAACCGAAACAGGGTGGAATTTTATAGTACACATGAATTCAGTGATATTGTTTCTTCATTAATGTTACAAAACTACCAGTGATATAATGTGGAAAAGGAAATTATCAAAGAAATAGACCGTAAGATATTAAATAAAAAGAGTTCTGATTGAGGTTAATTTCTACCAACTGTGGTACTTTAAATTTGTTTCCTGGAGAAGTGCTTGAAAATCTTGGCTAAGTACATATACACACAGTGGCTTGAGAAAAATCATTATTGGCATGATTAAAAGTAATTTTGTAAACAAGGACATGATTATCATAAATATTGTTAAAAATTTTGTGAAAATGAAAGGTCTTAAGAAATTCCTTTAATTCTGAATGCCTACTTAATCTACTTTCATATGAAATTTTTTTCTGAATTAACATCTTGGCAATTGTGTTCAATAGTATGTGACATTGTGTGCATCTGTAGTTGTGATCGCCAATGCTCTGACAGTACGACTGTCATGATGTGTACTATAAAGTGTAAGTTTCAGAGAGAGTGTAGGTTGGAGATGCGCATGCAACAAGGGATGAGAGTTAGTAATTTCCCAACTGATTGCATATTGGTTTCCCTTGATGATTTTCCTCTCAACACTCAAAACAACATTTGTCCCCTGAGCCACATCATGATGAAAGTTCAACTGTACAAAACTTCAGTTGATTGTTTAACGTTGAAACAATGTAAAGTAAAGGTTCATTTCCCTTGGGTTTTTATTGATGTAGTTTATGTAAATGAGCAAAATTTATTGCACAAATAATGAAACCTTAATTTTGAATCATTCAATAAGGTTATCTTTTCTCTTTTTCTCAGCATCGGGATTTCAAACAAAATGGAGTGTTAGACATGAAATTTCATGGAATTTACCAATTATGAGATTGTTATCATGTATCGGCCTTCCTGTTGCTCACAGTGATAGGACATGAGGAGTTGACTCTTCTTTTTTTATGATAGTTCTGAAGACCCCCAGTAAACCCAAGTCAGATATGCTAGTCATATTTTGCATATATTTGGTGAAGATATATGTATGTATCTTCATATAGTTGTATAAATCATTTACAACAAAATGTCCATTTTTAAATTACTTCATATAAGCTTTTTGTAAGATGTTCCTTTGTTTCAAACAATTTTACTTTTTATAGCTGATGATTGTATAAAATATCTGGATTGACAATCAGCTGTCATCATCGTATGATAGGGTTAGATGCCATTGAAAATCCTATCAACTTTAAAACACTACTATCTTTTAGGTAAATCTATTAGATAAACAATTCTTTTTAATTTCCTAATATTAGTCCCATTGATGAACTTCCTTGACCTAATTATTATCGATTGAGTAAGATTACTTTGTCAGATAAAAATTCACAAACTGGTTTTAAGTTCGATGTGGATTTTGGAGTTCTTAAGAAAAGAATGAAGAGGAAAAATAGTCAGGAAATCTCATCTCAAATATTGTGGCCTAATTATTGAGCCTTTCGGTCAACTTTGGTCTGATGTATATGGCCAACAATTTATTTTGATATTATGAGCAGGAATGTCTGTCTCTATTCTGGCCTACTGTTGGAGACCTTTGGCCTTCACTGATCTAGTTACTTCAGGCCTTCTTTTGGAGGCATTTGGCCTACTTTGAAGGAGTTACTTCAGGCCAAATGTTGAAGGCCTTTGGCCTACTTTGACCTAGTTACTTCAGGTCTAATGTTTAAGGCATTTGGCCTACTGCAACCTTTTTACTTCATGCCTACTGTTAAGGCATTTGGCCTACTTTGACCTAGTTACTTTAGGGCCTACTGTTAAAGGCCTTTGGCCTAATTTGAACTAGTTACTTTAGGTATCCTGTTGGAAGCCTTTAGCATAGTTTGGCCTTGTTACTTCAGGCCTGTTAAGGCTGAATGCATTGATTTACTGGCCTAATATACATATTGTTACCTATTTGTACTATAACCAAAGTAAAATCAATTTGTGAAAGTCTGTCAGTTTGCCTAGTCCAACTTTACAGATACGTTATGTATACCTCAATAAGAATCAGTGTTTTCAGAAATTATCCTTAAATAAAATGTTGGTTCCTCTGGTATTAGGTCTACCACATGTAATTAGACAAATAAATTTAGGTATTTGTAATGAAGAACTTGTACCATATGAACAGACTTTTCTGCAGATTTGAGATTGGCGAGTCTGGTCAGATTGTTCTAAAATTGTCAAACATCCATTGTTTATTTACCATTTTATGGAAAACTGAACCTATCCCACTGATACATAGCTGTGCACTGTACAAAAATATATTTCTCTTCTGCATACAGCCATTGAACGGTAAAACCTGTCCAACTGGGTAGAGTACCAGACCAAATATAGGAGTCTCACTGTTTACATGTAAGGTGCAGCTGAGCTTGTGTTATCTGATATCCTGCTCTGATCTGACCTTCCAAATAGCTTCTAATGTACAGTTGAACCTGTTCAATCAGAAAACCTGTGTAACAGCATTGATCAGGACATGTTCCACTCTGATACATAAGAATCCAAATTTGCTGTGTCTGTTTGTGTTCATTTTGTGCTCAAAGAGAATCTGTTGGAATGATTTAAATTTATTATTAAATTATATGTCAACTATTGATAATAAATATATGTATCTTTACCATGGTTGACCTAATGAGCTCAACTTTTACAAAATAGATCATTAAAATAACCAGTGTGTACAGGATATATCTTTAACACCAAAAACATTTATTTGTTCTACTTTGTGAAAATTGTTATTTTCAAGACACAGAAAATTAGATTTAATAGTTGTTTATGATTATTGAGCATTTTAAGTAGTCATAAATATTTTGGTCACATTTTCAAAATTTGCAATTTTTTTATTTCTTGCTGCATGTTTTGATAAATATTTTCCCAATTTATCTTTTTCACAGTTACATTGAAACTGATTTGTTCCAAATGTTTAATGTTTACACTTGTTATCATCCCCCCTCCATTTTTGTGTCCCATTAAGAGAACATACACTTATTAGGTCTTCTATGGTAATTGGTTTGTGTTTGGGTTATATAAAATTTGATTTCGTCTTGTATTGTCAAATTACTGGTCAATATTGAATGTTGGCAATAAAAAGTTGGTACAAACTTAAAGGTTGTATTTATTGTAATTTTTGAGTCTGAGGAATTTCGGCGCCGGAGGCGACTAAAGTCGACATGCAGACAGGCTGCCGTAGGCGACTTTGGTCGACAAAGCTAATATCTTTATTTCAGTAATGCTGCCATTGTTTTTGGATATTTTCCAGAAAATATTTGGCGCTGAGCTGTACATTGTGAGAGATAATTGGCGCCGAAAGGGTTAAATACTCCAAAAATCTTTGGAAAAATTTACTCCAAATGAAAACAAATAACCGACATAATACTGCTATTGAATGTTTAAACAAAGTAATATTATCGTCATCTAACACAGAAACTGAGTTCTGTATACTGCAAAAATCATGAATTTTTGTGTGGAATATATTTTAATTGATTTTGTGGTTAATTCCTAATTCCACCAAATGATTGAATAAGTATAAGTATATATATTAGTTATATATATACAGAAGATAAAGCTGCTACAAAATTTTGTTTTGTTTTGTAAAACCCACAAAAATATCGAATTTTACACTATTTTTGAGGATGGAATAGCATAGCAAAAAAAATATATATATGACATAAATAAATGGAATGTATAGAGGTTCACAACAACTGATTGTTATATATGGTATTTCTTTCACTTAAGTTAATGGTTTTTAAAAAGTTATGTAAAATACAAGATTTAGTGAGTGTAGTTTCAGCTTTTGTAAAATATTTAACACATTTGGGTGATCTGTCTCTACCACAATAATATAAAACACTCTGAATTTGTAAAAGTAGCAATTTCAAAAACACGTGGAAGGACTAATTGTACCTAGAAATAAATTGATTTGTTATCTTCAAAGCAGAAAAGGAATGAAAATCCAAACAAAAACAAACTTGAACTACTTATCGGGCAACTGTGAATGTATGAGGCAACTGTGAATGTATTGAAGCGCTTTTTCGGTCAAAGTTCATCCTGTCGGCCAATCAAAACATACTAAATTGTGCTATGACAGTTATGTTGATACAAGAGTTAGATTGATTAATTGATACCTTGGTAGTTGAATAACATCCACCTATTATAGTAGAGAAAAAATTTTTTTGATAAAAACCACAAAAAAAATTGAATTATGAATTTCCAGGGTCCAAGGGTTGATCAATTAAGAACACCAATTGTGAAAAATAATAGTCCAAGTATTGATCCCTGGGGTACATCATCTGTGATAAAACAAAGACCTGAGGATTTAATTTTGGGGAACACAATCTGTGATACATTAAAGGTCAAAGTATTTATCCGTGGAGGCGGCACCATCTGTGATACTTATAGGTCCAAGAATTGATCCCTGGAGGGGGCACCATCTGTGATACATTTAAGGTCCAAGTATTGATCACTTGGGGACACCATCGGTGATACATTTAAGGTCCAAGTATTGATCATTGGAGGGGGCACCATCTGTGATACATTTAAGGTCCACGTATTGATCATTGGAGGGGGCACCATCTGTGATACATTAAAGGTCCGAGTATATATCCCTGGGGCACCATCTGTGATACATTAAAGGTCCGAGTATATATTCCTGGGGGCACCATCTGTGATACATTAAAGGTCCAAATATTGATCCCTGGATGGGGTTACCCTCTGTGATACATTTAAGGTCCAAGTATTGATCCCTGGAGGGGGTTACCCTCTGTGATACATTTAAGGTCCAAGTATTGATCCCTGGAGGGGGCACCATCTGTGATACATTAAAGGTTCGAGTATATATCCCTCGGGGCACCATCTGTGATACATTTAAGGTCCAAGTACTGATCCCTGGACGGGGTTACCCTCTGTGATACATTTAAGGTCCAAGTATTGATCCCTGGAGGGGGCACCATCTGTGATACATTTAAGGTCCAAGTATTGATCCCTGGAGGGGGCACCATCTGTGATACATTTAAGGTCCAAGTATTGATCACTTGGGGACACCATCGGTGATACATTTAAGGTCCACGTATTGATCCCTGGAGGGGGCACCATCTGTGATACATTAAAGGTCCAAATATTGATCCCTGGAGGGGGTTACCCTCTGTGATACATTTAAAGTCCATGTATTGATCCCTTAGAAAATCAGTTTACGAGGACTTCTTGGTAAGTTGTGAGCCTTGTATTAAAGCTCTACTCTGGCTATTTAAAGCTGTGTATCCGAAGACTGATGTAATTTGGTCCGTTTATATAGAAGAGATAGCACTCTACAGTAAAGAAGGTAAGTGACCTTTGCAAAATGGACCAAATTGCTGAAAGAAACACTGATTCAATATTTGCATAAGAAAGGTTTAGCAACTTAGGATATTCATACTGATATGGTAGCAACACTCAGGAGTGATGTCCCTTCATATGCTACAATGAAAAAGTATGTGGTGGAATTTAAGCCTTGGAGAGGGCGCCTGTCCTGGAAGACCTGTCACTGTTTCAACCTCAGAAATGGTCAATAAAGCCTATAACATTGTTGTGACAAGCGAGTTACAGGTATATATATAGCCAGTCCAGTTGGGATTTCACAAGAAAGAGTACATTCCATTCTTACAGAAGATCTTGCAATGAGAACGCTTTTAGCCCATTGGATACAAGGACTTCTGACAGTTGATCAGAAGCACACCAGATGGACATTGTTGCATACTTATATGGAGTTTTTAGAGACATATCCTTCTTACGTTCTGCAGAGAACACCCCAAAGGCCAAACAACTGTCTAAAGAAAGGAAGTACCGTGGTTCACCACCGCCAAAAAAGGCAAAGACTGTTCCGTCAGCAGGAAAGGTTATGACATCGGTTTTCTGGGATGCTGGTGGTGTTCTGATGGTATATTACCTGCAAAAGAGATAAAAAAAATCGATGGCACATGTCATACATCACTTTTCGGCAGTTAAGAGAAAATATTAAACTCAAAAGCGACGCGGAAAACTCAGTAAAGGGGTAGATTTTTTCACCGGGGTACTGCCCCTGTTCACATGCCCTCGTACAGGCCAAACATCACCACCCTGGGCCATATCGTTATTGAGAAAAAGCCATATGACGGTTTATTCTGGGCGGCGCATATTTCCGCGGTTGCTTCCAAAATAAACCAAAGTTTGGGATTAATCGGACACGTTCGACACTTTTTACCAATACCGCTTGAAATTTTACAATGCTTGTTTTTTTCCACATTTCATGTTCTGTTATACAGACTGGTCTGGAAGTACAGAAGCTTCTCTAAACATGTCATATGCTCAAAAGTGTGCTGCCAGATTGATTTTAGAGAAATCATATGATGCTCCTTCAGCAGAAATGTTTAAAATTTTGAAATGGATGCCAATTCAAAAACATTTTAAGTTCAAAAATTCAATTATGACATATGAATATATATAAATGGTATGGTACTACAATATCTTTCGAATGATATTAATTGGACTGGAAACAAGACACGTATCTAGTAAAAATGCATTGGTTCCAAAACGCAGGACAACTTATTTTTTTAAACGTTTTTATATATCAGGTTAACAAGAATGGAACAAACTTCTAAATGAAATCAAAACTAAAACATCTTCTTCTTTGTTCAAACAAAACTAGTTTATAATTATTTGAACTTTGAACAAACTACTTGTTAGATTCCCCCCCTACACACACACAGAGAAATACTAAATATTTTATAAATTTTATGTAATATTTTAGTGTTGAACTACGAAATATCATTAATATCATCATCAATATTGTTCTTTTATCTACTTTCATCGTATTTGTTCTGTTACATTTAGTACCGGTGTAGTATGGTAAAGTGAACCGCGGTTTATTAATGAACCCCCTACCCCTACAGGGTGGGGAATTTAGGGTGGGGTGGGGGCAAAGGGGTGGATTCACTTCACCATATCCATTGCTATTTTCTTACTAATTAGCTTTTTTCACCAATTGTTTTACGTCCTGATTCAATCATATAAACACATAAATAACAAAAGATAGGTCTGGGCAGGGGAAATTTAGTGGGGGCGGGGTTCACTTCACAATGGCCTTGGTAAAGTGAAGCATTACACTATTTTCTTACTAATTAGCTAAATTTTATTTTGACCCCGATTCATTTCCCCATGCTTCACAATACCATGCTACACCGGGGACCTATAATACTGTATACAGCCCTGATTAGTTTAATTCAATATTGTTCTTTTAGTGTCTGGCCTATTCGGCCCGTACAACGTTGTTTATTTCACAACATAGGCTATATCAAATTTTCATTTTTGGATGACACGAACACATGCCGTGTTATTTCACCATTTATGTTCCTGTCACTATCGAATTATTAGTATTAGTTCTTTCCGTATCAATATGCAACAATCTATTTCGTAAAATAACTTTTGCGGAATATTCGAGAGTTAAATATAGATTGACCTAGGTCATGACCATATTTTAACCAATCAAATTATGTGTACAAACGGATGATTGTAATATCCTCTCCATGAAGTCGTCACTGGGACAAACCCTCTTGATTCAAAATGTCGAATTATAAAATTGGTGTGAACTTGAGGGTGACAGAAAATAGCAACCAAGGAGGACGAAAATATATGGAAGATAACCATGCCATAAGATTTGTGAAAAACGACGAAGGAGGGTTTGAATTCGCTTATTTTGGAATTTTTGACGGTCATGGCGGATCTGAAGCGTCAATGTTTGCTCGCGATAATCTCCTTGATGAAATTACAAAGTATGAAAGTTTTTGGAGCGATAAGGACGCTGATATACTGGAGGCAATTAAAACAGGATTTATTGATGTTCATCATGGGATGTGGAGAGTTGTCGGTAAGTTGTTTGAAGGCTTTATCTGTTCAAACAGTAACCTGCGTAACACAAAATCAACCATGTCAATGTTTCTTAGTGTGTAATTTTTTCTGGGAAAGTCTCTCATTTTGTGCTAAAAGTGCAAGTTTTAATGTAGTTACCACGATTTTCAGATGCTAAAGAATACCGTGTTGGTAAATAAGCCATAACTACCGCAGATTTAAACAAGTAAACGGTAGAAAATGGCATGGACTTTCGAATCTAATCGCGCGCGTTTTTCAAGCTTTACGAAGATCGAGGCACCAGTGGGGTCTTCAGTTTACGTTTGTTGTTCATTTCTTGTATAAATCAGAATAGTTAACGCAATACGTTTACTTGCATACATCTAGCTATTAAGCTGGTGTAAATATATAACTGTTTTCGGCGTAGATATTGCTAATCAATGAAAATAACTGAAGCAGGAAGATTGCAGTGTACGTATGTACAAACGGGACAAACATGTTCAAAGGGACGTAATTAAGTTTTCACCAAATGAATTTGTTTTTACAGAAAGGTCATGAATGTTAAGGTTACTTTCAGTTTCATATTGTAAAGGCATATTTTAATACCGTGTACTCGTGAAATCTCAGTATTTGACATAAGGTAAATTTTAAAACAGACGATAATTTGCATTTAATTTTATAATGTTTTTTTTTTCTAAAATAGATAGTATTTTTCTTTGTTTAATAGGAAGGTGTAATTATTTTTATGAAGACAAGAAAAAGAAACAAAAATCCTTAAAACATACAATGAAATTTGAAAAAAAGATATGGTAAAGAAAGAAGAAATATCTTGTGAAAATTTAAGAAAGGTTATAAATTAAGTTTGGTTAATTGAGGTGCATGTAAAAGTAAAACATAAACAACAGAGTACATACATTTGTAGCTTCATGCCTATCAGATGAATTAGTTAAAAAAAAAAAAAAGAAATTTAGCTATCAAATTAGGTCAGTTAGAATGTCAGTTTTACCCCAACACAGTCATAGTCCAATCCCTGACTCCTGTCAGTACAATTTGTCTAACTTTTAAGTATTATATTGTCAATGACAATGCAATGGATATTTCAATGATATGTAAAGGTTTTGTTAGTAAATGGAATCAATATAAGTTGCATAATTGGTAATTATAACCTATTGATTATCAATTACATATACCCAGTATGTATAAGGCATTTCTCCTACTGTTTTGAAAGTTTTTTATACAAACTCTATCCGGTCCAGTACAATCTGCTAATTAACATATATATAGAAGATCTAGCATAGATGTATAACAGTTTATAATATCAACTTATGGAAAGTAACTGTATTTCACTATATATATTTTTTTTGATATTTTAGATTTATGAAATTGAAACGATGCATCGTCAGGTGAAAATGAAGTATCTGTGGGAATTTAAACCCTGGAAATCTTACCGTCCGATGTTTGATTTTTAAAAGAATAGTTTACTTGATATCTTCACTTACTTATTAAGTGACATACATAATTATTAAAGCATTCTTCATTAATGTGATTTTATATACTTCTTCATTAAATTTAAACATTTCTATTGACCTAGCTGAGTATATCCTTATCACCAAGTGGTTGATACAGCTTTTATAGGTCTTTATAGATGTATCGGTCCATCAGCAGGTTGTGCTGGACCAACTGTGTGTCAATCATGTGTGATCACCTAATACAAATAACCATGCCAAGCATATTATAATACAGATACCATATATACAGTGTTGAAAACCTATATCTATGCTAAAATATAATATTCTAAACAGATAGTTCGCACCACATGTACACTACCACATACAACTGTAGTAATTCTAGCATAAGCAAAAAGTTATTTTGGTAGATTATGAAAATGTTATAAATACACAGAAGAAATTGTACAAATTAGATTTTCTTTCCTGTTTGATCCCTAATACAAGTCCAGACATGTCCAGTGAGGCATGTGATAGACAACAATATCACTAGTGTCTATAAATAGCCTGCTCAGCCAATCAGAAAATACCCCTGTATTATACACAAGTGACTGTGATATATTGAATATTTCACCAACACAGTGAAATCAATTTATTGATGAATTTGATTTGAATGATTGCTGAAAAATTAAATACTACTTTTACTGACAATCATTCTGTGAGTAGTATTGTAGATCTCAATATTTAGGCTAGTGATTAAAACAAAATTATGAACTGCCAGCTAGTTGTCCATAATGTCAATGACTCATTAAAAGTATACAAGCTGATCAAATTTGATATCATCAGAATGTTATAATTTTGAATAATACTTTCAGTGTCTCAGTATCACCATGATCAGTCAATATATGTACAGTGATAACAGTGCACATAATTGCATCAGGCCTATGTATAGTTCTGATCTGCCCAGTCATGGTTGGTGACAGAAGATCTTAGAAATGTCATTTTAGACCCAGAATTGTAAATTGTATTATGTGGTACATGACACATCATATGTACAATGTATACAACTTCTTTTCACTCTGACACTGTGACTATCCATGATTTTCCATTAGGTTAAAAAGTCCAGATATTTAACAAGTCTCACAAACTTTATCAGGGCCAGTAATATATATTGTGAATCTAACTCTTAAAAGATCTGTAATATTTATTTATGATTAACTGCCAAAATTTGTCAGTTGCTTTAAAAAAAAATCATTATAAGTGGCCAGCACTTATATTCCACCCACAAATATGATGGAAAGATTCACAGAAGATGAGAGTTGCTGTGTAAGAATGAAATATAATTCCTAGAAGTGGGAAGTTTTACTTTGTGAATTTAAACAATATCTTTATAAATTAAAAATGGATTTTATAAACTGAAACAAGATCTTAATAAAAAAAGAAGTCTTCATAAATTTTCAAAAATCTTAATAAATTAAAACAAGATTATAATTGATTCAAAAGGCCACTAAAATTTGACTTTGATTGCAGATGAATTAGCAAGTGTATGCCTTTATCAATAAAGGTATGTAAGTTGAAAAAGCTTGTATGGCAGACTCTTGATTAAAAAGAAAAATAGTCTTTTCGTTTTATTCAATCAGTGCAGAATGGTTATTCTTTTCAAAATATATGTATTGATGTGGCATTATAACATTGGAAAATTTTGTTTTGAAAAAAAAACCTCTTTTATGTTAATTATAAATGTTATTCCAAGTTTTAAAAAGTAGATAATTAAATTAGGTGACATCAGTGCTGAAAACAGATCCCAAGATCGTTATTTTTTTCAGTTTCATTGATTTTAATTTTTGATCTGATGTAATCAAGCACTTAAGTTTACACTATTGCATTTCATATGCTTTTCTTCATGTTTATGGTTCCCAAAATGAATGATATCCTGAACATTTCAATATTTCATATATTCACAAAGTACCAGGTACTTTAGTGACTGATCATGACCTGTATAGGCCAGGGGATCAACCTGTTTGAAGTTCGCAGTGGTACGCTGTGATTATACTTTTGCAAATTGAGTTTACTGCAGACACATAGCGGAGGCAATATACAGATATTTATGACAGTGTATATATGATAACACTATACTGCTGCAAATTTCAAGTTTGTATAAACACAACAATTTAGAGACGTTTTGTGCATGATTTTAGAAATCTGAGTGTCTTATAGAGTTTATATGTCAAGTATATGTAATGTTCAAAATCTGGCGACCTTTCAATGTGATACTATAGTATCTGTCACTGTCAGGTCAATTGTAGTCATCATTGATGTCATTTCGACAATAGCAATTGTCATCGGGGCTAAATATACAAGTGAGAAATTCATGAATACTAATGTATCATGGTTAAACTGTCGAAAAAATATTTTCATTTGCCAATCAAATTAAATTGTGTTATGTCTTGAATGAATTAGAATTTTTAATGATTTTAAATTTGTTTTGTCAACAGATAAATGGCCTAAAACAATGAGTGGCCTTCCCAGCACTGCCGGTACAACATGTACAATAGGCATCATAAAGAACTCCAAGTTGTATGTTGGCCATGTTGGCGACTCCGGCATTGCGCTCGGCTTCGATGACAGCAAGTGTGAGAAGTTCATCAGACCAAGGGGAACTATGCTGACCATTGTAGGATATTATTGAAATTACATGTAGATTAAGTCTAGATTTCTATCCTACATATCCCCCCGATTTTACCCGTCAAAAAGCTAATGTGTAGTAATTATAAAGCCCACCCATTTCTATTGCAGCTGGATAAGATCTTGAAACAAATTCAGTTTTGTTGTCCTGCAGTAAGCTTGACTCCTATGTAAGGAGTCCAAATTTATATCTTGGCCCCTTAGCTTATTACTGGATAAATATGATAATTGTTGGTCATATAACTTGATATTTAAACAGGGCTTGCCATGTCTCTTGAGACTTAGCCTTTTTTTTTTTGAAAGATCTGGATATTACCATAGAAAACTGATCATCACAGCCTGTACACAACATTTCTATTTTGAAAAAAAAAGTGCTTAGAAAATAATCAAAGTAGAAGATTAAGATGATTTAAAATTCAATTCAGCAACTTACAAATTTAAGTAAATTATTTTTCAACAGTGAATAGAATCAAAAGTAATGGTTTAGATTTCATTACATTTAATTACACTTTCTTTGTATTTTAACTGTAGGGATTTTTTAAATCTGAAAATAACACTATTGAAATTACGACAAGTCATGTACAGATGTTTATATATAATGTAATTTGATACAGTTCTTAGACAAGGAATGATATCTTCTTATACAGGACCACAAGCCAGACAGTCCAATAGAAAAGAAAAGAATAGAGGAATGCGGAGGTCAGGTGGTGGCCAAGTCAGGAGTCCAGCGAGTCGTCTGGAATAGGCCAAAGGTCAACCACAAGGGACCCATCAGGCGCAGCACACCAATTGACAGGATTCCTTTTCTGGCCGTCGCTCGAAGTCTAGGTATGAATACAAAAGGATCCAAAGGCTTTGGTTTCTGAGAGCTTTTCTAATAACTGTGCTATTCTATCTAATTATAAAAAAGAGGGTGCTTTAGGCTTTTAGAATTTTCTTTGGTATGTATATATATCCATCCATTTCAAAATCTCCGATTCCTTTGTGATGACAATTCTAGTACTATCAATGTTCAAACTATTGTGAATGACGATGAGTAGAAGAACTTGTACCAATACTGATGTTAAAACTCTACAGTTTCGAATTAGGAATGAGCAAATACATATTTTGTTTACTCGTGTGTTCTGGTAAAGTTGCATGTTGCTTTTTGTTTCATAATAAAAACATTTACTTTTTGACTTGTACAATTCATGCATAAAACATGTTTTGAAAGAAATGAGAAGATTTTTATGAACCCATCATATTATGGATGGACAGATAGTGCTTCCCATGTCTGTCTGTCCTTCCGTTATGTATCGTTTTGAATCAATGTCATATCTTGAAAAGTCTACCAAGGTTACAGGGACAAAAGTCACAATAAATTTGACAGCTTTATAAGCATTGATACATATACATGTGAGCTTTACTATCATACTTTACAGATATTTTCTAAAAAAAAATGTCTTTAGATTAGAGATCTGAAATTCTGCTTGATGTTACAGGGGATTTATGGAGCTATAATTACCTGAATGAGGAGTTTGTTGTGTCACCAGAGCCAGACGTGTCAGTTCATCCCCTTGACCCGACACGCGACAAGTGCCTTGTGATTGGCTCTGATGGGTTGTGGAACATGATCTCTGCTGAGGAAGCAGTCTCCGTGGTTGTGGATCTTGAGTACCAGTTCGAGTACAAAGTTATTCATGATCCAGTAAGTCATGCCAATCTATGTCTGATTCTTGTTTGTTTATTTCTAAATCATTATCTCCGTAACTGTGTTACTGCACGGTTTCTTTGTGCAATACTCTATTTATTTGATAATAAAGCTATACCTGGCAATAAGCCCCCACCCTGAGTACGGATCCTAGTTGTGTATACAACCCACACATGATTATGATACTAGTAATATCCTTATAAAATGAGGACTGTTTTGGCAAGGAAACAAAAAAGATCGTGTAACACCTTCTAAATACAGCCATTGAATAACCTGGATTTTATGTACAGAGATAACAACACAGAAATTAACTCTTGGCTTGGAGGTTTTTGTAATAGACGTAAATAAAGTATGAAATGTTTGATAGCTCTTTCTTGTTGGTTGAAACCGAGTTCTTGAGGTTTGCCATAACCTCCATATTGCATTTTGATTCAATGGTTTGGCTCAGAATAAATATGTGTACTTCATGTTCTTGTGAAATTATCAGGTATATGAAAATTACAAAAGTTAATTGAATAATGGGGCTTGTGCACTTCCCTATCTAGATTTGACATTTCTTTCAATCATTTTGATTCATGTTAAATGATACTATTCACTTGTGTCTTTTGTATGATCTTGCATGATATTGACAGAAAATGATTTTAGGAAAATATTCTTAATGACTCTATAATTTAAGGTTTAGAATAACTGTATACAGGATGATTGTTCTCTGATTTCACTCCCAATTACACTTACATCTACATAGGTGAACAATTTATATAGTTAAATAGAACATTTCTGGTTTGGTAGAATTTCTTATTGCTTTTTTCCTGATTTGAGAATCTCTTCATCTTTACAGCAAGCATCTGTTTCCTACTGGATCAATCCAGCAGAAAAACTGGTAAATCGGGCTCTCAGTAAGTGGCGAGCACGTTCAATGAAGGCTGATAACACAAGCTGTGTAGTTGTACTCATCGATCCCCTAGGTCCTCGCAAGCTGTCTATTCTCAAAAAGAAACGTGAAGAACACTTCAAGAAAGTTCGAGAAATGAACGCTAGGAACACTGAACTAGGGAAAAAATTGACGGAAGACAGCAAGACTGGTATGCGAACATCGCCCAGAAAATCTGGGGAGAAAGAGGAGGCTGCAAGTACCATTCCACTTCCTGCAAGTCAAAAAGTTCTTGCAAAGGGAGATAAAAGTCAGGAGGATTCTGGGGAAAAATCATGGAAGGACATGGCCGAGGGTGTTGGTGTAGCAGTCAAGTCAATGTTATCAGGTGATCGGGCTCGGCAAAGTTTATCAGGAAGTGCTTCCCCCAGTCTTGATGACAGTGTTCAGGCTGGTAGTGCCCACCACAGGGCAGCTTTTGATCCTAGTCCTGCAGGACCCATCGACCAAGAAATTGAAGACAGAATGAACATGTCAACCATCTCGCACAACATGCCAACAGTGGATGTTTCACCTACAAAGGCTGCTGTGGTGAACACCTCGAACACAAAAAGTTTTGAAAACCAATCGCTTGTCCTGAAAAAGACACTGCCCGCGAAATTTTTACCTTGCACACGGACACGACAAAGACATTCTTCGTCCGGCAATTCAGGCACATCCCATGCCAGAATGCCTGATACGACAAATGTAATTCAGTCAGTTCAAAAAATGCAGAATACATGTGATGTCATGGCTAGAGACAAAAAATCTGCTAGTACTGTTCTGACAAAAGAAAAGCGAGCAATGTCGATGCCAGTGTTAATTGACAGTCAGCTTCAGTCAAGTAACAGAATAGTGTCTGCACGTGAATGTATTAAGGAAGGACTTCGTGGTGCAATGAAGGGTATCTTTAATGCTGGCTCTTCAAATTTGAAGGTAAAAACAAGTTCAGATCTTAATAAGGCACATGTTCGTCGTCATTCTCATCACCAAGTGCAATCCACCAAAGGCCAGACGCTTCGATCGAGTGGCAAATCTGACACAAACAATTCCTCTCATGCCCGTCCCCTACCTCACTCTACAAACAGCACCATGCTGCGGATGGCTACAAGGCTTCGCAGTGGTCTGAGATTGAAGTCGGGAGGTGTTAGTAAAATTCTGCGAAGTACGGGACAAGTAGAAAACAAAAAGTTTGTGAAACGGACTCGACTAGCCGGTACAAAGCGTAAGGCTGATTCTCCTGTTGACATAGCAACAGTGAAGAGGTTGTGTCGACACTGACAGTGCTATAGAACTTCCTGTATATAGGCTTACACTTAATTTATTGATCAAGTGCAGCTCATAATTAATTGGTCAGCGTTTTTTCTAGCTCAAAAACTCTGCCTGACAGAAAATGTTGCCCCTTCCATTCCAAAATCTTGAGGCAGGAGGCTGTATCAAAGAAGCAAAAAACAATTGTAGATTGATTGTCTTTGTTCAAAATGTTATATATATGAATAGAGTACTGTGGGGGAAAAAACACCATTTTATTCTTTTTCATGACCTGAATGTTCCTAGTCTGTGATTTTTGGTTTTCATATTTTTTACTAATCATTAAAGCACTTTTTAAAAATGATTTTTTTGCAATGGATTTAAAAGTTTTAACATCTGTGAAACCATTCAATGAGTTTTTATCAGTTCTGGAGTATCAATATTATTTGAATCTTTTAACATGACATCAAATTTTATCTAATATTTGTGGTCCTGAATGAAAGTTAAAAGTTGCCTTCTTTCCTATGCAATAATATCGTAATGATATTCTAAACAAACACAATTATGAACTGTATATGCAGTGAGAATCTTTGAATACTTATATTTCACTATATTTGTTCTTCAGCAAATTAATCATGAATGATTGTTTCATATGTATATCTGTTTGATAAAAACCAATTAACTTGATCATGGTCATTCATTCTCATACCAGACTGTAAATTGAATGTGATTTGTGGCCCGTATACACTAGTGTCAGAGAGTTTTACTAGAGTCATCACTGATTCTTTGTGCTGTTTTAGAGTAAAGTTTTGATTAAAGGTGTCTTTTTATTTTATCTGCTATCTTGGTGGACTGTTTTACTCAGTGTGATTCCTTCTATAGTGATCTAGAAAGTCATGTATACTCGTTTTGTTGTTGACAATCCACAGGGGACATCACTATTGCATAGTGATGGTAGTTGTTGTCATGATAGTCTAAAAGCTTTGAAGTTGAAAGTGAAAGTGCCTATCACAGAATTATTTGCCAGTGTTCTCCAAAAAGTTCAAACTGAAGCTCGGTTATAATTATATGTATGTATATATAAATTCTTTTTATCATTTGTTCTTCAATATTTTTTGTTCTATTCAGATTATTATTAAAGAGCAAGTTCAATGTAGTGAATGCCTTTTTCAAAATTTACTGTGAAATCAGATATTTTCATTTGGTTCAAATTGAGTCAGCACTGAATTTCTTGAATAAAGAGTACTCATCAATCCACATGTACTGGTATGTAAAATAATTTTTTGATGATTGTTTGTCAATTCATGTTCAGAGGAATCTATGGATTAAGATCAGTAAAAAAAAAACTTCCTGGATTTTTCAGTATATCAATCTCTTGTTCCTCTCCAGATCACTTGAAAACAATGCATAACTATCTCTGTGATAAATAGAGTTTTATTAAGGTTGTTTTTATTGACACGGTTATTTTCAGAGTTTCTGTCCATATATTGAGAGTTTAATCTTTACTTTTCCTCATGTGATGATTGTTACAAATTTCCTATGATGTTTGCGGTTTAAAAAATCACAGAATGGCTGTAGGGTAATTATAAGCAATTATGTTTCCTGGTTAGAATTTTGTATTTGTAGTAAATCTGTGGTAAATGATGTTTCTTATAAAAAACCAATTTGTTGGCAACCATGGATTTTCAATTTCTGGAATTCATACAGGTTTCCAAATTACAGAACATTTGGATGGCAAAAGTTGCAAAAAATTTGATAAATGTAAATAAAACATAACAGCCACAAGATCTTTTGGAATGCAGAGAAATCTATATACATTTATACATAGATAAGTTATTCCAGATATTGACCAAAAATTTGTAAAAAAAATTAATCACTACCCTCCCTCTTTGTTACTACATTAAAATTCAAGACCCTACAGTCCATAAATAAGAGCCACTTTCCTCTTATCACTTATCATATATAACCATTATATATGTTGAATGACACGGAAATTGAACCATATCCTATATAGGATGAGAAAGGGGAGTCAACTGATGAAGACAGATGACATTTGATAAAAAAGTTTTTCTTAGTTTTTTTCAACAAAACGTAAACTGTAATGTTGCTGTTAAAAATAAATAAGTTCAGATGAATCAAAATCGTTATTTAAAGAATGCTTTGTATTAAATATCACAAAGAATCCAAAGAGAAATATTCTTTGATTATACTGCTAGTGTTGCTAAAACAATGCAAAGTATTAAAGTAAACCTCTCATCTTGATGTTTCATCAATTGGCATAGAAATTCTCTCTCATATATAAAGTTTGATATCAAGAAAGTGCTGCTTCATGAGCTGTAAAAACCTGTTACACCGAGTATAATTACTATTACCTTTGAATGTTAGTTTGTATTGTGTATAAATATATTGTATAATCAATCTATAGGTGTTTTAATGGGAATTCTGTGGTGAAAATTAATTGTAAATATTGATGAGTGTAGAGGGAACTATGATTCTCAGGGATATTCTTAAAACATTTCTGTCAAGTAAACATTGTTCTCAGTGAGGTTTGTGATTTGTTGAATATTTTCATTTGTACACGTATATGTTTTAATATTAAACCTAAAATTTCTATCTGTGAATCTATATGTAAATATTTGTAAGATGGGAAATGTATTTGAAGTTTTGTCACCTAATTTTGAATTTATTTTAATGTGTTTTGAAATATATTTTAGAGGGTCAGAAAAAAAGCAAACTCTGTATTATTTTTTGTTTATCCCAAATGCTTGAATTGCAGTTATGATTAGAATTTATTTTATACTAAATATTGTATTATCAACATAAATATGATACAGTTATCAAATTTCTATTCCATAAAATAGATTTCATTATCATATTGATCCTGAAATCAGCCAATGGAGCTTACAGACTTACTAAAGATGGAAAAGTGGACTTGCCACGAGATCAGTAAATAGCAAGTTACTGACTTTACTGTAGAAGTTAAAGAGGTGTATACATGTTTGAAAACAAAACATTAACCTATTGCTGAATAAGTATACAGTCAGCAATAATCTGTGCCTGTGTAAGACTTGTAGAAATTGTAGCGCTGAGTCTCTGTCTGATGTGAGAATTCCTTGAATTGTCCAAATTTGAGAACAGTCTAAACACTGTCTGACATTACTGCATTTACTCCAACATGGCCAACATTTTATATAAAATAATGTACAAAAACAATTCCCTCACACACCCTCCCATCCCTCAGCTCCTTTTAAACACATATTAGTTATCTCAACTTTTAAATAGATATTTTTAAATCTCCAAAGTCTCACCTATGGTTACTAGATATCTTTTCCACTTAAATTAAAATTCCATAATCTCCCACCACATCTGTCATTTATAAATGTTTAATATCTTGAGTTACATTTACATTCATCCTTCTGGAGACACAAGGTTTCTTCAACCAGATTTCATTTTGACATTGTTGAAATGTTTCTCAAAAAAGATTTCACTGAGAAATTTTTGGAGATTCATTGAAAAAAATCGATATATTTTCGTGCTCATGAGCATTTTACCAGATCAGTGTGTTGTAATCCATCGATGATCTACTTGCACCGTTGACATATACTGTTTAAGGCTCTGTATAAGAGACCTGTGCCTTGGTTGATGTTGCACACTTTGTGTAGCCATACTTGTGCATCATGCTCTGTGTAGCATGTTTTGTATTCTCCTTACTTGTTCTGTGATCTCTCTGTTTTCTGTGAATAAAAATCTTACTGTCTTTCATTTATCTCCCATGTTAAATGGTAAACCGTCTTCTATGTGTTGACAAATCTGTCCAGTAGTTAAGTAACCTGAAGTGAGGGACATGCTTGAAACAACCACACAATTTTAACATTTCGTTATAGAATATACTGTAATAAAAGTGACATCATCACACATGGGTTTTCAATATTTCTAGCAAGATATTTCAGGAGTGAACTCTTCACAGATTTTCATCACATTTATTGTCATTTTGTTTGATACCAGTTAAGTGTTGTGAATATTTTGGTCCAATACATTTTACGCCATCAATGTTATCATGTTAAAAATTTTGTGATGAAGCATTGAACACTTTTGTATGTTAAGAATCACTGACAAGTCTACAGAGGATTTAATTTGTTGGAAGTTTTAATAGTTGGAGTTTTCTTAATGTTTGAATTTCTATTTAAAGTTGAAGTTGCATAGTTTTGAATATTTTTATTGTTGCTTTTATGTGGATTTATTAGCAACATTTCCAATGGGCAGATTAATTCTCCAGTTTTGACAGGAACAACAGAGTTGAAGTACTTGGGGTTACTCCATTTTTCCCCTCGCTGATCTATCAATGGAGATTGTTGAAGTGGTAACCAGATTTTTTAGAATTTACTCTTAAGTGTACAGTACCAGTGCCCTAGTTTGTTACATATAAGAATTTTGTATAGTTGTATATACATACAAGGTAACATTCACAGAGAGGTACAATATATTTTTGTGATATTGTTGAAAAATTTGTTAGAAAAAAACCATTATGCATGTGTATATAAAAAAAAAATTGAGGTTTTACCACACATTTGAACATTTTAATGTATATATACAAATGTAAATACAATAAATTCAATAGTTTTATATCTAAATGTAGTTTGTTTGTATATCAATGCACAAAGAAATTAACAAAATGAGAGGAAAATGGTTTCTCTTATTTTGGGACACGAGTATCCATGCATTACCCTGTCATAACAATTATTGATATCATAGCAATAATTGGGTGACATAACCATTCCCGGCATTATCAATTATATTTATCTTAATTCAGATTAAATTAAAATACAATGTAGTATTATTGTAAGTTAGTTACAACAAAGAGTCTTCTTCCATCATATATACCAGCAGTTGCTTACTGTGATGTTGTGTGAGATGAATTGAGAAAAGGAATCGGGTATTCTCAGTAAAACTTATTCTTTTTGTAGACTCAGGCAGTTCCTAGCTATTTTCAGTATTTCACTGCTGGAAATTTCATTATTTCACTGCTGGAAATACATCTACAGTTAGTAGCATTTGTTTAATTAATACTGTAGATGTAAATATTTTAGCCTTATTATTACACGATTAGTCTTATTCAAGCACGCTAAGTAATGTGCTAAAAATTTAATTTAACTAATTATCGCTACTAGATATTGTTTATATCTAGCTATTTCCTACTGATGGACAGATTCATTATTGCTCTAATTTACGAAGTGAAAATGCACAAAGATTGCACTAAGTTAAGTATATTTATAATACTGTGACATTTGGTGAGTTTATTTCCCTGTGAACAGCCAGGGTCATTTTGAGGGTCTGGGGTCTCCTTATCCAAAAACTACCTCATAGCAACCTACAGGAGGCATGTTACATCCATAGCAATAACAGTAAAGTGTGTTGCCCGAGAGCACAACAATGCCAGCACAGACAGGTTTGTTTCTTGGCTTTCCTAGAAACACAAAACGCCAGGAGTTGGAATGGCCTAACCACATATATAGAGAATACATGGCCAGTGTCTTAAAATATAAGTTGTGTTTTGGCGATGGTGAAGATAGACAAAATTAGTGAGCCACTTTTGTCTTTTAGTCCCGAGCCAAAATACAACTGATGTTTTTAAGACACTGACCATGTATTCTATTTATCTTGCAACATTGATTGAAAAAAATACTACTGAAACTTAAACAGTTTTGTTGTTCAATCTGTGTTTACCTGACATTGATGTTATGTTGACTTTTGCCTGATGACTGACGCCAAAATAAAAAAAAAATAGTTCCAAACTTCATCAGATATAACAGTGATTTAATGAATTTTCATAAATCAGCTTGTTCATTACAACATGTTAAATTGCTTGTTTCAACAACAATTCTGCCAAATTACCTTGGGTGCTAAAATACAGCTGTTTTCCATTACTGCAGAAAAAAGCAAAAATACATTTTGACAGGTATCGCAGAATGGGGAGGATATTTTCATCAAGCTTTTTTAAACTGGTTGTTAGTTTTCAGGTTATTCTGTAAACTGCTTAAGTTTAAACATGAAATAAGATTATCTGTTGCAATGAGAATCATGAATGAATCCAATAGTAACACGGAAGTACCTCTTGAAATTCTCTTTTCATCCCCCAGGAAACATGTTTGCGAGGGATATTAATTTGGGCTTTGTGCGTCCGCCCAAGGGCTTTTCCAGGCTATAACTTTTCCATTCATCTCAACTTCAAAAACTTGCTGTATATATCATATTAGTGTCGTAGTTGTGCCTTTTGCTATTGACATTTCATTATTGATATTGTTTTACCATGGAAACAGCCAAAAACACAAAAAATTAGTGTTTACTTTCCTTTCCAGGCTATAACTTCAAAAGTGTTCAACTCAACTTAACAAAACTTGCTGTATATATAAGGTTAGTGTCCGATTTGTGCCTTTTACTATTATTTTATTTTTGTCCGTTACCATGGAAACCAAGGGCTGTCAGGGATGGTTTATGCTCCCCAAATGTGACAATATTTAAGTATGAAAAATAATAAAGGGTAATAAAAGACTTTTAATTCTTGTGCACTACCCTCCTTCTTGTTGAGATCTATCTGACAATGAAGTTTCAAGATGATGCCTCATAGTTTTAGTGTAATGCTCCATACAAAATTTTCACCTAAGAAAAATAACAAAGGGCAATAACTCCTAAATTATTCAAAATTCAAAGTTTCATGTTGATACCTCATAGTTTTAGTGTAATGCCTGGACAAAATTTGAAAATGAAAAAAAAACACAATAACTCCTAAATTATGCAAAAAGGGTGATGATTCTGGTGCACTGCACTTCTTGTTGGGATCTAAGTTTTATATTGATATCTCCTAGTTTTTCACGTTTTATGCTCCAGAAAAAATTATCGTGGAAGGACAAATGTACAGACAAAGGGATAACTATGCTCTCCCTTTAGTGAACATAAAAACACAAAACTAGTGAATCTTTCCTTTCCAGGCTACAACTTCGGAACCATTCCACTCAATTCCACATAACTTTCTGTATATGTTAGGTTAGTGCCCTAGTTGTCCCTTCTCTTATTGAGGACATTTTATTATCTTTTTTCTATTAAAATCAAATACTCCAATAGCCTACCAAGTGTTGTATAATTTTCTTCATGGACAATACCAAGCTCAATTCAAATATCAAGTCAAACACACAGAATCTAAGATATACACTCTTTCCATAAGGTTGATATATAATATATATATCTAAAACATTGACATTTAGGAGATGCAAGGAAATTTAATTGATAATCGACAAAATAAAACATTACATTTTGCACTAGCACTTTCGCTTGACTTTATTGGATCTTTAGGTGATATTAGTGGTAAATAATTGAGTGACATCACAAATTGTTAAACCGATATATAGATATATATATCACATTTGGATTTTACACCAACAGTTGGGCGAGTGTGATAATACTTCATTTTGCAGCTCCTTGTTGTTTTAAAACATGATAATGTTGATCACAACATCATTTCGATAAAGATCATGTGCCAAAAAACTTTGAAAATTGGTTCTTCTATTCAAATGTAACAGAATAACTTTTTCACACACATATGACAACACATTACAATAACAGGTACCTGGGTTCATTCATATAGCCAACCATGGTGACATCTACATATGACAACACATTACAGTAACAGTTACCTGGGTTCATTCATATAGCCAACCATGGTGGCCTTTGGTCATTATGTCAAATTTACCTTGTTACCTGGATACTAAATATGTAATCCTTATTCAGTACTCCAATCTTATATCAGTATATCTAACATGTTGGCGTGGTGCATGTAATTTCTTATATGATGTAACATTGATTTTCCTTGTCCATCTCTATAAAAGCTGGTAAGAAATTGTATTAAACAGTCGATCTCTAGGACGTACATCCCTACGTCCACACACCAATAAACTTCTTAAACAGACAGTCCTGGGCTCAGTCATATTTACAACCGACACACAAAGAAAGAGGACTAAAACATCATACCCATACCAAGAAATATAATAATAACTAGGCATATTGATCACTTATTACAACTTTACAAGATTTTATGTATATAATTGTATAAACTAAAAAAAAGGAATGGAAAAATATGAAAATTGAGATTAATCTCTGTTAGCCAAAAGACTTCAAAAAAGTCAATTCTATGGAGTTCTTGTACTAGAGTACAATTATTTTTTTGCAATATGTGTATTTACATCAACAATCCTAAAAAATTTATTCAATCTCTTGCAAACACAATAGAACTTGTTAAGTTCATTTGTTAGTTTTATCGCCCTGGGAAAAATCAGGGTCAATTTGAGGCAGGGTTTCTTTGTAGTAAGTAGCTGGTGGCTACCTCACTGAACAACATACAGGAGGCCCATTACATGCCATCTTGAGTAATTAAGATAAAGAGTTTTGCCCTTGCACAAAACCAAATCAGCGCAAACCATTCTGTTCCTTAGCTTCCTGCAATACACAAACTGTCAGAGATATGAATCAAGCCACACACCACAAATCTTCACACAAGATTACACAGACCATAGTACTGATCGACTGAGCTATTGCTGGCTCACAGCCATTCTTCTAGTAAACTTTTGGCCTTAAAAAAATGTCGAAAAACTGACTATTACATCTTTAATACAATTAATAATGTTTTTTAAATGTATTAAAAAGTTCTAACTTATTTCGTGTTTGATCCAGGAATGATGACAATGATGACACTGATCAATTCCTTCTAATACTACACTGTAAACTCATTATATCTGATGAGTGATTAATGTTCATTTATTTCATGGGTTGGTTGACTTAATTCCCAAATTCATATGTCCACAAATTCTTGAAATAAGTAAAAAAAAATTTTTCAGCTATGTTTATCCATGAAACCAAGAGACTCTAAGCATTTTTTTTGAAAAACCACGAAAATTGAGCCTCACAAAACATAAGATTTTACAGTATATATTAACCATCAATTTGCTTATAAATTGGTATCGATTAGGGTGTATAACACAATAATTGCACACCAAGATAATTAGAAAATCATTCATATATAAAAGATAAGATAATTATTATCTTACAAAAAAATTACATTTATTACAATCTTTGTGTATACATTGTTGTTCTCATCTCACTTTTATACATGTCCATCAGTTAACTAGATCATGTACTATTTCGAGGTGTAAACGTAATCTGTCAAAGTCAGCTATAACCATAACTATCTACTGATGTGGCTGTGGTCAATCTATGCTGGTGATGACCTCAACATGCTCTCTTGTAGCTGTGGTCAATCAATCTATGCTGGTGATGACCTTAACATGCACTGTTGTGGCTGTGGTCAATCAATGCTGGTGATGACCTTGACATGCACTGTTGTGGCTGTGGTCAATCAATGCTGGTGACGACCTTAACATGCACTGTTGTGGCTGTGGTCAATCAATGCTGATGATCACCTTAACATGCTCTCTTGTGGCTGTGGTCAATCTATGCTAGTTATGACCTCGACATGCTCTCTTGTGGCTGTGGTCAATCTATGCTGGTGATGTCCTTGACATGCACTGTTGTGGCTGTGGTCAATCAATGCTGGTGATGTCCTTGACATGCACTGTTGTGGCTGTGGTCAATCTATGCTGGTGATGTCCTTGACATGCACTGTTGTGGCTGTGGTCAATCAATGCTGGTGATGACCTTTACATGCACTGTTGTGGCTGAAGTCAATCAATGCTGGTGATGACCTTGACATGCTCTCTTGTGGCTGTGGTCAATCAATGCTGGTGATGACCTTGACATGCTCTCTTGTGGCTGTGGTCAATCTATGCTGGTGATGACCTTGACATGCTCTCTTGTGCCTGTGGTCAATCAATGTTGCTAATGAACTTGACCATTTCCTGTGTTGTATGTGGTCAATCAATGTTAGTGATGACCTTGACCAATTCCTGATTAGAGACTTGTAACTCCTTACACAGATCCATAGCAATTGCCAATCTGATGGCTAAAGTGTGTTTACACTGCAACATATAAACAAAATTGAAATCAAGTTTCATGTTTAGTCTTAGCGACTGACTGAAATACAGCAATGAAAATGAGCACCTGGATCTGTTATCCAAAAGTCATTCACAGTTTTATTGACAGAGTGTGATATCTGATTTCTAAGAATAAAAAATGTGTTAGTATCTTTTTCATCCAAGAAGTTTTCAGTGTGAAATGCATTACCTTCAACTGAAAGTCAGCTGAGGGCCTGGGAAGCTTAATTACTAAAGAATGAAATATGCTAGAAACTTGTTCCCATAAAATAGTACCTCAAGAGAGTATCCATGGTGAATTACACAATGCAGTATTTTAACTTAAACTAAGACAACATAAAATAAGGATACATACTCAGTAAGGACTTGTCTTAACAGTTTGAAAGGGCTATCAGTATTATGTTGACAGGAATTGATACATACCATTTACCAAAAAATAAGAACACTAACTCAGTAAAGACTTGTCTTAACAGTTTGACAGGGGTATCAGTACTATGTTAACAGGAATTGATACATACCATGATGTGAAAAATAAGGACACTAACTCAGTAAAGACTTGTCTTAACAGTTTGACAGGGGTATCAGTATAATGTTAACAGGAATTGATACATACCATGATGTGATCCTGCTTCAGCAGTACTGAAAATAGATGTGATACAAGATCATTCACAAACATATAAACTTTCTTTAAATGTATATGGTATTAATATACTGACAAACAGAAGCAATTTGACAGCAATTATTTCTTATATTTCAGTTGGCAGATAAACACGGTGTAGTAAATCTTTGATTTGATCCATTAATACAAAGTGTCAAATCACCCTTTACTCCTAATGTAGAGAATCAATACTAATGTCATATGGACGGATCTTTGGAAAGTCAGGAATCAAAAATAACAACAATGTCTCAGGGATCAAATCTTTGACAAAGAATGGATTAACTTTGTATTTCTAAACAAATCTGACATCAAAGTTGTCGTCGATATGATGTGACGGCAGAGTGTCATCCTTCCTTATCAAGATAAGACAATCTTTGACTCTGAAAACTATCTTTGCAATTAAGTCGTTCCTACATGTAATTATAGTCAATATAACTACAGGTGACATACTGGTGAATCTTTTATAACTTTTCCAGATGGCAGACATACAAATGTATGGATTATAATTTTATTTAGAAAAGACATTTTATTATTTACTTGTATATCAGCGACAAATTTCTGGACAATGTTAATTAGCTGTCTGGTTATACTTTGCAAAATCATCATCTCAAACAATGGAGTTAATTCAGTGATGGGCAAAGTCATATTGTAGAATGACCAGCAGGAGCATTTGGACATCATTAATACACTGGGACCAGTTGTATTTATAACGTCATAATAACAATGGCTCTCGTGTACTGTTGTAATGGTATGTTGGCAGGAAAATATAAATATACATTAGCTGTTGGGCAATTGAAAAACACAAACAAATCGGCACCTGAGTATCTGTAAGCTGGACACGAACAGTAGGTACTGGTGGTCAGACATGTGTACGGTGTCCCTGAACTTCCTACCACCTGTAAACATCAACAATTCAAACTGATTATTAAGTAAAGGAACAGTAGATACTGGTTGTCAGACATGTGTATGATGCCCTCAAGCTTCCTACCACCTGTAAACATCAACAATTCAAACTGATTATTACATACAGGAACAGTAGATACTGGTGGTCAGACATGTGTATGGTGTCCCTGAGCTTGCTACCACCTGTAAACATCAACAATTCAAACTGATTATTACATACAGGAACAGTAGATACTGGTGGTCAGACATGTGTATGGTGTCCCTGAGCTTGCTACCACCTGTAAACATCAACAATTCAAACTGATTATTACATACAGGAACAGTAGGTACTGGTGGTCAGACATGAGTATGGTGTCCCTGAGCTTGAAACCACCTGTAAACATCAACAATTCAAACTGATTATTACATACAGGAACAGTAGACACTGGTGGTCAGACATGTCTACGATGTCCTCAAGCTTCACTACCACCTGTAAACATCAACAATTCAAACTGATTATTATATACAGGAACAGTAGATACTGGTGGTCAGACATGTGTACGGTGTCCCTGAGCTTCCTACCACCTGTAAACATCAACAATTCAAACTGATTATTATATACAGGAACAGTAGATACTGGTGGTCAGACATGTGTACGGTGTCTCCAAGCTTCCTACCACCTGTAAACATCAACAATACAAACTGATTATTATATACAGGAACAGTAGATACTGGTGGTCGGACATGTGTATGATGTCCTCAAGCTTCACTACCACCTGTAAACATCAACAATTCAAACTGATTATTATATACAGGAACAGTAGATACTGGTCTCAAAACATATGTACAGTGCTCTGAGCTTCCAAACCCTTATAATGCATCAACACAGACATAGTTGATAGAAGCAATCAATCATTGAGGATATGTATCTCAGATTGAGATACTGACCTAAGACTTAGTCTGTGATCACCAAATCTCATGGAGATAATACAAGTTTTTTTTCAAGGTTTCTTAGGGTCCATTGAAATTCTTAAATGTTTAAACCCAATCCACAAAATTGCAATTTTCTCCTGAAAATTTCCTCCCAAATTCACCAATTTTCTTCCCAAAATGAGGCAAAATTACCCCCTCCAAAACCAGTGAAAAACATACCTGTTATATCCAGGAGATGTTACCTTGGACTTAGATGTCTACATTCAAGTCAGAGACATTACTAACAAAGCATTAAATATATTGTACCTGATAAACGATACGTCCACTAGGAGATGAGATCCGAGTCACATTGCGTTGATCAACCAAATCCAGGGCTGGAAGTAGGGTGGTTTGGAACACAAACTGTAATCTAGCCACACAACAGTGAGTATTACTATAGATAGTCAAAAGTGTAACTGGTTATACAGAATCACACTTAACACTTGATATTTTTATACTAATCTATAGCAGCTACTATGGTAATGCCATTTAGTTTAGTTATGTTATTTTACCTCCTTCAAAAATGTAATTAGATTTTCCAGCATATTTTGAAAAAAAATCACTTTAAGTTGAAATTCTATTTGCTCATTACAAATAAAGTGAAAAAGCTCTTCTTAGCAGCCGCACATCAAAAAAATTGATAATTTTCTTCAAGAAGGAAGGACAAATCCTAAATCTAAACCAATTCTGCTTTCAGCAAAACAAAATCGAATTGCTTCTCAAATTTTACTAAGAATGAATGTGAGAAAAATATATTTCAAAAATGCTTTCCAAAACTCACAGGAAACTGCAATGCTGATTACTAATGCTAAATATAACCATACTCACGCAGAGAGAATTTCATCCGTTACTGTAAAAACAATTGAAGACATCATTAAATCATCTAAGTAATATACTCCTATATCCGTGTCTTCATCATATATTCTTTGTAAAATGTCTCATTCAAGAGCAAGCTCATTTTATTTGGCATAACTAAATCTAATACTGTCAAATAATAGAGTCTTATTTTATCTGTATCATTACAGGACATATAACTCAATGCTGTTTATAAAAAAATAAAAGTAGAAAGGATGAGGCACAACACACATGGATCTGCCGCATAGTGTTGTTACTCAATGTTGTTTATGTTTATACAGACTAACACTTATTCTTTCAAACTTTTATAGTAATTAAGATCTTTCTTTTGGGGCCCCAATGGAAATAAGCTGTTCTTTAGCTTTGATGGGATATCCCTGGTAAACTCTACTGTATACAATATAGTGTATTAGGAGTAAGGTGGAATAAAACACCTTGTCCCTACCAAAGTTGGAAGTAGTGACCCTTTGGTCTCTAGCGGACATTCTACCACTTGACAAAAGGGAAATTATCACTATAGCTGAATCTAGTAAGGCAACCTATGCTCTCAGCTTCTACAGTATTTCATTTCGAGATTTTACGAATACAATGATAATTACTGCAATATGTACCGGTGTAGTATAGTGAAGTGAACCCCCTTGCCCCACCTAAATTTCTCCATCCCAGACCTATTTTTTGTTATTTATATGACTGAATCAGGGTAAATAGCCAAAATATTTGTGAAAAAAAACATTATTTTTCAGTTTTATTATGTTTGGAGGAACTTAATTAATGAAAGTGATAAGAAATTAAGTGCAGAAACATTTACTGAAAACAAAATATAAAGTGGCTTCACTTTACCATGGGGGATAGGGGGAGGTTCATTTCACCATAATGGTATTTTAACACCGCTTCATTAACAGTACTCAAACTTTGATATTTGTATATGTACCACACCTTAACCCAAATAAATATTATTATCATTATGTTCATCAACCTGTGAAAATATGTAATATGACCGATTTATGTATGTTATCTTCAAACTTACATTTGCCTGCTGACTTGTACGAATGTTCAACTTCTTTCAGCAGCTGTTCAGTCACCGAGTTCAAAACTGACCCTAAAACAACCATTCAGATCTAAAGATGGCAATTTCAAAACGAAAAAACATCCCGCTTTTTTATTATTATTTTGATATGACAGAAAAAGAGTGAGTATGAAGTGGAACAAACACTTGAAAAAAAGCATTTGTCAGGTTTGACCACCTCATCAAGTGTTAATGGGATTGATTGCAAAGAGTTGCACTGAAAATATGTCAAGACCACAGAAAGCTAACGATGCTTTGGACATGCCCAAAGCAAACTACGCTAGCAAGTTGATAGTAAATCTATTAATCAATCTAAATTTCTTATAACCAGCGGTGAGACCTATTCGTTAGTCCTAAATAACATCGGAGCAACAGTAGATTATGTGCTTAAGATAAGCTTAAATCATCAGTTCAGATTTTGCTGAATGGATTTACAGTCACTTCGGCCCATGTGAATGTCGGCCTAAGTTATCTCGAACGATATGGTCGAACCAGAGATGTATATTATACTTATTTTACCTGCACTAGAATCGCCCATTCCCTAGTTGATGATAAAACAGGTGTCAGCTTGAACTGCAGCAAAATGTCAGCGTGTTACACTTAAAATTCGTAAACTGCAAAAAGTTTACCAGAATGAATCTAAGCGGGGAAATGGACAAGTCGAATATGATTTTAGGAGATTAATTCTGATAAAGCCCCACTTGTCTTGCGAAGCGTAGTTGGGTAAATTTTTGAAAGACGAAAATAGAAAGTACACCTTATATCCATTCTATAATCAAAAGAAATAACGAAAAATATAAACAAATGTATTAGGTAAATATATATATGTCATCCTGACTACCCCCTTACTTAAACTGTTCCGTTGTATTCAGAGGTCGAGGACGCCACTTGGTGCTACTTAGCAGATAAGGATGGCTGCAGCAGAGCTGGAAAGTGTAGAGAAAGTTTTGGAGAAATACATACCTGCCGCTGAATTAGCGGAGGTAAGGCGCGTCTTTTATGGAAAGGAATTGAGGTAAACACTCAGCATGCGACTGACTTTAATGTCAGACCTGTCAGTAAAAATGAATGAAGTAGGCCTAGTACAGCATCTCTGTAGTGACCCACTTCTGGTGTTCTGAAATGCACCGGCACGTTTCATTGATAGCTATCAAGTTACAATTCTGTAACAAACAACACACTCAGAGACTGATTTTTAGGTTCTGACTTTGGAATGGGATTTTGCAGCTAATTTGATCTTAAATGGATTTTCTTATCGAATTGGTTTTATTTCAATTTTATTAGATCACGTGATATATGTTTACAAACAAACTCACGTGGCGTGGTACATGATTGTAAAAGAAGAAAGTTAAAAATGAGATTAAAGCAAAATTACAACCAGTCGTAGGCCTATTTTAAGACAGTTATTTATGATGTGGAACGAATAAGGAATTCTGAAGAAGATGTGAACCAGTTTTGAAGGACACAACACGAGTATGGTTACTCCACATTTGCATGATTGATACTGCTTTGAGTAATAAATTTTCAAGATTATTTGAAATAGGAAAGCATAGTGTTCTTTAAAACACATGCAACCAAAAAAAGAGTGTCATTTTTTAACATGGTTCAATATTCAATAGGTGTACATCTGTTGTTAAACTCAGTACTAAAATGACAATTTCAGAAATAACACTTAATTTGTTTCCCATTTACTTAAGTGAAAATCTGTAGGGAGTTTTTAGTGCAAATGTCATAAGTCAGCATGAATTTGCATGCATTCTATATTTAGCCACACTGCATTTGTATTTGCAATATTCAAAGCAGTAAATGTTATGCAAATGCAGAACTATTATCAATATGCAGGGTTGGGCCAAACCTGGTCAACCTTGTCCACAAGCCAACCAATACTTAAAAAAAAAAAAATGTGGAGGAAGGAAATGGTATGAAACAGGATCATTTTTTTTCTAGAAAACTCAGTCTACCAGAAGATGTGTACTCTACAGCTGATGAGAAAGATTTTGAGGTTCAAGGTTACAGCTTCTGTGAGCTTGCCAAAGAGGAAAGTTTTCGTCCACCAAGAGTGGTGAGAATTGGAGCCATACAAAACAAGATTGTCCTTCCTACAACAGCTCCTATATCCAAACAGGTATCGGAACCATTCTGTATATGTAAAACATATATTGCATGCATTTCTTGTACATACCTTTTCACTTCCTTAAGTCCTGTGTCATAATTTCAGTTTTGCACTAAGAAAATAATGTATTTCACAATATCTGCTAAAGTTTCTTGTTTACATATTAAAAAGTTATAAAAAAAGTACCTTGCAGCAGTAATTTTTGTAGGAGTTTTCCTTGTAAACCCAGAGCATTATTTAACATAATTTGATGTTTCTCAATACCAAGATATACCAGTATTATGGGTGCTCAAAATTTGAGTTGAGTCCCACTAGAAAAGCATGAGTCCTGGACTCAAATATCCGAATCCCAAAAATTTAGTGTAAGTAACCATGGTACATTAATATCATACTTAATGTATGTAATACATATTTAGTCATATAAGGCTATAAGCTGGCTTGAAGTTAACTCCAATGAAAACTTGCTGAAATCTCATGTAAACTTGTGTAAGATTTCATGTATTTGTGTATTGAAGCAGAGATTGATCCAAAATTATTGTCATAAAATCTATGAATTTTGATTTAAGTAAATGACTTTCTTCACTGACCCAATGTAGATTGAAGCACTGCATAACCGGATCTCTTATATCATTGAAGTGGCTGCCCGAAGTGGTGTAAATGTGATCTGTATGCAGGAGGCTTGGAGTAAGTAGAAAATACAATTATATCTTCCTCATTATCAATCTAAATAGAGTTACTTCCCTTGTCACCAATAATTGCAAGATATTTACACGAGCTATATGGAATTATATCCTTTTGTCTCCACAACATTAACTGGCAAGTAAACTCGTTTTGTTTTCACTTTTTGGAAGTAAGCACACTTGATTTTAGCACAACAATTGTTGTCGATAAGGCAGTACAGACTTTGTATGCCTTACTTATATGTACAAAGGTGTAGAGATAGGTAAAAAGAGCAATGTAATTAAAACATGGAAATTGTGAAAATAGTGTTTAAACACACCTTCATATTATATAGTACTTGTAGTTTTTCTGTTTCATTAGATCCAAAAACTGAGATGTAATTGAAAGTTACTGCATCAACTTTGTTGGATTGATGGTGTTAAAGCACTACAGACAAAATTAAAATCATTGGTTTGTTGGTTGGTTAGAGGTCTTTTGTCTCCTTGACTTGTCCTTTTCATGTCAGATTTGAGTATCTTCAGCTTGTGATGTATAGAGTTGCCTCACCTTGTCTTATAGATGTTTACAATATTTTATATGCAAAAATGACAAATTATCTAAAATTATTCTGATACAACTGTATGTGCTGACATGTTACACAGTTATTGAACTTAATGTTCAAGTATATATGACTGGGTATAAAAATGTTATAGCTTGACTTCTAGACTTATGGTTTTGTATTATGCCAATGTGTTACGGTTTATTGCAGCAATGCCCTTTGCTTTCTGCACCCGAGAGAAACATCCTTGGTGTGACTTTGCAGAGCCTGCAGAAAATGGTGCTACTACAAAACTCTTACAGGAGGTAACTCACTTGATTATGAGATTTAAATAAAAATCATAGTATATTTTAGTTTAAATTAAGTTATCATGTATATCCCTGTCAACTTTTGGCTAAAAGGTTTCAATGATAGAAATTTCACACAGAATTCAAATAGTTTTCAACAAAAATCACCAAATTTCTGTCTAATCATACTTTTTAGGTAAATCACTACCACACTAATTTCAGTAGGTATGTACAACATCAAATAATGTTGTCTCCAACATTTAAATAAACTGTGTTTTTACATAAGTTTAAATTGTTAGCCTAATATTAATGTGAAAGTCTACAGTGAGTTTTTTTTATGTGCATTTTGCATACACTTCTGTCTGCATCAGATGGAAAAATATTACTTGAAAAAATGTTAACAATATTTCCTTAAAAACTGGAAAAATATTTCTGGCAATTTTTTAAATTTGTTTTTGGGGAAAATAGCATGCTTTTTAGCACAGAGAGACAGCTCATGAGGAAAAAATTCTACTGAAAACCATTGGTCATTCAAAAAAATGTAACAGCATGAAAAATCATTTACCTGTGCGTTTTACACCTTATCAATACCAAGTCATGAAACTAGCAGACTTTTGTGTGAATTCTTTGATGAATCTTGTTGTAGAATTATTGTAATTGTTTTATTTATAGCTAGCGAAAAAGTACAACATGGTAATTGTTTCCCCAATCTTGGAGCGAGATGAAACTCATGGAGACATTCTGGCAAATACGGCAGGTAAATATGAATTTATACTGGTAATGAAAAATGTGTAATGATTTACACTCAAGTTAATTCATTTTCTTTGAACAAATATATAAAAGTATACGAATATACTCTCTGGCCTGTTTGTCAATATTTTTGGAGTACATAAATCTCTTATACTTGCTGATACTATCTTAAATAATATAACTCAGTTTATTTATTTTTTATTCTTAAGGAAGGTTGATCTGTTCAATTTGTGGATTTTTTTCAGTGGTGATATCCAACACAGGTGAAGTGCTTGGTAAATCTAGGAAGAACCACATCCCTAGAGTCGGTGACTTCAACGAGGTATTTAACATCCATTAATATAACACTAGTGTTTGTGATAAAAGCGATGAAGTCATTTCTCTACATGGAATTTTGGGATAGGGGTTGTTACAGCCCCTATAATGGCAAACTGATTTCTCACAATGAAAAAGTATACTAGAGATAGTTGTCTCACCTGTGTGATTTCTCACTGTAAAATTCTTGATAAGAGATTTTTACCCCTCTCGTATGATTTCACAAAATAAAATGCTGAACAAGAACTTATTATCTCCTCTGTAACGATAAAAATAGCGATAGTTACCTCCCCTGTATGATTTCTCGAATCTTATAATGATAGCTGAAAACTGGATTTTAGAAAAACAAAGATGTAGTTGCGTATTTCATATTATCTAATAGTGGTAGATTGAAAAGAATGTAACAAATTTCCTTCCATGCTAATCCATGATGTATATGTTAATGTGATGTACATGATAGAAGGTTGCTGAGGAAGACCTCAAAAATAGTATAATTTGCAATATATTCAAAGTTCAAAACGTTTTTAGAATCCCTTAGCAGTCCCACAATTGTAGTATCATTTGAAATTAGTAATTTACATTTTGCCATTTCTTAACTGTTAAATTGTTTGTTGGGTCTAATTTTAAGTCTGTTAGTTCACTACAAATTCATTGAAATAACTCAGCTTTTGTTTGATGATTTATCATCCAAACTTAATAAAAATGTTCATCAGTAGACCACAGACAAAATGCACCAAGATGTTTTTTGAGCGACATTATCAACCCAAAGGCCTGTGTGACAGAATTGTGCAAGTCTATGTTTTACGTTTATTGTGCATATTTCTGTATTTTTTTATTTCACAATTAACTGTATCAATGTATGGTGGTGATGTTCACTTTCTATCTGACATAATACTCAAATTAATAAAGCAAATTGGTTACCTCCCCTGAATGATTTCTCACATTGAAAAACTTGGCTATAGATAGTTATCTCTTCAGTATGATAGTTATCATCATGAAATACTGGGCTAGAGATAGTTGCCTCCCTTGTATCAGTGCTCACCATGAAATACTTTACCAGAGATAGTTACCTCCCCTGTATGATTTCTCACCATGAATTACTGGGCTAGAGATAGTTATCTCCCCTGCATGATTTCTCACCATGAAATACTGTCATACAAAGGTCATGTTAGAATTTTTCTAGTTTAGAAAGATGATGCTTTAGATTTTTCTCATTGATAATTGAAGTGTAACATTACTTTAAACACCAATGTTTTATTTCAATAATTTCTGTACTGGCAGTCTACATACTACATGGAGGGTGACACAGGCCACAAAGTGTTCCAAACACAGTTTGGTAAGTTTTGTGGATTTTAAGAATTATATTTGCATCCTACAAAGAGAAATATGTTTAACATGCAAATCATTCCTGGCATTAATAGTGGACGATGACTTATTCCAGATAATTTACAATTAATAATGTTAGAAGTATTAGATTTAGGAACAAATGGTCGTTGTTTTTCCTTATTCTAGTAAATTCAAATTCTTATATGCTTTTTGTGCCACAGATTTGTACTGATTGGAAAAATAAACTTGATAAACAATTTAATTTTCTGATTAAAAGATTTCTTTTCTTTTACTTTATGTATCACATGTACCAATAACTGATCAATACAAAATTTTCTATTATGTAGGAAAGATTGCTATCAACATATGCTATGGCCGCCATCACCCTCCCAACTGGTTGATGTATGGAGTGAATGGGGCTGAAATTGTCTTCAATCCTTCTGCAACTGTGGGAGCACTAAGGTATAATCACTATCAAAACTTTCACCCTGTCAGATCTTTATCATGGGAAGAGAATGTTATTTGTGATGAAGGCTTCTTAAAATATCTTGGTTTGAAAATATTAAACTGCATATTGATATTTAAAACTTATTTTTGTGTTTTATGGTCTCTTTTCATGGACTAAAGAGTTTGGACCATAAAACTCAAGTTTTTAAGAATAAAATACCAAATTATTTTGCTGGCCTAATGGAGTACTTTATAGTTATTTAACTTTGCAAGGGTCATATTTCAAAGTTGGTTATAATTTGGAGGGAGGAAATTTCAAACAAACACATCCTGTGATATTTCACAGTTCCTTGTGTGCCCTTACTTCGTCGGTATGGAAAGTAAGCATTTAAGTTTCTCTAAATGACATGCTGATGAGTTAATTTTATTTTTAAAATTAAGTGCCAGACATTACATACAAGTATTCAACTTTTTTTATTATGTATTTGGCTCTAAAAAAGAGGAACACATAGATGCAGATCTATGAGTTTATATATTCACAGGATAATGTTGATACATGTATTTCACAGCTTGAATATTCATAAGGAGATACATTTCACACTTTCTTGAATGACTGTGAATATAGTGCAATTAAGTCCTCTGCGAATATTTCCAATGATAGAGTAAGTAATGACAAGTTGGAATGATATTTTCATTGAAATTGAAGTGGTTGACAAATGTCCACCTTCATCCGAGTGAAAATGGTCTATTTGACAATTAATTATATATTTTTTACAATATTTAGATAATTTTTAAGTACTGACATTTTTGCTCTTTTTTGGGGGGAGGGGGTTTGTGAGTAATAGAGGAATTAGATATGGTTGTATTTTTGTGAATATTCAGAATTAACAGATTGTATTGTTTTACAGTGAGCCAATGTGGCCGATAGAAGCTCGATGTGCGGCCATCGCCAACAGTTACTTCACATGTGGCATCAACCGAGTCGGCACTGTAAGTAGACTTTGGGGACAATAGAAACTATGGCAGGACATTGACTGTGTGTTAAGGTGATAAATGGACAGGATGTATCACACGTCTTATTACCATGGAAAGTAGACAATGTTGTCACATGACATTGACTGTGGGCATGATGTAAAACAGAGTGTGGATAAGTACTGTAAACATACCTATTTTGGCACAATTAAACTTTAGTGCAATATTAGTTTTGAACAAATCAGTACAATGATGGATTGACGCATTGGCGATAATTGAAATATTAATGACAGACAGGAAATATAATTAGTGCAAGCATAATTTTGCACTGTATCTTTAGTGCAAAAAGCTCCAAGATAAGATGACCACTAAAAAGATGTATGTTTATAGTGTTCAGAACTAGGAAATGGCATCCACTGTGGGCATGGCGAAAAATTGTAGATGTAGATAAAGTAGATATGGTCTAGGTGAATTTTTATTGTAGTTAATAATAGCGGTATATGCTCTAACATTCTGCTGGTTTGAACAGCTACAGAGGAAGTTCAGTGGTGGGATGGCACAGTTCAGAATTTAGATACTGTAGGTGGACATTGAGTCCCTGAAGTTTATAGTAATCTTCATGCAATGTTTTAATTCATTCAAACAGTGGTACAGTTCAGAATAAAGACATACACCCTTTTTTTATAATTTACAGATATGTGATTTTGAAATTTATTGCTGAATGAGGCTAATACAGCTCCCATCTTGATTTTGATGTTTCTTTCGTTCAATTTTGATTTTCCTCTGTGGCCTCTGAAGTTTCAGAATTTAGGCCGGTAATGATATTGACAAGTCTTTGAACGACAAACTGTATGATGCAGTTTGATACATTATTTTGCTCTTCTATATCTTATTCTGAATTAGATGCTATTCACTTCTTGAATCTTTTGTACAATCTTTCACCAGGATAAAATCCAAGGCACACTTCATTCGGGTCGACACAAATGATTGATATCAGCAAATATAAATAAAAATAAATAAAAAAAAAAATAAAAGAGCTAATAGTTAAATGGGTAAGAATATTAATGAGTGGAGAAAACGATGAATTTGTTAAGGAATATGGTATATAACAGGGAGACTTTGTAATTTAACACTCGTATATAGAGAGTAATATTCGACTTATTATTGTTTCAGGAAGAGTTTGCAAGGGAGTTCACTTCTGGTAACGGTAAACCAGGTAAGTAAGTGGAAATGTAGTATAAAGGTATTTTATAGAGAGATATTTCTCAAAGGCCGTTTTCACATGACCACGTTGAAACTATTCAGGTTGCACATAAGTATTCCATGAAAACCAAATGTAGAAATTGAAAATGTTGAATATGAACTTCAAAATGCACAGTTTTGAAATATCAAGTCAAGCATAAAACAATGTGTATGCACTCACCCTGTTTACTGCAGAAATTCTGAAAAACTAATGATACTCTGCCAGTTAGCATCAGAAAGGTATAGCTAGCCCCTAAAACTGCACATGTGTAATATTCTACAGTCCAGCCCCATTCCTGATTTGTGCTTGGAGGTTTCTTTGAAGGTTCAGTCTTTCCAGCTGTTTCAACAACTTATGCAAAAGTTGCTGGAGTATTATTTGTCAGGAAAATAGAAGAGAAATTGTGAGATATAGATTTTTTGTGAAAGTGCTTATTTTTAGTTTAAGGTTTATTTAGATGTCAAGTGTTCTTTTCCACCTCTAGTTTGTTTAAAATCAAAAGATTTGGCATTTTTCAGTTTTAGCTCCAAATCAATCCAAGGTTGAAAAAAATCCACTCTAAAGCTTAAATATACTATTGTTTTGATATATTTTTGTGTACACATGTATTTATCATCAAAATTCTGGGGAAATCACGATATCAACATGATGTTCATTTCATGTCAATGTCTAATGCTAAATAAATTTCAGAAAAACAAGGTATCATGTTTCAGTGTGCTTGAAATAGAACAAATGTGTGACATTGTAACAACAACAGAAAATGTCAATATGTTGACAGAATCTTGATTCACAAAAAAAATTCATGAAAATTTCAAGTCAAAATATGAAAAGAAAGATTTATGCTCGCACGGAGACATCTGAAAAAGTACAAGAATAAGACCAGGTGTTTTGGAAGAGTAAGCATCTTCTGCTTCATTTCTGTCACCTGCTATGTAAATCGTAGTCTATCCAAGTAAATAATATTACATCCTCAAATGAGATCAAAACAAACAACAATGAGACCATTAGGCAACCTTAGAAGCACATCCAACTGCTGCCTGCACAACGATACAGAATATTTCTTGATGTGTAATTTTCCATATCTGATGTATTTGTAATGGCAATTCTTAATTTTTTTCAGCTCACAAAGACTTTGGACATTTCTATGGTAAGTTATCAAGTTTTATACAAAAAGATTACTTTAAACAAGATTATTTTTGTGTGCTGAAATCTGCATTAAAACAATGAATAAATTGCATTGATATACTGTAAAACCATATTTTTTATGGGGACAAATTTTTGTGGTTTTTCAAAAAATCACTTTTTTGTGGCCACTTGGTATCATGGATAAAGTTAGCTCAATAAAGCTTCTTGCACTAATTTCAACAGTTGGTTGACATAGAAACCTTGGATTAACAACACCAACAAAATCAACAAAGACAAAACCCCAACAGTATTGATTGTTTTATAGAACATTATTTTGGTTCTGATCTTACAGTTGACTTCAAGGTTATTTGAGTCCAACCAGACTTACCCTCATTTTGAGAACGCCTTCTGCAACTCTTTGTAACAATATTTTCTGTAGGTGGCTCTTGCAGATTAGACAGGTCACACTTTTCTGTCAGCGGCTGAAGATTATGATTTCTATTTCAGGTTCCAGCTATGTGGCAGCTCCTGATGGCACACGTACTCCAGTAAGTTTTTCTTCCTAACTTTTATGAAGTCCACGAGGGATTCAAATTTTTCATGTTATCTTCAGCTTGGGGAAATTTAAGTACAGTTTCACTTTTGTCCTCACCTTCTTGTGTTTTTTTTTACTGCGGGATTCGGGGGTAGAATATGGACTTCATCTCCAATGCCAAAACCCATATATTCTTTCCCCAATTAATGCATTATAATCCCACAATTAATGGTAATTTCAGAATTTTTCACAAAATCAGGATGATACTATCCTACATGTATGTACAAATATTACAGCTGCGAGTTAAGATGGTATTGACACCATCCTACATGTATGTACAAATATTACAGCTCCGAGTTAAGATGGTATTGACACCATCCTACATGTATGTACAAATATTACAGCTGCGAGTTAAGATGGTATTGACACCATCCTACATGTATGTACAAATATTACAGCTGCGAGTTAAGATGGTATTGACACCATCCTACATGTATGTACAAATATTAGATGGTATTGACACCATCCTACATGTATGTACAAATATTACAGCTGCGAGTTAAGATGGTATTGACACCATCCTACATGTATGTACAAATATTACAGCTGCGAGTTAAGATGGTATTGACACCATCCTACATGTATGTACAAATATTACAGCTTCGAGTTAAGATGGTATTGACACCATCCTACATGTATGTACAAATATTACAGCTTCGAGTTAAGATGGTGTTGACACCGTCCTACATGTATGTACAAATATTACATCTTCGAGTTAAGATGGTATTGACACCATCCTACATGTATGTACAAATATTACATCTTCGAGTTAAGATGGTGTTGACACCGTCCTACATGTATGTACAAATATTACAGCTTCGAGTTAAGATGATATTGACACCATCCTACATGTATGTACAAATATTACATCTTCGAGTTAAGATGATATTGACACCATCCTACATGTATGTACAAATATTACATCTTCGAGTTAAGATGATATTGACACCATCCTACATGTATGTACAAATATTACAACACTGAGTTTAGATGGTTAAGCTTTTTCTTTTACAAAGAATATCATCTACAATCGACAGAACTTACTTCTGATTAGATTCAAATACTTAAGTATCTTTATGTTTCATTTTATTTTTTTTCCCAATTTCAAAACCAAGGGCCCCATTCCCAAAGTGGTGAATAAATTCCTGCCTTGGTATCAATAAACTGAGAACAAAAAGACAACTGTTATCCACAGTTATCGCTGATGTAATGGTTTTTGTCACACGAGACTTTTTGTGATCTGTCATTATCATCATGTGTCATCCAGTGGCCATTGCACTTTTCTGCCTTCTTGAAATTCAATGCAGTGATTTCAATCAGTTTTTTCACAAAGGTCCATTGCCAATGAAAAATTAAAAGTGTAAACCCCAGGGGCCTAAAAGATTAGGTCAAAAGGGAAATATTTTGCTTATGTTTAAAAAAGTCTTCTGCAGATTGAGATACTATCAAAAAAAAGTTCTCCGTGGATGAAGAGGTCCCAAGGTGCTTTCTAAAAATGTAAATTTCATTCATAACCTCTTGATTTCTCTCAAAAAAGCAGGTAAATTTTACTGTAGTTAATGTAAGAAAATTACAGTTTTGGAGAAACCGTATTTCAATTCAGTTTTAGCGAGAAATAGTTTGATCTAGGTTAGATTCATTACCAATACATAGCAGTTTTATAATATGAAAAAATGCAAACTCCACCCCTGGCGCCTTAAACACAAATGGCACAAAGGGGGAAATTCGCTTACATTGCAGAACTCTGTCACAGATCCTTATGGGAAAGCCTATAAGAATGATGTATTTCATAAACCAGGGTCCCTCTTCCCTCTAGGAAGGGTTTAAATTTATAATACTGGAAAATATTACTGTTCAAGTATATTTTGATTATTTTCAATAAGAAATCATCTAAACTTCATTTGTATTGTCGTCAGATAGGTGTTTGATGATATGAAGATGCAAACAAGAGTGTTTTATTGTGTACACTATGTAATTCCACTTTTCTTCTCCAGCCCCTGCAGATTTTAGGTCACCTGAGACAAAGTCCCCTATTGTTATCTCCTTTTGTCAAGTGTTATCTGTGTGTAAACCTTTTTGCATTTTTAACTTCTTCTGAAAGCCCTTAGATTGACTTTAAATGAAATTGTGCAGAGCCTTCCATGGCCATGAGTGAAGCAAAATTGAAAATGAGATTGCCCCCACCTCCTAGGGGCCTGAGGGCCAGGACCAAAAGGAAGTCAAATTATTGAAATTTCTTAATCTTCTAGCAAATACCCAAATATGGTAAGATCAAATACTCTTTTTGCGTTGATGGAACTTAATATGCTTTACCATAATTGTAAATTTCCTGAACCCAGGGTCTCTCATTTCACCATGAGGAGGGATAGAGGTTTCATAAGAAAAAGGGAAATTACATTACCAAGATAATTACATTTTTGAGCATAATTTGTTTATTTTTTATTGGAAAGCGATTAAAATTGGTTAGCATTGTTACTGTAGGATAACAGTGTGATGATATGCACAGACACTGACCCTGACTGGCCCTCAGGGGCTGATAATTGGGGCCAAAAGGAGTCAAATGGACCAAAATCTTAAAAAGCGGACACTGTCTGTCAACTGCCCATCATCAGTCCTGAAACAAATCTTGATATTGCAATTTCTTCAGGAGTTCTGTTTGTATGAAGAATCCACATTTTTCTTCGTTCTGCCCTTTTGATTTTGAGATCAATCAGGAAAACAAAAACTAACTGGCCAAGAGAGCTGATATTTGGCCTGTAGCATACTGAGAAAAAAGGCTAGCAAGTTCTTCGAACAACTTGACTCACTTTCAAAGTCACCAATGTAAAATATTTTCAAATCTCAAACTTTTTCTCAATGACCAAAAGGCCAAGGCTATTGAAATTGCTTCAGTAACATGCTGATGCAAACAACTACAAAATTTGTTCAAATAGAAAACCTTGTCTGACTTTCAAGTTCAGAAGGGATAAATTTGTCAAAATCTTTCAGCTATTTCCTCTCAATAACCAATAAGCCCAGAGTGGTTATATTGAGCCTGTAGCATTCTGAGATGAAAGAACATCAAGTTTGGTAAAATGAATGACCTTGACCCGCTTTCCGTGCCACAAGGCAATCTCTACCAGAGTACTATTGTAATTGTTGGCTAACTCATGGTTAAGTCTACAGACAGGGCACCATTGTCATTGTTGCCTATCTCATGGTTAAGTCTACAGACAGGGAACCATTGTCTTTTGCTATCTCATGGTTAAGTCTACAGACAGGGTTCAATTGTCATTGTTGGCTAACTCATGGTTAAGTCTACACACAGGGTACCATTGTCATTGTTGCCTATCTCATGGTTAAGTCAATAGACAGGGAACCATTGTCTTTTGCTATCTCATGGTTAAGTCAACACACAGGGTACCATTGTCATTGTTGGCTATCTCATGGTTAAGTCTACACACAGGGTACCATTGTCATTGTTGGCAAACTCATGGTTAAGTCAACACACAGGGTACCATTGTAATTGTTGACTATCTCATGGTTAAGTCTACAGACAGGGTACCATTGACATTGTTGGCTATCTCATGGTTATGTCTACAGACAGGGTACCATTGTCATTAATGGCATACTCATGGTTATGTCTACAGACAGGGTACCATTGTCATTTGCTATCTCATGGTTAAGTCTACAGACAGGGTACCATTGTCATTTGCTAACTCATGGTTAAGTCAACACACAGGGTACCATTGTCATTTGCTATCTCATGGTTATGTCTACAGACAGGGTACCATTGTCATTTGCTAACTCATGGTTAAGTCAACACACAGGGTACCATTGTAATTGTTGACTATCTCATGGTTAAGTCTACAGACAGGGTACCATTGTCATCGTTGGCAAACTCATGGTTAAATCTACAGACAGGGTACCATTGTCATTTGCTATCTCATGGTTATGTCTACAGACAGGGTACCATTATCATTTGCTAACTCATGGTTAAGTCTACAGACAGGGTACCATTGACATTGTTGGCTATCTCATGGTTATGTCTACAGACAGGGTACCATTGTCATTTGCTATCTCATGGTTATGTCTACAGACAGGGTACCATTATCATTTGCTATCTCATGGTTAAGTCTACAGACAGGGTACCATTATCATTTGCTAACTCATGGTTAAGTCTACAGACAGGGTACCTTTGTAATTGTTGCTATCTCATGGTTAAGTCTACAGTGGTCATTACTCAATGTTAATGGGTCAAAGGTCACATTTGATAACTTCTGAAGACCCATCAAACTGTGTTAATGATATATGCCAGGGTCATTCATATCACACAGATAATTTCCGGTTGAGATAAAAGATCAACCATACTTGATAATACATTTATTGTTGTATGATAAAATGAGGACCTGCATGGACTGTGCTCAAAGTTTTGCTATACAGTATAGAAAATGTATATGGTTCAGATTTTAAAGTTGATTTGGATGATCTGTAATGTTGTCAGATATCAAACATTTTTTTTACCTAGTTATGAAGATTTTGGCATATTTAGTCTGTGTCATTTTTTTCTATTAACCGATGATTGATTTGTAATTAATAATTCCATATAAAGTATTTATTTAATTTTTTTCATATTATTACATGTCATTGTTGTTAAATTTCAATACTGGTATTATTTTGGAGTGAAATCAACAATCTTTATGTATATATAGATAAAAGTTAAATAACAGACATACAGGGCCATTCCACCAGTTACACAACCCGTAAATGAAAGCATAAGATTTAATTGTGTTTTTGTATAGTCCTTATCAGATGAAAGTCACCCAGCCAAAGGCAATGAACTCTATCTACTGCCTAAAGTGTCCGAAAATAAGGTCTCTGACGGCACAGCTGTCCTGAAATGAGTTCTTCATTTATGTTAGGCTCTCTGACTCACAGCAAGGTAGCTTTTGACTGGTACAGATCGAGGACAGC